AAAACTCAAGTGACCTATGATATTATTGTCATGATATTCATACATGACAATTGTAATAACAAATGAATATGACAAAGACCATCTTGTAAGAAACCATTAGGTCAGTCACAATTCTTTGTATTAAAGTAATTAATGACTTAACGAGGCCAAGAATGGTTGTGGGTGTCCTCAAGTGTCTTGAGATCAAGGATATTAGGAAAAAGATGAAAGTAGAACCTGAGGAAGATAAAGAATGTGAAAGAATATACCTTCACCTTTATTTTCAGATCTAGTCTTGAACTTCATCTCAAATTGATATCCAAAGAGCTTAATTAGTCATTTTTTATATGTTGGAGCAATCTATTTTTATTTTAAGAAGAATTTCAGAATGTTGATCTATATAAATGATAAATAAGTGACCCAACAAAAAATGTTGCTATTTTTGTGTAGATAAAATAATTGCCATGTGCTAAACTTGTGATAGGTCTACAATGTTGTATAAGAATCACTTTGATACCATGTTTAGATGTGTCAAATTCGAGTCCAAATAAAAATTTAAAATCTAATAATAATAAGATCAAAGTAGAAGATGACGTTAATTTCATATATTCGAATGTTGATGATGAATCTTTGGTCTATTAAAATTAGTCTCACTTGAGATTTTGAGTAAGAGGCTAGACAATAGAGCCATAGTTAGGTGCAAATTAGTAATACTAATTAGTAAGACTAAAAAATCCTCAAAGTTTTTTAATAGTATGTGGTGTTGGCCACTATTGTACAACTTCAAATTTTTCATAATCAACATCCACTCTCTTACTTGATATAATGTGACCCAAATAATCAATATAAATAATGTTGAATTTACATTTTTAGGAATTAATATGGAGTTAATAGTTATGAAGAATTGAGAAAATATAGAATAAATGGGTCTTGTGGGTATGAATGTTGTGCCTATATGCGATGATATCATCAAAGAATACCAACACAAAATGATATAAATACTATTAAAAATTTTAATTCATGAGATATTAAAATGTCATTGATGCATTTGTAAGGTTAAAAGGTTAGTGCGGTGGGTGCAGAAAGTTGTCTTGTGAATATTCATATCTTACATTCTAATATGATGATAACATGATGTCAAGTTAAGCTTAGAAAATACAGATGTCCTATGAAACTCGTCTAAGAGTTCATCAACAATAGGTATGAAAAATTTATTTGGTACCATTGTGTGCTTTAATGTGTAATAATCAACACAAAAAGGTCAGCTCCAACTCCCATCTTTTTTTTTTACCAATAAAAAAAGACTAGAGAATGGTTAGATAATATTTTCTGCACACATTTCTTTCATGAGGTGTTATATCTCTTTTTTTTGTATTTAAAGATAATGATAAGGTCATACATTGATGGTGAGATATTCAGAAATAGGGACATGACATGGTTAACTTGGCAATGAGACAAAAGTTTGACTGGGGTGTAAAAAAATTGAGAAAAGTTTCTTTGAGTTCTTGTGTAAATTGTATAGATGAGAGAGGTGGTGATGCCTCCTTATCTTCTTCTATGGAGAGAGACTTTAATTCCACTAGAAGTCATGGTGTATCAATTAGTTATCATTCCATAGACTTTATTGAAATATTTATTTTAGATTGATGATGATCACCCCATAATTCCACTTGTGTGGTATGAGAAACTCAATAAAAAGTTGTGATAGTCAAATTCAACACTACCTCGAGTTTGGAGCCTAAATATACCTATAATACAATCAACATTACTAAGCTAAATGGGAAAGAAATCTTCTTAGATGGTGATGCCCTAGAGGAGAATCAAAATTCTTTGACATATCTCTTGGCTTGAGATAGATGTACATGTGCCAATAATAACTTTGAACAATAGAGTTGTTTCGATAGAAAGATTGAATTTTGCAACAAGATTGAAAGAAATCAAAGTATGAATAGTTCATGTGTTGATGAAGACCATGATATCTTTGATGCCTAATTATTCCTTAAGCTTCATGGTTCGAAAATTAGAAAGACTCGTCACTGAATTAATAGAGAGTTCAATTTTTTTTTTAGTGGTGGCAAGACAAAATTGATGAGAGAAATGTCAGTGTTAGACGTTGGTGATTTTTATAAGGTTTTCTCTTTTGTGAGGATCATAATTCAAGGTTCACATTGACATTTATGTCTTGAGGTGAATTTTTTATTGTAAGTAAAGTAGAGACTTATGTCTATTAATAGAAGGCATAGTCTAAGAGGTTGAAGTGTTTGCAATGGAAGAGATTTTCAAGGAATATATTTAATATGGTGGATGTTGAAGAAAGATTAGGTGATAGTTTGGTCAAGAAAAGAGCTCAAGTTAACCAATGACATAGGATGGCCTAATTTCTATCGGAGAAGACATTATGTTCCTCTACATGTTGAGTTACATGTATAATATATCATGAAGAATAGTAGACATAAGCAATCGCACCTCAACCTGAACATCAATTTTCAATCCCTTCAAAATAATATCATTGAAAATATAAAGAAAAAGATCAATTACAATCCTTAACATGAGTTTAAAATCACAATGGTATACCATCAGTGAATTGTGTTGTTGTAGGTTAAATAATTGTTGACACAAATTTTCTTTTAAAAATGCCACAAAATACATGAGTAGTTGATGACATAGATTTAACCAACAAATGAATAGAACATAATGTTCAGGCCAACTAAATGAGAAGAGTGATTCATCATCAAAGATAATGCCAAACATAATAATTTTCACTACATCTAAATGAGGATAGATGGAGAAGAATAATTCAATGCAATAGATTCATCCCTATGGTTTTGACCTATAAAAATTAGAAGATCTAAATGGCAAGTGGTAAAAGCCAATCTAATGGTTGGTCTAAATGTAAGGTTATAACTAGAAAAACAGCCCTAGTTGTGATATCATATCGTTGTCCCTCTCAAGGGGCTGCTACTGTGGTTTGAGGAACATGGTCAATATAGATGTCTAACCATGGAGTGCACACAAATAATTAGGTCAATGACTATTGGATTTACAAAAGGAGTCCCTTAGGCACAACAATCATTGTTCTAGGAGATTGAACTATTGTTTCATGTGTGACTCTAGTTCAATAATGTGACTAAATTAATCTTGGAGTATTTCAAGATCCTTTTCCATTCCATCTACCCTTGATTTGGCTAGCTATGGTGTCATGGTGAATGAAGGCTCTAATACTAAATTGATAGGACCTTTCTTGATACATGGATAATTATGGAGACCATAAAAAAAAAGGGGGGGGAGAATATAGAACAAAAGCGATGGAATAACAAAGGAAGTCAAAGGACAAAAATGATAAGTGAGAGAGAGAGCCATTGGTTGTTGTTGTGATAGTAAATAATAACCAGAATAAATGTATTAATAGACTCCCAAATTATAGTATTTAATTGTAGACAAGGATGTCAACTCATAATTTCTCTCCCATAACTCACATAGAAAGAGAAATAGAGAACAATTTAGAAACACAATAATGAAGGGGTACATAGAAAAGATGGAGAAGAGATGAATAATGAGTATATGACTAGAATGACAATGGGAAAGAAGAAATAGTGATGAGAGCCTAAGTATCATTTGAAAGAACAATATTTAGTTGTTTAATGAAAAGAAGGATAACTCAAAGGAGATGCTTCTAGTGACCTCACACTCCCAATATATGTATGATCACTTCTTCTTGCTAAGCCTTAAGTGATAATGGGTTGCATGACCATTAGAATTTGAGCACTTCTCACAATCATCACATTTTTTCCTAACAAGTGGTTGCATGGGAAAGTTAAGCAGGCAGAGGATATGAGATATGTTTGATAATTTATTCTTAGGAATGTGGAAAATTATTAGGAGCTTATCATAATCTCAAAGAAAAGTCAACATGTTTGACTTTTACTCAATCTGTCCTCACTAGCCCTAAGGGAAGGGGGGGAGTGTGATGGAACCTTGTGATCTCAAATTCATAGTGGATTTCTATCACCATGTAAGTTCTCATGCAACATGACTTCAAAAGAAATCTTCATCAGAGGTCAATTAATCTTATATTCAGGGTAGATTCCTATGTTATCTTGATTGAAAATATGTAAAAACCAACATCTCTATCGAAATTTTCTGATCTCATATCCCAGCATATACCACCAAGCTTGCAAGGTGAATTCATCACTTGCACAAAGAACATCATTTTGTTTAGCTTTATTTTACATTATTATCTTTGATAACAAATTTTATGTCCAAATTTTTCAGTTTCCCATTCAGAAAAATCAGCTCTCTTAATGTGTTCAAAGTAGCTCTAGAGCCAATAGCTAATGGCTTCATCATTGAACAAAAAGAGCATATAATCAAAGGCGGATGACTGAAAACAGAAGTCATTTCTCGCCAAAGAGATAATGAGATCACTCATTCGGCATCAAACTGCTGCCCTAGAACCTTAATATTTTCTAGTACAAATTACATCTTTCAGATTTCATTAAAGCAGCAGGAATATTTTGCATTATTTTCTGTGCAAAAGTATATAGTATTTTATTTATTTGAGGCAATGAGTATTTAAAATAATATTCATTCATCACGATTTCCGTTCTACAAATTTATTTAGTTATCTATTCACTGATTTATCTATTTTTAGAACCATTTCTGGAATAATTTTCTGCGGGAGAGGAAGCTCTTGCTGTCATCACAGGCGGGACCTGAAAGGACTTCTCAAGATTAAGGAAGAGGAGATTTAATATTTCTGATTATCGAGTGTTATTTCTCTATTATGATTTTATGTTCATCATAAACGAAGATAGGTTGCTCAGGGAAGCGTGGGAAATCACTTCCTTGGAAGAAGCCGCACCTGCCGAGAAGCTCTGGGCGAGTACCGAACACGATTATAGTGGGGGGCCTGCCCTGGTTCAGGGTCCGATCGACAAAGACGGTTCCTTTCTGCTCCGCGGAGCTCTATCCGCCGCCGTCTCTGGCATCGACGGCGAAGGATCGTGGCGGTGGAGAGGGAGATGACGTCGCAGCCTCCTCCTCCTCCTGTGGCGGCGGCGCCGGCGGCGCCGGCGCAGCAGGGGTTGAAGGGTGGGTACGCGGTGGAGCTCTATTTCGACCCGGCACTGGAGAACCAGGTGCTCAAGGCCTGGAATGTCCTCGCCCGCCGGCAGATCAGCACGCAGCTCATCGAGATCGAGTCCCGCCCTCACATCACGCTCTTCTCCTTCCCTCCCGCCATCGCTCCGCTGATCGAACCTCAGAAACTCCTTCCCACTCTCCGTTCATTCGCCTCCCGTCACGAGCCGCTCCCGCTGACCTTCTCCTTCGTGGGTACCTTCCCCTCCGTCACGCCCTCTTCCGACGGGAAGGGAGGCAATGGAAGCATAAGCGGCGGTGGAAATGGCGGCGTGCTATTCCTCGCCCCCACCCCTTCTGCTGCTCTGTTGAGCCTACATTCGCAGCTCTGCGAGGCACTGAGGAAGGATGGTGTTGAAATCGGGGAGGAATTTCGACCGGACTCCTGGGTGCCTCACTGCGCGGTGGCCCAGGATGTGCCAAAGAACAAGATTGCCGAGGCTTTCAGCATCCTGCGCGACCTGAAGCTTCCCGTTTCGGGGTATACAATGGATGTCGGGATAGTGGAATTTTCTCCTGCTGTCCGCGAGGTCTTCTCCTTCTCTCTTGGGTCTGTTCTCGACGCATGATGGGGAGGTACAGAGTGATCTCTTCAGAATTTTGTTGCAGCCGCAAGTTTTGCACTGATTTTATTTCCTTAAATTTTTTCTTGTTTTATGTCAAGTATTTTAGAGCTTCCAATCGAAACAGCGGTGAGGAGGGTTCTTATTTTTGTTGTGATCGTTTCAGAATTATTCTTCGTTTCCTGTTCTTCCTGATCTTCCGCTAGCTCCTATCATATTCTGTATATGAAATCAGAACTAGCATGCTGAAGCAAAAACGGCACAGAGGGATACTTAGATTGTGTTGTCTTGTGTTGTGTTGACATGCACTGGGCGCGCATGGTGAAAGGCTAATGGATTTTATTGATTCTGCTAAGACTTATGGGGTGCGTTCATCATTCTATCTCTCGAATTCGTTTAAACAGCGATATATGGAGTTTACCAATTGTAATGGTGTTCGATTGTCTCTGTCTTCCTTTAATTTTTCCTACTTTCTTCCGTCGACCTCTCTGTGACTTTCAGGTTTTTCTTCTGGGATTTTACTGTGCATAATTTCCAGAATACTTTCTAAGTTGCAGAAAAACTTGAAAGTGTATTCTAAGTGGAAGGTACGATTTATAGATGAAGATCACTGTCGGATGTTGTCACCGTTGACTTTTGCTTCTGAACTCATAATTGATCCAGACTACAGTAGGATGAAGAAAATATTTGCTTAGTGGTTTCCTGTGTTGGCCTCGTGGGCATGGTGGCATGTGAGAGATCCAAGACAAAATAAATTAGCTTTCTGTCTCATGTTTTCACTTTCAGCATATTACACCAAAATTTTGTCAGTGGTAGTCATTGTAAACGAGCTAGTTTGATTATTGCTATGGATCTTTCTTTCCTTATATGACCATGCTTGAGAATCAGGAGTACAGAGTGATGTCTTACTTTTTTTTTCATGTCATGTGTTGATGACTAATGCCACGAAATGCTAATTAATTAGATAGATCTGGATATGATGACAAAAAAAAGATGTCGATATTGCTGGTCAAAATTATGCTGACACAAAATCAATGCTGAGTTTGTTTAAGGGTGATAACAGATGCACAAGTACACACATTTTATACCCTGGGTTCATTTAGTTTTATTTTTCTTTATATCTGAATTATAATGTTTAAAACATCGTGAATACCATGACCAGTGTGAAGGCAACTTCGGTCTTCTTCTTTTTTTTCTAAAGTTGAATGTTATGCTAGTTTATTGAGCAGTAATGTGGTACTTAACTAGCTTAAGTTTCCGAAATTTAATTTAACAAGTGTTTCTTTTTTATTGATTCAAATGCATCAAGGCGTTTACATCCCTACTTGTCACAATGATCCTTGCGTCTCTATAGATGACAAATCATCCCCCCCTTGTAGAATACCCACAAATATATTGCAGATGGAAAAATCAAGCACTTCATAGCGCCTTTTTAATCGTCTTAGAGTGATTTTGCGCTCTTTCACAGCTGGTGAATAATTCCTCCTCTTGGGGCCTGGTGATGGCGAAGTATGGGGCAAGAAATTGTTTAACTCGAAGGACAGTAGATTCATATCCAGTTTAACATTCACATCTCCCAATATTTTTGAAGAATAATTTCCCCTTAGAGTTTATCTTGACCCATTTGAAAGTTTATGCATCAGCCCAATTCTGGCAACAATTGAGAAAGGACATCTGAAGTGATTGATGAACGTAGGAAGGTGACCCAGGAAAAAAAGTTACCTTAAAAGTGCGGCCGATCCCAAAGAAGAAAGTGTAGAGTGCACTTTAGGACCATTTTGTCCGTTGCTCTGATTTATTTGCTAACCATCTTAGAACTTTAGTTACCCTGCTTGGGTGAATACATTGCTGAGAGATTACCTCATGGTCTATAAAATGAGCTATTAATTGGGAAAAAATCATCTATTTTCTTCTTCTAAATCAGATGGGGAATGCACAGTTCATGAATTGAAGAATGAAGTTGACTACAGTTAAAAAACCTGTACTTAGATAAAATATTTAAAATTCCTTAAGATACTCGGACGAAATTATGGGCCTGTTATTTTTTAACAATAGTGCTGCTTTGAACTTCCTGGAAATTGTAGCATGATGTTCATTCTTATCTAATGCCTTCAGGAGAATATAACTGCCTCTATATTACCTTCATAGAGAGGCTTTCTATTAATCCTGGATGGATCACTTCGTCTGTGGAGAATAACCCCAGATTGATGAAGCAACTATAATGTTCAAATCTACATGTTTTCCTTATTAATTGATATTTTACAAAGAGCATCTAAACATGAACAGTAATTCAGCTTTGCGTTATCTATAAGCTCTCTTCGTTTTTTTTTTAGTAACGATTGTTCGATATTATTCTCTTACTCCCCTCATGATCCATAGATAATTACCATTCAGAAATTTCAAACTAGGACCATTTCCTGTTGAAATATATATTTTACAAGATCTTTAGGATATAAACAGATAAATATAGTAAAAACCTTGATTAAATGTTTAGTATGTATGGGTTGATATTTTCCTCGACATCAAGCTCATACCCCTAGTGACTTTTCACATTCCCTTTTCATCGCTTGACCTCATTCCATAATATGGGAATCGACAACAATTACCTTCACAGTCATCCAGAATTCATGCCACCCCTCATCCCATGTGTGCTGAATCATAAATCTTTCCTGATAGCTCGGTTTGGCATGCTATTAATGATTAACAATATGAATGTCGATCCCATATTTGTCAATATCTAGGCTCCCTAACTACTCCCTCTTTTGTCTTGCATACTTTTTTTTTTTTTTTTCTGTTTTTGTTCCTGCGAGAAATGATCATTCTTTTCAATATTCCCTCTTCAAGGTTAGTAACTAGCCACTGAATCCGAGATGCTTACCCTATATTTGTTCACCTATTCCCCTTTCTTCCTACTACTTAAGCAGGTAATATACCATTTTTATGTGGCTGTGAACTGAATAAGCTGGCACTACCGAGGGAATACTACCCCCATTATAGAAATAAATTCAAGTATATGTCTATCTAGGAAGGGTTGACCAATCACAGTATATTGATCACAGACCAATCATTAAGAAGCTAAAACCAGAGAAGTAGACAAATGCCTGTCAGTCACAGTATACTATCATGTTGGCTCGTGGTTTTCCCAAGTCTTTCTCTTCTCCTGGTTTATGCTACTTTCCTCTAATATCTGCCAATAAAGTGGGCAAAACCCTTGATTTTTTTTTCCTAATATTCTTATTTCTATTTTTGCCTTCAGGGTCCTGGCTGTACTACTAGACCACCTTCGGTGTCTTTAGATGGAAATATTTTATAGAACTTCCCAGACCCAACAGGCAATCAGCAGTGTTTGCTCTTTGGACACGACGATGATCAGCTGATGGCTGCTGATTTACCAGCAGTTTCAGGTGTTACATGTCTTTGGAGCCTCACTTTCCAAGATCTACCTTACTTTTTTTGGGTATTATCTCATTAAGGTGTTCTCTTGTTGTACTTGAACTGTGATTGGGGATCTAAACCCGCCCAAAAATCCCAAGTTCTCTTGTTCTCTTGTTCTCTTGTTCCTCTCTCTCTCTCTCTCTCTCTCTCTAGAGGAAGGCCCGATGAGGCTGATGTGGGTCGACCCCTTGAATCAACCCCCCTTAGCTCTGATTTGTCGATCGTCCATGATGGTTGTCAGCCGTCGATTCTTTGTATCAGCTGATGAGTGCCTGATTAAGACATCCTTGCTGGCATCAGCTGAGGCCGAGGAGTCGTAAAAACATGATATTAAGTGCGGTTTCTCCTGTCGGACTCCAGGGCAGCTAAACTGTGCAGAAAGGAGCAAAGAGGGCAGGTCATTCGCTGACGTGGGCATTGCGTCATCATTTGACTTTTCTCCTCCCAGCTTGTGCCACGTGGTATCATGTGGCTCCCCTTTGCCGGAGAGGGAATACTTGGATAAGAACAAAGAGGAGGTGGCGCTTGTGGGGGACACGGCGTCGGTGGATATCTAGAGGTTGAGGGTAGAGTCTAGTGACTAGTGTGGGCTCTTTTGCTCCCCTGTTGTCCTTTTTCAGTATTTTTACCCCAAAAAATCAAAGCAAAAACTTGGAGACCACCACAACCCCAATTTGGCATGATCTCTTCACTTGGATCTGAGTTTTTTCATATGAATCATAACTCCAGGTACCCAAATTCTCTCTCTCTCTCTCTCTCTCTCTCTCTCTCTCTCTCTCTCTCTCTCTCTCTCTCTCTCTCTCTCTCTCTCTCTCTCTCTCTCTCTAGAATTGATCCTGGTCTTCACGAGGGTGTGGTCCAAAAATGCAATCTTTGGGGTTTTTCCGGGTTCAACATAGTAAGAGATACTGGTGATTTCAGAATTTGCATGGTCTTGTCTATAAATAAGGATTAATATCTATTTTCAACATGCAAAATATTATACGTTAATTATTGATTTTTTTATTATATACACGATACTGTTCTTATTATTGGGTGGTTGGATTATACATAAATATTTATGATTAGCTCTTATTAAGGATTTGGTGGTCCATGTTTTGAGTCAACACAATTTATTCATTAATTTTGATTCATTCTCTTACAACTCGAAGGAACTCATTTCCAAAAAATCCTTTCAGATTATCAGAAAATCGGTATTCAACTGATTGATTGGTTTATTTATTTTCCTACAAAATATTATATTATTAAAAATAAAAAAGCAGTTTTAACCTCAGTGCGTGAAGGGCTCCAATTTAGAGTAATATTTTTTTATAGAAAAATCGAAAATATATATCAATAAAATAGTCATCAAGCGATTTTAATGTATGCGCATTAATTAACACAAGTAACTATAATAATCATAATAATAATAGATAGATGCATGTGGTCCTAAGAAAAAGAATACCAATTAGAATAATTTATCAAGAACATAAGAAAGGGTGTTATTTTTTAACAAACAATGGTGGAGGCGGTGTGGGCCGTCCCACTGTCTTGTGGCGTAGATAAGGTCATGTCTACAGAAGGCAAGTGAGAGGGCCAGGGCCATCCATGTCTGTCCCCTTCCTCCCTTCATTGGTCCTCCTTCCTCACACGGCAGCCAGACAGAGAAAAGACGCCTCTTTTCTCTCCCCCACCCCCTCCTCCTGCTCTCTGGGCTCTCGTCGTAGCAGATGAGCAGGCGGCCGTTGCTTGCTCATCCAGAGCGATCCCCGGGAGGTAATTCGCCCGAACCCTATTCGGATTAGGCACTTCTTCTTCTTGTTCCGGTGTTTCTCTGAGGATTTTGATTCGTGATTGATTCTCCTTCAGTTCGTCGGCTCCTGCGCTGCTCCGGATTCGTCTCGGTTCGTGTTTCGATCTGAGTTTCTTCCAGATTCTCCGTGATTTCCACTGCGGATCGGAAGCACTCTCCAAAGGAGGGATTCGTCGTCTTCCCGAGCTTGGGATTCAATGGAGACTCTGCTCAGAACCCACCGCAGCGTCGAGCTGCTCCACCAGATGCAGGGCCTGCCGGAGAGGCGGCGAACTCACGGCGGCGCCCGCGTGACCGCCGGGGGCTGGTCTAAGAGGGTCTGCGCCATCGCCAGCCGCGGCGCCCTCCTGGAGCTCCTGCCGGAGATGAAGAAGGAGAAGCTCGACTTCGAGCTCCCCAAATACGACCACTCCATGGGCAAGACCCTCGACCTCGCCGTCGTCGGCGGCGGCCCAGCGGGCCTCGCGGTGGCGCAGCTGGTCGCCGAGCAGGGCCTCTCCGTCTGCTGCATCGACCCTTCTCCGCAGATCATTTGGCCCAACAACTACGGCGTCTGGGTCGACGAGTTCGCCGCCATGGACCTCCTGGATTGCCTCGACACCACCTGGCCTGCCGCCGTCGTCCATGTCGACGACGCTACCAAGAAGCTCCTCGACCGCCCCTACGCCCGCGTCAACCGGAAGCAGCTCAAGATGAAGATGATGAACAGATGCGTCTCCCATGGCGTCACCTTCCACCAGGCCAAGGTCGTGAAGGTGACCCACGGCGAGTTCTCCTCGTCCCTCCTCTGCAGCGACGGCGCCGCCGTGGCGGCGCGCCTGGTTCTCGACGCAACCGGATTCTCCCGCTGCCTGGTTCAGTACGACAAGCCCTACAATCCCGGCTACCAGGTGGCCTACGGCATCCTCGCAGAGGTGGAGGAGCACCCATTCGAGCTCGACAAGATGCTGTTCATGGACTGGAGGGATTCTCATCTCGCAGGGAAGAAGGAACTGAAGGAGAAGAATGGGAAGGTGCCCACCTTCCTCTACGCCATGCCCTTCTCCTCGGATAGGATCTTCCTCGAGGAGACCTCCCTGGTGGCTCGCCCTGGTCTGCAAATGGAGGACATTCAGGAGAGGATGGTGGCCAGGTTGAGGCATCTGGGCATCAGGGTGAAGAGTATCGAGGAAGACGAAAGGTGCATCATCCCTATGGGAGGGCCACTCCCTGTGCTGCCTCAGAGAGTTCTGGGCATCGGCGGCACCGCCGGCATGGTCCATCCCTCCACCGGGTACATGGTGGCGAGGACTCTGGCTGCGGCGCCGGTGGTGGCGAGCTCCATCGTCAGCTACCTCGGCGGCGGCGGGGGGCTCGCCGGGGACGACCTCTCTGCGGCGGTGTGGAAGGAGCTCTGGCCCATTGAGCGGCGGCGCCAGAGGGAGTTCTTCTGCTTCGGCATGGATATCCTCCTGAAGCTCGATCTGCAAGGAACCAGGAGATTCTTTGACGCCTTCTTCGACCTGGAGCCCCGCTACTGGCACGGGTTCCTGTCTTCCAGGCTCTTTCTCCCCGAGCTCGTCTTCTTCGGGCTCTCCCTCTTCTCTCAAGCCTCCAACGTCTCCAAGCTGGAGATCATGGCCAAAGGTACGCTCCCCTTGGTGAACATGATAAATAACTTGATCAGAGAAAGAGAATAGAATCGGCTCTCTCTCTCTCTAGAATCATTCTGTAACACTCTTATATCTTCTTCAATTTTTGCCCTCCATCTTTGCAACTCTCCTCTTGCCCCAAGCAGCAGCAGCACCCAAAAAAAAAAAAAAAAAAGATAAAAATCCATAGTCGCCCTTTTCTTCAGTTGGATTCTCTCTCTCTCTCTCTCTCTCTCTCTCTCTCTCTCTCTCTCTCTCTCTCTCTCTCGCTACTGATTTTTCTTTTTTTGGCTCCTGTTTTCACTGCTCTCCAGGAGCTCTCTTTGCTTCTCCACCCATTTATTCCTTTTTAAGGTATCTTCCCCTTATAGATCATCTCCTATTATCTGCCTGTCACCTTCACGACCCACCAAGTCAACCCCCTCAGTCATCCTTCTTTGGGGGAACCCTCCCCCCCCTAATTTTCTCCTAGAATTATTATGCAGCAATGACGCATGGTTGACTTAATGAACTGACAGCTTATGGTGGACTTTGTATCTGCACACGTTATATGGATGTAGTGAGATTCAATAAATGGGAAATTATTCCAATCCTTATCACATATATACGTGTATATACGCATATATATGTATGTGCCCCATAAATTTTGACTTTTACCTCTCTTAAATAATCGTTGACCAGCTTACCTCATCCGCCAACAAAAAATCATCCAGACATTACTCTATAGGGCTATATTCTGCTATTGAGTTGACTTGGAAGCTCATAGCTGATCACTGTGATCTGCAACAAAGCCTCTGATTATGCGTTGACTATGTCTGATCATAACAGCTCTTCTCGTGTGCCGTTTTCCGTAAGTGGTAGGGGGGTGGTAAGTGGTGGCAGAGGCTATCTTAGACATCGGCTCTTTTATTTATTTATTTATTTATTTATTTATGAAATCATGCGTTGTTAGAAAATTTCAGTCAGACACGAGTAAAAGGTTCGAAAAGGGTTGTTTTGGTAAATTAGCCGTTGACTGATGACCAAAGGGGGGTATTTGAGCAAGTATTATTGATACAAGTATAATTAGTAAGATACGGCAGTAAAATGGTGCTTACTGACGTCAGAGCACGTCTTTGTCGCCCGAACACGTGTCCAACCAGGGTGAATCCGAACCGACCCAAAACTGGCATCTTATCGGATTCTGAATGATGCAAGGGCATGCGTGGCATGACGTCATCTAGCCACCTGTCCAAACTCTCGCGCCTCCTGGCAGCCCGCACTTTCCCCCATCACCCCGGCGGCGGATCCTCTGATCATCTGGTCAACGCGAAACCTTTCTCCGGCTTCTCCTCGAGATGTGCAAGGATACTAGTCCGAACTTGGCCTATATAAGAGGCGAATAGAGAGCAAGAGAAAGCGAGAGAGAGAGAGATGGGAACGGAGGGGCGAGACGGTGGTGGCGGGGCCCTCTTTGAGACCACGGCGGCGGAGGGGCGGCAGGGGTACAGGCTCTTCGCGGGTTCAGTGTTGGTGGGAATCTCTCTTATCTGGGCTTACAGAGCTACCCACATCCCGGCGGAGGGCGGAGCAAAGTGGGCTTGGATAGCCCTGCTCGCCGCCGACGTCTGGTTCGGCCTTTACTGGCTCCTCACTCAGTCCGTCCGCTGGAGCCCCTCCCGCCGCCAAACCTTCAAGAATCGCCTCTCCCAAAGGTACCCATCTCCCTCTCTTTCTCCGCCTTTCTCTTACCCTCTCTATCTATCTATCTAACGGGGGAGGGAGGAAGAAGGTACAAAGAGGAGTTGCCGACGGTGGACGTGTTCGTTTGCACGGCGGACCCGAAGATCGAGCCGCCGGCGCTGGTGATGAACACGGTGCTGTCGGTCATGGCGTACGACTACCCGCCGGAGAAGCTCAGCGTGTACCTCTCCGACGACGGCGGGTCGGAGCTCACCTTCTACGCCCTCCTGCAGGCGGCGGGCTTCGCTCGGGAGTGGATCCCCTTCTGCCGCCGGTTCCAGGTCGAGCCCCGTTCGCCCGCCGCCTACTTCCGCGCCGCCACCGCGGCGCCGCCCACCGCCGCCGCCGACGAGCGGCGAGCCATCGAGGTAATAATGCTGTCGGAGTTCTTTATAAGATCCCTTCCTCCCATCTCATGGTTTCGACGAGTGAGGAGGGTTTGACTTTTTTCAACCTAACAGAGATAGAAACGCCCACCGACACATAATTTCGACATCTAGTGATCCGGGCCGTCCTTTTTTGGATCATTGGGTTGACTTTCTCCTATCCCTTCCATTATTTGTACATATCAACAAATGGTTAATATGGTATTTCAATTCTCTATTTAATTTGAAAATTATAGTAATATTTTGGACGATTGGTCGTGAATGGCTAATTAATTCCTCAATATTATCTTCCCATTATTCGTAATTACTGCAGAAACTGTACAAGGAGATGGAGGAGAACATCCGTACGGTCACCGAGCTGGGAAGGATACCGGAAGACATCCGCGGAGAGCACAAGGGATTCCTAGAATGGCTTCCGGGAACCACTTCTCGGGATCACCAGTCCATAGTCCAGGTAACTCATTCTCAGCAATCTTTTATCTTCCTGGGCTCTTGAGTTATTTTCGTGCCTATATTTTTATAAACAATTAAAAATAAAACAAAATCAATAAATATACCAACAGATACTGATCGATGGGAGAGAGCCGGATGCTGTGGATGTCGACGGCCGCCCACTGCCGACCCTCGTCTACGTGGCCCGCGAGAAGAGACCTCACCGCCACCATAACTTCAAAGCTGGGGCGATGAACTCCTTGGTAACTCATCATCATCATCATCATCATCATCATCATCATCATCATCATCATCATCATCATCATCATGGGGGGATCATAATCATGATCATCATTGTGATGGTCGTGGTGATCGCAGATGAGGGTCTCGTCGGAGATAAGTGGGGGGCGGATGATACTCAACGTGGACTGCGACATGTACTCGAACGACTCGCAGTCGGTGAGGGACGCGATGTGCTTCTTCATGGACGAGGGGGCAGGGGATGAGATCGGCTACGTCCAGTTCGCTCAGAAGTTCGAGAACGTGACCAAGAACGACCTCTACGGCAGCTCCTTGACCATAATCACCGAGGTACGGGCCTCCTTTCCCCGGGTTGCACGCCAACTGGATAGAGAGAGGGAGAGAGTAGAGTTTTGGGCAGACCCAAGTTAGGACGGGGGATGGACTCAGCTGGGTCGGGTCTAATTTTCTCCGGGCCCGACGCCACCTGGGGTAGCGAGAGAGAGAGAGAGAGAGAGAGCAGATTTTTGGGCAGACCCAAGTTAGGACGGGGGATGGACTCAGCTGGGTCGGGTCTAATTTTCCCCGGGCTCGACACCACCTGGGTAGGTATATGTATATATATATAGAGAGAGAGAGAGAGAGACAGACAGACAGACGGACAGAGCCTCAGATTTTTGGAGCAGACCCAGTCAGGACGGGGGACGGACTCAGCTGGGTCGGTTCTAGTTTTCCCCGGGCTTGCTTTGATCTTGCTTGATAATTATTTGGCTTAATTTAGCAAAGTTGGGGCCAACTGATATGGTTGACGATCTAGTTTAAGATGAGGACTAAGATTGTTTTTATGTAATGGTGATGTTGGTTTTGGAGGTGGATTTCCACGGGCTGGATGGTGTCGGAGGGCCGCTGTACACGGGCTCGGGGTGCTTCCACCGAAGATGGTCTCTGATGGGTAACAAGTACAGCGACGACTTCCGGGAAGACTGGAAGGCTGGTGGAAGGAGAAGCCTCAAAGAGATCAGTGCCCTTGCCTTGGAGCAAAGAGCCAAGGTCCTTGCTGATTGCATCTTCGAGGACAACACCGAATGGGGGAACGAGGTACCCCCTCTCCGTCTCCTTCCCGCTCTCTCCATCTATCTTCGTGTCTTTCTATCTCTCTATCTGTCTATCTCTCTCTTCTCTCTCTACTGTCTCTCCCATAATGATCCGCAGGTGGGTCTGTCTATCTTTCTCCTCTCTATCTCTCTCTCTTTCTCTCTCTCTCTCTATCTCTATCTATCTATCTATCTATCTATCCTCTCTCTTTCTCTCTCTCTCTCTCGACTGTCTCTCAAGGAAAGAATGATCCGGGCAGGTCGGTCTCAAGTACGGGTGCCCGGTGGAGGACGTGATAACCGGGCTGTCGATTCAGTGCAAGGGCTGGAAGTCCGTCTTCTTCAACCCCACGCGGGGGGCCTTCCTGGGGATCGCCCCCATGACGCTCTCCCAGACGATCCTCCAGCACAAGCGCTGGTCCGAGGGCGACTTCCAGATCCTCCTCTCCCCCTTCTCCCCCTTCCTCTACGGTCGTCACTCCACTGGCCTTCTCCTCCAGATGGGCTACTCCATCTACTGCCTCTGGGCCCCGAACTCCATCCCCACCATTTGCTACTCCCTCATCCCATCTCTCTCTCTCCTCGGCCGCACCACCCTCTACCCCCAGGTAAACCGATTCCATTTGGGTTCTCTTCCTTTCCTGGATAGGTCGTTCACAGGGAGACTGAATATGATTCTTTTCCGGCAGGTTTCCAGCCTCTGGTTCTTGCCCTTCGCTTACGTCGCCGTCGCCGCCGCCGGGTACGGCCTCTGGGAGGCCCTCCGGTGCGGCATGACGGCGAGGGGATGGTGGAACGAGTGGAGGATGTGGCTGTACAAGAGATTCACCTCGTATCTGTTCGGGTTCCTGGACACCCTTCTTCTGAAGGCGGGCTTCAGAAACTCCACCTTCGTCATCACGGAGAAGGTCACCGGCAAGGACGTCGCCGGCAGGTTCGAAAGGGAGGAGATGGAGTTCGGGGCTTCGTCCCCTTCCCTGTCGTTGACCATCCTGGCGACGCTCGCCATGGTCAACCTCTTCTGCCTGGCCGCAGCTGTGTGGAGGATGGCGGCGGCGGAGGCGACGGCGGCGTTTCTCGGGGAGTTCTTCTTCCAGCTTCTGATCTGCGGGCTTCTGGTCGCGATCAACGGCCCTGTTTACAGGGCAATGTTCTTCCGCAAGGACGGCGGCCGGATGGCCGCCTCTGTGACCGTTACCTCGACGGCAGCGGCGGCGGCGGTGGTGTGCCTCGCAGCGGCGCTCATGGCGTCCCCACGAGGGTTTATCTGAAAATTGGTACTCGCCAAGATTGGAGCTTGTAATAAGATAAGATAGGAGAAGATCTTTCGATTCTGCCTGGCCCGTTAACCGCTCCGATTCGGAACATCAGTCGCAACGAATCGTTGACGCGGGAGTTTTGGTCAATGGATGCCTTTAAAACGGACAGGAATAAGTGGGCCTGCCTTTATGACTCCATCACTTCGCTGACTTATTGCTATATTTCGCCGTGATCGCCACGACGTAGTCGCCACCTCTCTCTCTCTCTCGCTGAACCCTTCGTCTTTTTTGCTCTTCTTCTTCTTCTTATTATGAGGAGTCGCGCTTCTCGCCGGGAGATAACCGGGAAGGTCTGCTAGGTCGGGCTCCAGTCGGGTGGGGAGCGAGGAGGATCCGAGGTAGGGATCTCTTCACTGTCTTTATCTTTGGGAACCTTCGTTTCTTCCGGCATTTTCTTTTCTGGCTCCTCGATTGATCGACCGGGTCATGCTCTCTGGGGAAAATTTCCTGTTCCATCTCCGGTACCTTGCCCTAGTTTTTTTTTTTTTTTTCTTCGAAAGAAGGAGGATTATGGTGATCGGGTATTCCTGACCATGGCTCGAGAATTCTGAAAGCATTCCATCGCCGGAACAATCTGTTTCATGGAAAGAATTTGTCCCCTCTCGTTTCATATTGAAGGAAATCGAATTTACGGCGGATCATTTCGATTGATCTTTATTTTTTCCGTCTGTATCGGATTTTCGAAGTGCCGAATCACAAATCCGGAGCCAGAGAAGTTAATTTTCGATGCGTACCGCTCGTCAACAGAAGATGATTGTAACCTAATTTTCCATTTTTGGTGCAGATGGAGTTGCGTCTCGTAGCCATTGTGGCGCTGAGCCTTCTGTGGAGCTCGCAGTCGGCTTTCGGCATCAGGTTCGTGATCGACCGGGAAGAATGCTTCTCTCATCCGGTCCCATACGAAGGGGACACAGTTTCTGTGTCCTTCGTGGTGATTAAGTATGATGCCACTTGGCGCCGCGGGGACGATGGCGTCGATCTTGTGGTGCGTTACCTTTTACTGCGCAAATCGATCATATTCTGCATCTTCATGTCTGCAACCCTTTCCGACCATTTGGTAAAAAAAAAAATTGGATTGTTGGAACGGAAAATTCATGCTCTGTTCTAGACCCGCCTGCTGGTATGAGATCTTACAATGATGATGAGAGTGGGGAGCAGCTAGGGGGAGCTTCGCGGTGAAGCTGCATGCCCTAAAGTCAACTGGTCGAAGGCCTCAAAAAATGAAGAAGAAGAGGAAGAAGAAGAAGCTGCATGCCCTATAGTCAACTGGTCGAAGGCCTCAAAAAATGAAGAAGAAGAAGAATTGTGGTGGCTCTTTTAGCGCCTTTAGTGGGGAAGTGGAGATGATAGATGGTGGGAGAGGAGCCATCAACCCCTACCATCCGAACTATATAAAGCCTTCTGATCCTGAAAGATGTTATGCTCATAGAAGATATTTGGGGAGAAAAATTGGATCCACTTAGTGAATGAATCAACCTTGATAAGCTGGTTATGAAATCATCACATGAGATTTGATCTGACTGAGATCCCAGCCTCTTATGAGCTATTTGGTTCTATCAGAATCTGGTGGCCGTGGGGATTGGTTCTTGGTTGACCCTAAAAGTGAGACCAGAGCTTCCATGAGGGATTTGTGATCAGTGAGGAACACTGGTTGACTCCGACAGTTTTCTAGAGCTAGCACAATATCACCCCTCTTCTAGAGTTCTCAGTCTCTTAGAACTGGCATAAGATGGGGTTCCTGAGACTGTTACCCTTCATCGATGATGGCCAGACTTTTGCCAGACGTTGACCAGCTCTGAGCTTGTTCAACTGGTTTCAATCCTGGGTCATGATGGTTGGCAATTGATTCAGACGTTGACCAGCTGTGGTTAATCGTAGTTTGCTTGAATGGGACTGTAGAGTGGGCTATGATTCCATAAAAAAAGAGATCATGTAGTCTTAAACATAGCATTGACTTCCATATAAGATCAATTATGTCAAAGAATATAATAAAATCCTCTTAGGAAAATAAAAAGATGATTTTTTCCATTGATTCCTCTCTGCCTCAGGTGAAGGGCCCAACGGGTGAACAGATCCGAGACTCTCGTGGGAAGACAAGCGACATGTTTGACTTCACCGTTCGTCACAAGGGTCTTCACCGCTTCTGCTTCGTGAACAAGTCTCCTTACCACGAGACCATTCAGTTTGATGTACACGTGGCCCATTTTGCATACTATGAGCATCATGCAAAAGATGGTGAGAGTCAGCGACCTGATCTTAGTTTCAGCCCCTTTGACTCTGGCTTTGACTTATGTGCAATCTATTCGTCTCCCTGTAGAGCACTTTGCGCCGGTCATAGAACAGATTGGAAAATTGGAAGAAGCTCTGTACAACATACAGTTCGAACAGCACTGGTTGGAGGCCCAAACTGAGCGCCAGGCCCTGTGTAAGAGTTGACTTTTTCTAATACTGCCACTGCTCTTTAACCAAGCGAAGGTTTTTCTTCATTTCGGAGATTTTTTTTTCTAATGGGCTAATTTTTGGCGAGTCAACACAAGTCAATACTTTCGTTTCAACTCTCTTATAAACAAGGGAATATAAGAGATATATAAATCTGGATCATGCATGTATAGCTAGTTTTCTGAGGATTTTGGTGCTGGTTTCTTCACATGTGATGGTTTTTGGTGCAGTGAATAAGGCGATGAGCAGAAGGGTGATCATCAAGGCCCTCTTTGAGTCAGGAGCTCTGGTGGGAGTGAGCGCCTTTCAGCTCCTTCTCCTCCGCAGGCTATTCGAGAAGAAGCTTGGTAACACGAGGGTATGACTGTTCTTCCATGCGATGGCCAACTGATTAATGAACGGGCAGTTGGTTTTCTTCGTCATAAGTTGTACCAGCAGGGGCACGTTAATCTTACATACACAGATGGGCACTTTGGTATTCTCCTGGAAGGATGACAATAACGTTAAATCGGAAGCCTTCGAATCCAATGACGTCGCACCCCTGATCCGAGAGAGAGAGAGAGCAGATTTTTGGGCAGACTCAAGTTAGTACGGGGGAAGGGATGGACTCAGCTGGGTCGGGTCTAGTTTTCTTTGGGCTCGAAGCCACCTAGAGACAGAGACAGCGAGAGAGAGAGAGAGAGAGAGAGAGAGAGAGGAATGATTTAAACACTGTTTTATGTGATACGAGAAGAAGCAGAAGGCAGATAATTTCGTCAGTCACAAAATAAGACCAAAAAGGTGGGGGCACGGCAAGTGAAGAGAGAAAAGGGAGGGGGGGGGGGGGCGGCTGTGAAGTATTTATCTTGCCTTAGCGATCATATTCTCTGGTATAAAATATATACATACGCAATGAAGCTCTGTGCCTATTCATCGTCCTCCCTCCCTTGCTCTCTTCTCATACCACCGTCGTCCTTTTCTTATTCTTCTTCTTCTTCCTCGGGAAAGGCGATGGGCACCTCCATCAGGACCGGGAAGGGCTGGCCTTGATGAAGCAACACCATATTCTCTGGATACCCAAGGGAAAACCCCCGGTCAGAAAACCTGCCATATCTAGTCACCGTAGTTTATAAGATTCATGCAGCCATATTTCGTTAGAACCATCTATAGAAACCTACTATTGATAGGATGCCAGCTCTCTCTCTCTCTCTCTCTCTCTCTCTCTCTCTCTCTCTAGGATAGGTGAGTACAGCTCTGGGCCCGATGAGGCATGAGCTGGGCTGTGAATCATAAGTTGAGATAGGACTTACAGCAGGCTTGGGAGCACCATAAGCCTGGGCGTCCTTTGTGGGTGAGCCCAGCACCACAGCATCGCCACCCGTCTTCTTCTCATCCCTGACCTTGTTGAAGATCATCGTGAAGCCCTCAGCAGATGCAGGGTTATTAACGTCCCAGTCCCCAAACTTGGGAAGAGGGCTGCCCTTTTCTCGCTGTGAATGGGAGATAATGCTTTTCAGAGATTTGAACACCAACGAGCTTGCAATGAGAAGATGGAGATAAATGGAGGAAAATAATGGGACTTCAATGGAGTAAATCTAAGATTTAGAAACTATGCCAGGGCAGCAGTTGACTAGATCGAGGGAATGAAGCTCCTGTTGGCTGCTTGAAGGACACTGTTGAACGCGTGCGAAAGCAAACAAAATAGATTCATAGATTTCTGGCAGATTCCAATGTTACCAAAATCATGCCAAGTGAAAGTGGTCGTATTCTGGACCTTAAGGGGACAAAAGTAAACGCAGGATGAAATTTGAGCAGACAATTTATTTTTTTTGAATGCTACCATTTTTTGAGCAAAGAGGAAGAGAGAGACCAATTATTATGAAAGTTTACTTAGCAGGAGACGCTTTTGTTCTACTTGAGCAGAGAATATCTAGGCAGAAAGATTGATCCGCTCTCAGAATCTCGCCACAGTGAGAAAATAATCCTGAAATAGTACCACAATCAAGCACCAGATTCCATCTCTCTCATACAATCCCTCGGATGAAGCTTAGGATCCAATGCACCATCCAAGAATAGCTTACAAACCCAAGAATACTATCAACAGTCAGTTTTCCTGATCCTGATTGACATTGGCAATGCCAGCTGCTTGGTACTCCAAGAAGATGAAAAGGGAAAGATTAAATACGAGAGAAGTAGTAGAGAAGGAAAACAAAACGGCACGGAGGAGGTGCCACCCCTGAAGCAGGTCAGAACAGCTTCTCTCAATCCCAGACACGTTTCACTCCGAGTAATTCTAAAATGAAAGCCCAGATTCCGTCCACAGCGTCAGAGAGACTCGGAAGATTACGAAAATCAATGATTTGAATTCCTAGATTTCCTAGATTTCCAAGAATAAAGGGGGATCTGAAATCAGATAGGAGATCTCAATCAGATACTTGCAAGCCATGTTCGGGGATACAGATTTTCTACTGCTGTGATCCTGAAGAGTGCTCGGCATCCATCAAAAAGCAACTATAGAAAGGAATGATGAGCAAGCGCCACTATCTGCCAAGCTGCTCCCTCACCAACCATTAAATATCTTCCCACTATCGTCAGATTTTCTTCCCAGTGCCACTTGAATGAAATCCCATACGCATTAACGTCCACTTCGCGGAAAACTATAGCAACTTAGAGCATGACACTGGATTAAATCTGCACAGACACCTGCATAGCAAAAGCAGAATCGCGACGCAAAAAGTCGGATCACCGTTCACGATTGAAATAATGTATAGGGGACGACTAGTCAAAAGCACGGTGGTAAGCGCCTCAAAACCAGAAGAGTCCACCAAATCCACATCGAAAATGCCTTCAGCAACTTCGTCAAACCTTCACGCAAGATATCTCACCAGCAAATACAAACCACAACCCCTAGTCCAGCCGGCCGACCGTGGAACAGAAGAGAAGAAAGGGAATAAATCAGCGCCGACACCACAAACACAAAACACTCCCCTACCACCGAGTTAGCGAAGGACTCCATGCTTCACACACCCGGCCAGACGCCTTCAAGATTCAGATGAGGAAAGCATCAGCTGCTTACCAGAGACAAAAGCATCGGAGGATTGCGGAAAACGAAGAGTATGCCTTCCAAAAGCCTTCCAAAAGCCTTCCAATCTTACCGACATGATGATCTCTGAGGTGAGCCAAGCAGCGCGGCGGAGAGGAAGAGGGGTAAGTGCGGCGGAGGAGGAAGAACACAGATCGAGCAGGCAGGCGGATCGGAGGGGGAATGCTTGGGACAATATTTTTTAAATATTATTTAAAATTTGATAGATAATGATAGGTTATCACCGTTAACGGAGTCACAGAGGCCGCCGTTAACTACGGCGACGGCTCCTGCTCCAGAGGCGCCGTTAAATGACCATGAAGCTTGACGAGTCCGCATAGTTAACAGAGCGACCGACTAAACTAACGGAGTTCTGCGGTGGGTGACGTCATCTGCTGTATGGCGGCTGGAAAGAGCCGTTTTCGGACATTCGAGATTCCGACAGGAGGTCTCGATAAGCAGGAATTAAATCCGAGGCCCACGTAAAAGGAGATACTTAAAAAGCCCCCCGCCTTTATGGGATATTTGTAAATATACCCACTTTAACTCAAAGTCTATCCCCGTCTCACCCTACAGCCGTTTCAAGGGCTCACGACGATAATTTTTTATAAAAAAACCCATAGTGAGATCTGTATTGATATAATAAACCCCATAAAAAAGTCAGAGGTTTTACCCTTTACACTGGCTGAGTGCCTTTGACTGGTCTGTCACCAACGGCCTGTCATTAGCTCAGAGTAGGGTAATATGAAAAGATGGAAACCTGGTTGACCAAAAAATAAATAAATAATAGATATATTACATATAAATATATGCATATAATAGATGACTGAACCAGGACCAGTCAAGGACAAGGTCAAAGCTCGGATTTAAGCCGGAAAAGACCCATCACAGAGAAAAAGTCAACTCACCGGGACAAGTATGCGATCATCATCATCATCATCATCATCATCATCTGGGGCATGGGCATGATCATCATCTTCTTCACCGTTGTGGGTGCTTCCCTAATCAGAGTTTCCAACAGTCACCAGTAAGAAAGGTAAATCAGGCTGCTAGCCAGGACAAGCATATAATAAGATAGAATCATTTTATGATGATTCTGTGCGCTCCCTGCCCTAAATGTTTGATATAAAAATGAGACATAATATTACATAAATAAACGAGAAATACAGGAAGAATTGAAAATAATACCTTCATTGCATCAGCTTCTATGCACAGAAGAACAATGAAGAAATAAATGGAATTCTCATTAATTTTTATCTTAGCCCAGGTTAGGAGAAAAATCCCAAACCTTCTGCTAGAAACTCGCTAGATTATGCTATTTATTGCATGCTAGCTTCTCAGAGAATTTCTAAGGAGAGGTTTCGAGAGTAGAGTAGTAGGTCTGTGTTGGACTAAACCACTATATCTTCCGGGCATTTCTCTTTTTTAATTCCACAAGAAGATTAAATCATGAAAAAAGTCGCCTTTTTTTTCTTTGGATTCATCTCCTACCTTGGACTCCCCCACAGTTGTTGAGACATATCACTTCTTTATCCACAAGAAGCATGCTCATGGAACCAGACAGCGATAGAGATGGACATGCTGCCGTGAGAAGTCAACTTTCCTCCAACCATGGATGCCTGGAGGAGAAAATTTATGTGTTAGTCATTCATGGGTACATGTATAATCGCATGCTTCCAGATACAGCAAAGAAGACCTTGGCAGGGCCATACCCATCGAATAAGAAGAACACCATGTCTGCAGATAGATGCAAGTATCCCCTGTTAAGAGAATTGATGAACTCATCTTAATCAGGAAGAAATATCTCAGGAATCGGTTCACATGGGTCTGACATTAAGCTCTACATTTATTGACCAACCTCAGACCAAAGAACCTGCCTTCATATTGCATTTCTTCGACAGTTCCTCAAGAAATTTAATCTTTTCGATGCAGAGATTAATCTCTCCAGCAAACTTTCGTCACTTTTGTCCAGAGATATCAAGCCTCTGTTCTGTATGTCCTCTAAAAGCATCTTCCCTCTGACGATATCATTTTCTTTATAAATCGCACTGATTAGTACAATGAATGTGGTGATATTGGGCCAAAGACCCTTTCCTTTCATCTCGTCGTAGAGTTTCCAGGCAAGAGAACATTGACCCTGACTGCATAATCCAGTGATGAGGACATTGTAGACCACGAGGTCAGGTTTCACGCCACAGTTTTCCATCACATCTCTGATATACAGGGCATTTTCAAGCCTGGCTTCTTTACAGAATCCATGGATCAGACTTGTGAAAGTTGCTATTGTTGGCACCAGACGACCACGAAGCATATAATCCAGAACTAACATCGCTTCTTCAAGTTTCCCACATCTGCAAAGACCTCTTACAATGGCACTCTCAGCCACCTCCGAAGGGGCAACACCCAACGCTTCCATCTCATCCTTAAGTCTGAAAGCTCCGTGTATGTCTCCTGCTCTGCACTTTCCATTAATCAATGTAATATAGTGTGTGTGCTTCAGAGAAAACCCTCTCTCCTTCATCTCATGCATCAGACTATGAGATTCTCTGAAAGCTCCTCTTTTATTTAGTTCATCGATGATGGAATGGTAGGCAACTTCATTAGGCGCGACCCCTAATAAAGTCAAACAATTTAATACCTTGAATGCGGATTCCATGTGACCCTTCTGACAGCATCTACAAATCAGCATGTTCAATGTTAAAGAGTCGGGGAATACACCACTCCTCACCATCTTTTCAAGAAATTTCACCCCAATGTCTAACATCTCACACTCGCACATCCCAAGAATTAGAGCATGGTAGGTTACATTATCAGGCAAGTAATCCCTCTGGACCATGGTTTTATACAGGTCAAATGTTCTTGACAAGTGCCGCTTCCTGGAGTACCCATGGATAATGATGTTATAAGTAGCTAGACTTGGGCGCAAACCTGCATCCAGCATCATGGAGAAAAGCCTATCCACAATTGGCATCTGTCCAGCCTTTGAATATCCATCAATCATGACATTGAATGTTGCAACATCATAATAACTGCTGCTTACCAACATCTCATCAAAAATGTAAGAAGAGGCTTTTATTTGCCCTTCTTTGATCAGACCATTAACCACACAGGTGTAGGCAACATGACATGGAAGCAAATCCTTCTCCTCCATCCTTTGGAGGAGAGCTACTGCTGGAAGAATTTGTCCTTTCCTGCTGAACCCACCGATGATTATTGTGTATGTGTGAACATCAGGTTCTATGTTCCTCTCAATCATACTGTCGCATAAGCTTAGAGCATCTTCCAGGTGCCCTTCTTTACAGAGCTCAGCGAGAAATCGATTACAAAGATAATTGTCAACACCCCAAGAAGCATCAAGAAGCTTGTAGAAGAGGTTCTTGGCCTCCTCCAGATTCCCACACCTGCATAGCCCTTTAAGTAAGCTTCCATAGGTAGAAACACTCGGAAGCCAACCCTGCCTCACCATTGGATAAAAAATGTCTAGGACTCCTCGTCCATCACCTCTGCTAGCATATGCATCCATAACATAATTGAAACTAGTGGTGCTCGGAGCTACCTGAATCCTGACCATATGTTGCAAGAACTCCTCTGCATTGCTCAACTGACCATCCCTGCAGAGAGCAGCCAGAAGCGTGTTACATGTAATTAAGTCAGCGCCATGTCCTCTGCGAGACATATTAGTGTACATTCTCATGGCCTTCATGATCTCGCCATTTTTGCATAGGTTGTGTATCAATGTCGCATATAAGATTTTATTGGGCTGAATGCCAGATCTGAGCATGTTGCAGAGTAGCTCTTCTGTGTGGCGCACCCTTCCCATTTTGGAAAACCCATTCACAATTACAGAAAACGTAACAACATCGGGATCAAACCCTGCTTCAACCATATTCCCAAGAATTTGAAGCGCTTCAGGCAGCTGCCCTGCCCTGCAAAACCCATCGATCAAGGTCGTGTAAACCATATGATTGACGAGCCCATTTGACCTCATATCTTCAAAAAGCTTCACAGCACTGCTCAGCTCTGAGTGCTGACAGAGCCCCTTTAAGAGAGCACTGTAAGTCACCATGTTTGGAACAAGCCCTACAGCCTCCATTTCATGAAGAAGCTCCAAGGCCGCTTCCATGTTCCCATGACGGCAGTGCCCATCAATTAACGTGTTGTAAGTGATGGCATTCGGCTCGATGTTCTGTCTCAGCATTTCATTCAAAACCTTGGTAGCAGCACCGATTTTCTGCTCCTTACAGAATCCATTGATAACTGTATTGTAGGTAACATTGTTGGGAAGTATTTTGTTCTTCCTCATCTTCTTCAACAATAAATAAGCTCTGGCGCTCCTTTTTTTTTTGCATAAATTATCGATGATCACGTTATAAGTGCACACATCTGCCTTGATGCCTTGATTTTCCATGAAATTTATCAGCCTTATCGCCGCTTTATATTTGGCCCTCTTGAAATAAAAATTGAGGAGTATATTACAAGGGACAATGCTCGGTTTATATCCGATATCTGACATCTTCCTCAGCAGGTAGTCGGCTGTTCTAAACCTGCCCTCAAAGCAGAGAGAATTAAGCACTGTAGTGAACGTGCTCAGATCAGGGCAGATCTTCTTCGATAACATCTCCTTGAAGAACAGCCTAACCGAACTCATTCGTCCTTCTCTTGACAGAGCAGCAAGGATGCTATTGCAAGTACAGATGGAAGCCTTGAATCCTCTGGCACTCATCATGCGAAAGGTCTCCACAGCATCTGTGAGCATACCTTCTTGAACATAGATCTTTATTAAGAGGTCAAAGACTGAAGGGTTGGAGCTGCAATGGCGGTAACTATCCATTAGATTGTCAAAAATGGCTCGGGAACCCATGCCAGTTGTAGTGAGATGCTTCAACACCGATTTAGCAGGTTCATACATTCGAGCCCGGATAAGTAAATGGGACGTGATGCAGAAGATCTGAGCTACTTGATCAAAACCTGGTTGATGCAGTACCCAATCAAGAAATTTCAAAGCCAGTCTTCCATGAACCGTCCGAAGCTGTGTCAGTTTGTAGTTCATATGGTTCAATGACTCCCACCGATGAATGGTAAGAATCGTGTGGATGCTATCTTCATCTCGTGGTACTGTTCAAGATATCAACGGGATTCACAGGAAATCAAAATAACGCATGAAAACTACTGATTTTTTCTCTTTGAATGAATGAATGATGATGGAATAAAAATCCTAAAAAACAGGCAAAGCAGCAACCCAAGAACCTGCTCCATTCACTGAATGTAACACATGAGCGGTAGGGGATTTCAAAATTCCTTCTCGGCCGATTCAATGATCTTTTTTAATTGCGAGGGCGAAGATACATACATCGTTCAACAGTTCTTCGCAAAGAGACGGATGTTAGAAAATTTCTAGTTATTTAAACTCATAAAACGAAAAAGACGAATGAAAGATATTGGCGAAGGTTGATGTTCCACAGTGAGATGCTCATCAGGAGGAAGGATCATAGAAAGCATCAGAAGTAGAGAGTAAGCGCGCTCAACGGATAGCGGGAAAAGCCAACAGCTAGAAAGGGTGGTCGTCCCCTTCTCTTCCATCCTCAATCTCTTCCTTCTACTCCAGCAGTGATCATATGGGTTTGGAGGATTACAAGAACTGGGACAGCCCGGCATCTTGCGGTTCCCGTCGGAGAAGCACCTCGCTCCCAAGCTTCCGGAGACGGTGGGCCTCCTCAGCGACGATCCAAAATCAGACGCAGCATCCCGCAGGGAAGAAGTTCTCACCGCTTCAGCGGAGGGCCGCAACTCCGCGAGCCGCCGCTTCATCCTGTCTTCGAAGAGCGGGGCGGCCGCGGGAGGCGGGAAGCAACCTCCTGGTATGGAGGCGGCAAACCCACTGAATGCGGGTTCGCGACGAAAAGCTGAGATATTTCCGTTTCAGTCCCTAACATGTTCGGATACTATATGAAGAAAAAAGTCTCTCTCCCATGCTCTCTCCTCCCTGAGCACCCTTATCCATCTTCGCCCTCCAGGAATAGAGGAAGGACATGGAGGGTGCTCTCTCTCGTTTGCACGTTTCTTTCTCTGTTGCTCGTTCCTCCGGCATCCCTCGGCAAAAGAAACCTGTGTTTTCGACGTCATCTACTCCGGATGACGGGGTCTCCTGTCGCCAAGCCGGAAATGTCGCGCAGGGCAAGGCGAGTTCAGCTCATGTCGAGCGGTCCTCGAGGAAGAAGATCAGTTCGACAGTGTCCTCTCGCAGAGCTGGTGGATGTCTCTCGACAGTACCCTTTACAGTGTCTACGTTACGACACTTTCCAACTCATCGCCATTTCGAATTTCGCAGATAGGGGTGGGATTTCCAGGTTCCCAGGTCCTCGACAGACCGGTGGGAATGTTAATCATGAGGTTTCTCCCCACAGGGCAGGTGAAAGCTTTCTTCCTCGCTATGGGTTCTTTCGTCTCTGTGGGTGCTTGAACTCTGTCACAGCTTTTGTTCAACTGCATCCGTTGGGTCTGCAGCTGCGGCCGTGAGGCTCTTGAGAGTTGAGCAAGGTGGAGCGTTTGCAGACCTCCTTAACGAGAAAGGCAGTCTCTCAGGAGAAAACAGCATGAGCTATGTTGAACGAACCCTCGGCTTTCGCACCCAAAGCTTGGACGACAGAGATATCAGGCTGGTATCGTCGGTCTTTTCAATCCTTCTTCTGGCATGGAATTTCTCAGTCCGACACGCCCTTATTGGCTAGGCCAAGATCATGAGGAAGAAAGGTTTTCTTATGCCAGAGCTACATTTGAGAGCTGCCAAAATGTCTGGCAAGGCCGTGGGAAATTCAATAAGCAGAAACGTAAAAAAACTAGAATAAGAACAGATCAATATGAAATTAAAGTAAGGTTAATGATTAGAAAAAACCCATTCATTTAAAAATCGAGAAACAACAGCAGAAGATACACGGAAGTAGCCATCGGACCTGTAATCATGATGAACTACTGATTGCGAGAATTACGGGAGTAGATGCTTTTCTTCCTTGATTGTTTTGACTTTCGTTTGAGGAACTCATGGTCCACAAATCATACGCCAAGGTGGTGTTGTGGGTGCTGAACTTGTGCAGCTTCCAAAGCAGTGTTGAGAATAGAATTCTTCATCGATGGTGTTATTCCATTTTGATGATATATCAACCGAAATTCCATCATAGTGATGTATCTAGTCGCTCTTACGCAGAACCCTTTTTATTTACTTATCGCAAGCTTATGGTTCATAAATTTTCATTCTCTTCTAGTATGTGCGCATCATTTCCTAATGTTCTTCTTGTTGTAGGTTACAGACATTGTGGGTGGCGTTGTGCGGTGGAAACGCTTCCTTGATCATCTAATATCATCTCTTTGCACTGAGGATAGGTTATTCAGAGGCATGGAACCGCTTCTATTGCAGGTATGACTTGATGATTTAGCTTTTCTTTCAAAAAGTTAGGGAAAATTAAAAAAAAAATTGCTTTATTGCTAAATCATGGCTTCCTGTGTTCTTAGATTCTCCGAATTGGTTTCTATGAGATCCTCAAACTTGGCATGCCGGTACATGCTGTTGTCTATGAGGTATGTCTGATAGTCATCTACTGTGCACGTACGTTCTCTTCTACACTCTCTGTTGAATGCGAGCTTTCTGTTGTGTGAACTGATTGGAAAAAAGAAAAAAGTTCCTAAAAAGGGTGATTTTATACTTTTGATGTTTACTTTTAATTTTTTGAGGTTTTCCTACTATCCACTGCAGTAGTGTGAATTATCTGACAATGGATCTGGCAAGTGTAAGTAATAAAATTTAACAAAGGAGTGAAATTATTGCAAAGTTGTCAGCTTGAACTGTGGAATCAGATTGGAGTAACTAAAAGGACTAAATCCAATCCAAATATATTCAATACTCATTTGCTTATTTTTCCTGACATTTGATATACTTTTAATAATATTCGGATGTTCCACATGGTTGGTGTTAACATTTTTTTTTTTTTATCATAATTTTTTTTTCTTGCTCTTTGGTTATTATCATTCAGTCTTGGTATCTTAAATATCACAATGAATGTTTTGCAATTTCATGTTCAGAATGTCAAACTTGCGAAAATTGCTCTAAGGCCTGGCGCAGGCAACCTGGTCAACGGACTGCTGCGGAAGCTAGTTTTACTCATGGTTTGTTTTTTTTTTTTTGTATCATATGCATGTTAGCATGGTCACTCTCCCTGAAGTTGCTTTGACTAGGTTTTTCTTTTATGCATCTTTGGATCCAGGAGAGAGAAGCACTTCCGCTACCAAAGATAGAGGGTGATGATCGAGCACAAGCACGTGCTCTTGCCATAATTCATTCTCACCCTGTCGTAAGCTTACCATCATTTCATGGGTGTATCGATTGCTAAAGTCCTTTTCATGTTCCTCTGGAGAGCGCACATTCTAAGAAGCTTCCATCTGTCTTCAGTGGATGGTGAGAAGGTGGCAGAAATCTCTTGGTCTAGAGGAAACGGTGAAACTTATGAATTGGAATAACACCGAACCCAGCTTTAGCATAAGGTTGGAAAAGCATTTGAGCCGTTCAATCTCCTGAATTTAATTTGTTATGAACTTGTATTCGCTGACACCCTGCCCCGTTTGGTCTCGTAGGGTAAACTCTGCCAAGGGCTTTACTAGAGATGATCTTGTTATGCGTCTAGAATCACTGAAGGTTAGTCGGTTCTCAATTATATTTACGTGTTATCAGCAGAACCTATTCGGTTTCTGTATAGGATTTTGTCTCTAATTGTCGGAGAACCCTATTCTAGTCTTGCGAACTTTATTGGGGAATCCTATACTTTCTCATAGTTGCGTCAATCTCTTCCAATTGTAAAAAAATAGCTTTTATACGTGCGCTGAAGTAAATTATTACTTTCTAAAACGTCATTTTACTTGTTAAAATTTGCGAAGCTTTAAAAGACTATCTGACCTTTGTCCTTTTCATTGCTGTTAACCATCCCCACCCCCACCTCCACCCACCTGCTCACTCTTAGCTCAGGTATTTGTTGGGATGCTTGCATAAAAATTCTTAATCATTCTGTTCTTACCCTTATTGCCTCATTTCCTGATCAATTTGCTCATTGTTTTAATGAAATGATTTAAATGATTTCTTACCCTGAAAAATAAACATGAAAAAGCTTATTCGTTACTTGTGTATAAATCCATCTTCTTTTGTCCAAAATGGACCTGAGGTTCATAATCTTGTTGGATTCTAGATTGTGCCGTAATTTTTTAATTTTTTTATTGACATCACAGTCTTGTAAGTAGTACAATGCCACTTTTTCCTCTAATAAACCAGATGTTATTCAAGGGAATTCTATGAAGCCATCCGACATATTAGTAGTCTTTGAGATATATTACTCTCGTCGTAGTAAGTTCATCAGGATTGGCCTTTAAGACACGTCTGGGCGTCTGAACTCCAACATTCTTATCCACTCGTCAAAATCATCCATTCCGCAACCCGCAGTTGCTTTTGTACTTGATAACCCCGAATAATGGATTCATACACCGTTCATTGACCATATCTCTAGCATTTCAAGTTTTTATCTTACATAGGTGCCAAGTTTGACGTGCTGAAAGGGTATGACTTATGAGAGAAGTTAAAGATTTTACTGAGAATATTTAAGGAAAAAAATTACTTATCAAACAAATTTCTGTATGACAGTGTCAACTTAGTGATTTCCATTTAAAAGTAATGATTTTATCTTGGCTGGATATATATTTATGCACATCTTCTTGAGAGATGAGTTAATTTTTCCGCATTATTATTTGACAAGTCAAACTTTTGTTGTTGCTCTTTTGTAAGCAGGTTCCTTTTGAGCTGTCAGAGAACATGGATGATTTTGTTCGCATCAAAACTGGTATGCAGGTGCGTACTGCAGCTCTGCTCTGTTATTTGTGGCTACTGGAAGTAAGTTTACGCAGATTTGCTGCTTCAATCGAAGGGTAAAACAAATATTAATTTTTTTATGAGCTTTGTGATATTAGCATCTAAGTAGCTTTCATGATGTATCTTTGTGGGGCCGAAAGGATGAACAAGCAATATTTTTTGGTATCTCAAAATTGTACTCACTTTGACGAAGATAATGGTCGCCATGGGCAAAACCCCTGTCAAAGTCTGGTGTTCTGCATGTTCTGGTCAAAATCATTGGCATTCTATCTCAACTGATTCTCCGTATACGATGAAAGCGACGAAGAACTCGAATGTTTTTTCTTTGACTCGGGGCATGTTGTGGTGCTTATTGTTTCTCCAACTCTTCTCTTTTTTCTTATCTTTTTTCAGACCATCATACAAGCGGATTTGCTAAAAGAAGGCTTATGTTCTGTTCAAGATGAAAGTGCAGGTCTATCATTTATTTCTTCAGTTTAGACTGCTTAAACAAGATATGAAGATCTGGTAGAAACATTATTATCGTCAGATAGAAATATTATTCCTCCGTAATATCTTTTATATTTTGGTAAGAAGCTAGAAAATATCCCTACACCATGAGATGGGATCTGGCCATCCATCCCTTGCCCCTGGACCGATTTTCATCACCAGATTCCTGAAATAAGTGTGTTCAATCCAGGAAATGTGTGTTCTGATCCAGTTAAATATTTTGTGCAGGCATGGTGGTGTCTCTGTTGGACCCACAGCCCGGTCAAACTATAGTTGACTGTTGTTCTGCACCCGGTGGAAAGGCTCTTTACATGGCATCTCTGCTAAGAGGCAAAGGTGATCTATAAGTGAAGAAGATGCTGCATTTTCCCGCTAAAGTTATTTTATTTTCTCAATACCAATGTGGAATATGAAGAGGAAGATTTTTTTTTCCTTATAGTGGATGATTTTGGTAATTGCTAGCTTCTTTCTCTTTCATTGATGCTTGCCCCTTTCATTCAATTTCTAACTGATAGCTTTCATGGCACTGAAGAGGACCGACCACATTATTCCCCTCACCATCTTTCTGGCTCTCAAATCTGAGGCTATTGTTAATAAAATGAGCTTAGAGGATACAACTGAATGAAACTGATGTCACGTTCATATGATTTGAAAAAGCATGTTTGCATCTGATATTAGTCTCCGATTTCTCTATTTTTCTAGTTTAAAATTCTAGAAAGAAATGTAATCAAAGATAAATAGCTTCCCAAGACAATTCATTTTGACAGTTCTTGCTTTTCCGTGATGCTTCAGGCTCAGTGCATGCAATTGACATAAACAAAGGCCGACTGAGAATACTCGTGGAGACAGCCAGATCGCACAATGTCGACAATGTCATAAAAACTGTCCATGCTGACCTTCGTGAATTTGTTGTAAGTAATTGTTTATCTATCTATTTGTTTTATTGGAAAATAAAACTAAATATTACCGTCCCAGTTCTTTCTGGGGATTATTCGGGTAAATGAACGAGGTGGCATTTCAGGATATGATTAACTTATCTGTTTTTTTCCTTTTGAGACATTTCTTCCGCAAGACTATCCATCTCTTTGTTGTTATTGATCCGGAGGAAGTGGAAGGATTAACTAAGTGTCCATTTTCTATTATTTAAGCTCATTATTTTTTCCCAGGAAAATAATTTCATGGAGTCAGACAAAGTCCTGCTTGATGCTCCATGTTCCGGATTGGGTGTACTCTCCAAGGTATTGCTCACGTGATTTGATAATCAATATTTTATACCGAAAAATATTTATAATTGTTTCTCATTGGGTCTGATCACTGATTTTCAATTCTTTCGGATGAACAACTGCCAATGTTCCTTGACAACTTCCTCCAGTATGACTGCATTCCTTAACACTACACCACACCAGACCGATTAAACTAAATCTCTTCTACCAGATCTTATAACACTTCAAACTCCCAGAAAATATGAAATAATAACGATATTATTTTTCTAAAGTATTAATATTAATCATTATGGCAGATAGGTGCATTGACCACGAAGCAATGACAATATGGTCTTTCCAAATGCGGAAATATTTCTAGGATTTAGATGGTCAGACTTGAGTTCATCTATAATGCAACTATGCCAAAGTTTATCCACCTGGCATCATTTATTTTTTTTTCGCTTCAATTCAGTGGAGGTAAACCTTTTTGTCAAAATTCATGTTTATTTTAGCATATTAAACTTTTTTTTTATTTACTTTCTCAAGCGAGCAGATTTGCGCTGGAACAGAAAACTGGAGGAAATGGACCAGTTGAAGAGATTACAGGATGAGCTCCTTGATGCAGCGGCCATGTAGGTTTCATCTGCTTCTCTTCAGTCTCTCTTATTAGCATTTATCTTCAGTGGAATAATTGGATCGCAGTATTCTGGAAGCCGATGCTAAGAACAGTAACACATTAATAATTACAAGAATTAAATGAAAGGATGCATGTACTCTGTTCATCGCCAATTGGTTTCAGTTTGATGACCCATTTAATATGCATGGACCTGTTTAATTTTCTGATGGCATATGGGATAACTATTGTTTGGCAGCCACGCTCGACAGGTCGGGAATGAGAATGGGTTATCCGTCATATGAAATAAACCTGATTAGACTCCAATTGGTTTGTTTATTTATTTATTTGTTTATTTGGATGGCCCAAAACATGAACACCCTCAAATTGATGTAGATGGGGAAGACTGACACGTTGACTCTAAGAAGTTAGCCTTATTAAAAATAATTAAAACATTATAAAAATCCATCCAATTTTTAAAGGCTGGTTTGGCTCTGAACCCCCATAAGGTAATTTTTCTAAAATCATTTCTTATGAGCTTCTTGGGCTGATCTTGAAGGTTGGTAAAGCCTGGAGGAGTACTGGTCTACAGTACTTGCTCGATTGACCCCGAGGAAAATGAAGACCGAGTCAACGTATTCCTCAACAGGAATCCGGTAGGTGCTCAGTTGTTCTTCTGAGATCATCATTCCCCTCCACTTATGTCGGAGAAATCCAGGAGTTCTCCGTGGATTCTGCCGCCAAGTTCGTGCCTTCGGAGTTTGTGACCGACGGGGGATTCTATTCCTCAAATCCGGTGAAGCATTCCTTGGACGGCTCCTTCGCTGCTCGTCTAGTTCGAAGCTCAGAGCCGGCCGTCTGATTCTCGGTGAGTCAGGTCTTGTGCGTTGACTTTCCGATGCCAAGCTTCTGATTGTACTTGTTCGCCGACAGGGAGGCCAGGTTTCCTGCCCGACTCTGCGTAACCTTTCTACACCCATTTCCAGTTTTGGGCAGAATCCTGTGTTCGGTGTGTCTGCAATCAGTGAAGGCTCTTCATTTTATGGATAATCTGGGAACCCAACAAGCAGATTGCATTCAGATTGATGAACTCGACCTCTGATGTCATGTTCGAGGATAAAGAAAGAAGCCCGAGGAACGGCTTCTTCCCATGATCTCAAGAGGGAAGAGGAACAGAGAAGCCCCAATGGCGACTACCGGTACCAAAGTCTCACCCATTGCAGAGCATCCGCTGACTTTCGTACTGTTGTAAAATCTGACTATTCACAGCCAATTGATACGTCCACTCTCGCAAGTCAACTCTTCACTCCTGAATAGAGTGGTATAAATGCAATTTCCTTTCAGCCTGTATTATCAGCATGGATGTAGATGGAGCACGTCTCCTTGTCGGTTCGATGGAAACCGCAACGGTCATTTGCAGATCTGGTCACCTTCTTCGGTGCTAGGTCTTCGGCGTCTGTGGAGATACCGTGAGGATAGCACGAGGTCGAAGTCAACGATCAAGAGGCCCCGACTCTGCCTGGTAGTCAATATAGCTTGTTCTACCGAGTAGAGTCTGATTAATACAGATATATTTTATAATTCGAAGAACAGTTTGATCTATGCGAAGGATACAATCCTATAAATGGAAACAACAATCGGTCAACTACGGCGTCCAAGAAGAGCGAGGGAAAGATCCTGAAGAAAATGGAGCAGTTTCCCGTCTATTAGACGAGAAGTGCAGAAGCTACGACCCCCCCCATGATAACCGCCATTACTACAGCATGAAGGTCAACGAAGAGCTTGGAGGCAGCATTTGGCGTCGGGTGGATCGATGGGCCGGCCTCGGAAGCGGAACCCGAGTTCCCCCCCGTCTCCGGGGCAGGCGCCGGGCTCACCGGCGGGTTGTGCACCATCACCCGCACGACAAGCTTCTGGCCGGCCTCGCAGTGGCCCGGCTTCCCGCTAATGAAGAAGAAGAAGCCGTGGCGGTAGAGCTCGAAGGTGGTGTCGCCGTCGTTGAACTTCAGCGCCGCCGCGGTGGTGTTGCAGCGGCTGTAGCCGTCGTAGTCCACCGCCAGCACCGAGTCGTTCTCGTACCTGAAATCTGCATGGAGATAAATGTCCCCCCTCCTCCTCCTCGTTAGCAGCTGCATGGTGGCGGAGGGGGAAGGAGAAAGGATGAAGATGATTCGGTGAAACGGCGGCGATCTTACAGAGGGCGTCGCCGATGTGGAACCTGTTCCTCCTCGCCCACTCGTTGTAGGTCTCCGTCTCGTTCCCAGTGGGCTTGTGCCAGCCCCTCGCCCCGCCGACCCGGAACTCCAGCGCTACCGCCGCGGAGGAGAGCGCAAAGAGCTCCAGGAGAGCGCAGAGGAGGAGCCACCGGCAAGTTCTCTCCATGGCGGCGCTCCGATCGCTGGGGCAGGGAGGAAGAAGAAGATGATGATGAAGAAGGTGATCCGGAGCTGGCGAGAAAGGAGAAATGGAGGGAGGTAACGGGGTGGGGTGCTCTTTATATGGAGGATCCCAGGGTAGTTGCCGCTGACCGACGGGTCTTCAGGTCAAGGTGGTGGTGGTGGCATGCGTGGGGAAGTGGGCCCACACCCCGACGTTAGTCCGATTCTTTAGTTTGACTTTGTCTCGCTTGGACGTGGTGGGGCCCAACACCTCTCTCTCTCTCTCTCTCTCTCTCCCTCTTCAAGTCAGTAAGATGTTGGCCTATTAAGTAAAGTGGCCCATTTGTATTTAACTGGACCCCAACTTGGTTAATGGGCCATACAAATCGGGCCCATTTATGGTTCCCAATCGGGCTCTGAAAACTCGCAGGAGCAGGAGGGAACGCAGAGGGTTTGATCGTCCTCAACCTCAGACCGAGCGCCAGCTTTAGAAAAACCCTAATTAATCTCCTCCTTCCTCCTCCTCCCTTCCTCACCTCTGCAGTTTCTCTGTTGAGTAAGATGATACCTACCCCGGAGTCCGCATTAAAGCTCTGGAAGTGGCAGGTGGCCTGCACGCCTTCCGCTTCCTCGGATAGTAATCCTCGCCATCGCCGTCGCCATTGAGATCGCCATCACCGACCTTGAAGAGGCCGGGGCGGGCTTAGCTTGAAGATTACGCCCACGCTGACGGTTGCAGTCGCTAGGGTTGACACCAGTCTATATAACGCAGGAATGCCATGACGGGGCGGAAGAAGAAGAAGAAGAATGCCGAAGGGATGGATGGGCGGGCGCTCTTCTTCCTTCTCCATCTCTCCTGCGAATCCCTCCCTCTCTGTAGGTTCATTCCTCTTCTTCTTCCTCCACACGTCTCCGCGACGATGGAAGCCCTGCGATAGCTCTCCATGAAAGGAAGGTCTCCCCATGCATGCACAGGTCGGCGGCGCTCGTCGTTTGGTTATCACTCTTCGACTCTTCCGTAGAAGCTAATGGCGGAGCCCTTCCTCGTAGGTCTATCGCCGGCGGGAGAGGAAGAAGGCGTCACCGGACCGACCCAGCCGGTCACGACAGAAGAGAGAGAGCACAACCCAACACCGGCGAGAGAGAGAGAGAGAGAGAGGCTGCTCGCTTCTGAAGGGCGTGTGCTCTCTGCTCTCTCTGTCATGATTCTAGGGTTCCGGGTCGTCGTCTACTCTCAGGTACCTTCATCATCTCCATCCCCATTCTTCCCGTGAAGTAACAGCTTCTTCGATTCAGAGAGAGAGCTCCCCCCAGGAGGAACAGGTTTCAATTGAGAGAGAACAGCAATACATATCTACAGACGCCATGCTCCTCTCTCCTCTCCTATCCCAGACGCAGCACACAGAGAGAGCGAGAGCGAGAGAGAGAGAGAGGAGTCAGGCGCCCGCAGCGCCGCCGGTGGTCTGGCTCGTGGGATTTTCGGACCAGCGGAGCTTCAGCTCGAGCTCGCCTGACTCGACGTCGCTGAGCTTCAGACGGACCTCCTGGACGATCTCGCCGGCGACGAAGGTGACGAAGCTCTCCGCCATTAGCCGGTTCTCGCCGTCGGGGGCCACCTTCCTCAGCTTCGTCTCCCCCGTCGACAGCCGCAGAGCTCTGCTTAGCCGCGCGCCGGAGACCAGGTCCTGGAGGCTCACCTGCGCCCTCCCCATCTTGTCGTCGGACTTGAACCGATCGCGGTCGAACACCTCCTGCAGCAGAAAGCGCCGCCGTAGCGCCGCCGCAACGGTCAAAAAGATACCCTTTTTTTATCCCGTCCACTGTTAAAAAAAAAAAGAAGGAAAAAACCATTTTTACAGGATATCATGTTTGCAGTCAAAGATCGGAGAACTGCCCACCAGCTGGAGGACTCCGACGGGTTCAGACACGGAGAAGACCAGCTCTTCGTTCCAGACCGGATTCAGGCAGCTGTTGATGACCTTTGTCTTCTGGGTCTGAGGAGCACGGCGGAATTATCAGATAGAACCCTAAAAATGGCGTCCGATTACGACGAGAACCACATCTAGATAGCCCTAGATGCGGCGTGGAGAGGAAGCCCAGAGCTCCAACTCGAGGACTTTCGTCTTCGAGGATGAAATCTAGGGTTTCTGAAAGGGAATCCGGAGAAGAAGCAGACATGGCGGATCTGACGAGACCTTCTGGTTCACACAGATCTCCATCGGAGAAAGGTTGAAGGAGCACCTGATTCCCGAGCTTGACGATCACATACGGATCGCTGCTCTTGAAATCCCTAATGGCCAACCGCTTCCCCCGCACGACCAGCACCTTCAGCGTCCCCACCCGGCCTTCCATGAAGCGGGCCCTCCTTCCTGCAGGGGCTCCTGGTTTCGGAGAGATCTCGGAGAGATCTCGGAGAAATCAGCCCCCTGCGCGAAAAACCTCGGCCATGATCAGCGGGAGCTAAAACTCGACAGGTGAGGGACAGGAAGCTGAGCTCCAAGGGGGAGAAATCTCTCACCGGACTGCACGAAGCTCCACGCGAAAAATGGGCGGATAAACCCAAGTTGGCGTCCTCCCCTCTCTCTCTCTCTACCGCAGTAAGAGAGGCAGCAGACGATTCTCCACCGTCGAGGCCGCCACCAGGAGGACAAAGAAGAGAGATAAAAAGAATGACAGAGGCGGAAGAAAGGTTGACCCGATGACGTGGTGCCGCCAGAAGCCGACAAATTTCGACCCGTCCCGGCCTTATCGGCTTAAGAAGACGACGATGTCCACCGGCCCTAATCGCCGACAATCGCCCGGCGCCGCCGCTCCGGCGAGGCCTCGGCGGCAGGGAGCGCCGTCGGGAACCAAGGAGAAGAATTCTCGCGCGCCCCCTGAATCGGGCAAACACTGTTGGTTGACCTCGACGAGAACGGGGCAATTTCGACGGGTTTTCAGTAGGTCAAGTGCCCATGTCAAACCGTGCACAACACGTGGGAATCCAGAAACTAGTCAACTCGTAGCCAGATTATGACATGAAAAAAACATCAACATCCCAACAATCTTGATGAACCAGAGCCGATTGATCTCCGACCATCGGCTGATCGGCCTCAACCGGGCCGTCTCTCCCTCGATGAACCTCCGTTGACCAGCCCACAATTCGACTCGGCGGGAGATGAGATGGGATTTCCAGTGGGAGACCAACGGCTTTACATCAAATTACCCCGGCACCTATGGAGGCGGCGGGGGCGGCGGCGGTGGCGGCGGTGGCGGCGGTGGCGGCGGGACCCATAGGATCGAGCAGGGCCTTTCCACCAGTGGATGGTCAACGATCTACTCCGGGTCGACGGTGAGCTATATATATAACTATGTGACTGGGTGAGAACTCTCTAGCCTGATTTAGCAGCCCTCCGCCTCCACACACTCTGCATTGACCATGATGATGATGATAAAGATTCGATCTTTTTGATGAGAGAAAAATGCGAGGAATTATGGGGAGAAAATCATACGAGAGGTTCGTTCTCTGAATCGTCCCCCTCGTCTGCTTCCGAAGAATCGTCCGGCTGCTCCTCCTGCGCCTGCGTTGACTCCCCTCCAGACCCTGAAAGCGGCGGCCGCTCTTCTCCAGCGGAGAAGTCAACAATAATTAAAGTGTTCTAAAACCTTCTGGGTTATCCCATTTTTATCCAAATCAGGAAATCTCGGAGCAAAGATCTCAGTTTAGCATATATATATATATACCCGAGTCACCATTGTCGACCTCGGAGCCGGAAGGATGATGGGCACGCGACGGCGCAGGATCGTCCCCGTCGTCGGATTCGGAAGAATCCTGATCGATGCCTCTGGTTCCTTTTCTGCGCTCCCTTCGGGTCATCTTTCTCCTGCCGCCAGAAGGTCAAAACCCTTTTCACCAAAACAGGAAACGCCGGCGAGAAACGACCCGAAGGAAATATCTTACTTCTTGGAGGAACCCTTTTTCCGCCTCGAGACATCTTCAGGGTTCGCTCTCTTGACCTCCCTCGTTGACCTGAAATGAGGTTTCGGGTTTTAGAATCGGTCAAAGGGGGCAAATACATAGACTCAAGGAGAGAGAGAGAGAGAGAGAAAGGGACTCACGGCTCATCAGGTGAGAGAGAATGATGAGATTTTAGCCTCTGAAAGGGAAAGAACACAAGCTCATTAGGAATCAGAAGGTTGACCAAACACACGAGAGGAATGGGCCGAACGGAACAGAGACCTTCTTGGGCGCAGGATCCGTGTCAACTACTTCCCATTTCTCCTTGTGCAGCTGAAGAACTTCGACGTCCCCATCATCATATTTAATCTTCAACACGAGGGCAAAAAGTTAAACCCCACAACAGAGAATCTGAACGTGGTCAACGGAATCAACGGGCATGTGAGGATGAAGAAGAGACAGAGGGATACCACATGCTTCTTCTTTCCCGGATCGTAAGACTGCACTGTTCCTTTATAAAACCTGTTAATGGAGTATATAAGCATATTTAGCAAGAGCCCGCTGACCGAGTATAAAAATGTCAAATAGAGCAGAACCAAAAGGGGATGAGACTCTGCAGAGCGGATAATCTGGCTGTTTTAGGAGGATAATTCAAAATAAATCTATTTTGTCAAATGCGTACTTCTTGTCCAGCGGCCACCAGACTTTTATTAGACATCCGATCAGATCAGCATCATCCCTATTGGATTTCTCTGATGAACACTGCAGAGAAACAAGATAATTTTTTGCATTATAATGCGCGTTGACTCCCAAAACACCATGATCATCCGTATGAATGAATCATCCATAAAAATGCATCTATGCAGAGCGTGAAGTGAGGCAGGGCAGGCACAGAGCAGCTCATCCAATGGCGCTCTCTCTACCTGATGGAATTGTGGGGTAGAACAAATGACTAGCTGAAGTGATAAAGTCAAATGGGGGAGAACCACCTTTTCTAGTCCACCAATACTTCTTTTCTGCTTCCTGTTAGATTTTGATGGGGTGGTATCAGCCAAATCAGGCTGATCGCTTTCTTCAGAAGGCTTGGTCGGCTTCTGGGCAGGGAAAGATTGTTAGTTTCCCAAGTTAGCAATTTTTTTAGAGCAAAGTACATGAGAGAAGAGGAAGGGCCTTCACCTGGGTGTCTTTCTCGCCAGTTCCCACCACATGGGTTCCGTTGGGCCCCTTGAGAGAGCTCTTCTTACCGGATGAAAGGGTTTTGGTCGCTGGAGGACAAGACATCACAACCACTGCATCAGGAGACACAGCCCTCTGCTCTTCGAAGAAGAACCCCATGCCAGAGACAAGAGTATCCTTACCAGATGCTCTTTCTTGCTTGGTGGCTCTGCTGCTTCCCTTCTGGGCCCTGGTAGCCCCCGGTGGAGGCATGGAAGGAGAAGGCGATGACTTCCTTTCCAAGCCAGAGACACATACAGGAGCTTCGTCTTTCCCATTCTTCTGTTCAGTGCTCTTGGTAGCCTTTCCCTCATTCAGAAGGTACTTGAGATCTTGGTCTGGTCTGCCCGAGTCCATGTCCGGTAATGTCTCCTGGTTGTCTAAATTTATCTCCCTCACCATTCCCAGAACATCGATATCAGTCTCTAAGCTCTCTAAGCCGGTATCTGCAGCCTGCTTCTTCGCCATTTTCCTTTTCTTTGCTGCCTGAGACTTGAAATTTTTCATGATTTCTCCAAGGGGCAACTCAGCTCCATCTTCATCACTCTCTTTCAATACCTTGTGATCCTCGCTGACAGCAGTGTCTACCTGAGACCATGATAGAAGTTAGTGGTATATGGGTTACGAAGTTGACCAAGAGAGAGAAAGGACAGGAAGCTATGATCATTCGAAACAATTGGTGATCGAACCCACTTTTTCCTTCTTTGCAAGCTCAAGTGATTCAAAATGGGCCAAAACTCTATCACGGTGCGTCCATGTCTGTACTTCATTACCCTGCACAAGATAATGAACGATATGAGAAAATGGATACCACAAAAAAAATTAAAAAATCAGATAATCTGAGATTAGGGTAAACAATAGAAGTTTCTTGTATAAGCGCCCAATATCAGACCATATCATAATTCCCAACGCATTATTATTTTATTTCTTTGGGATCGAGGCAAATCATAGATATGGTGAAGAACAATATTTCAACTGACAGAGTGCCAGGCTCATACATATCTTTCCAAGTATCATACAGATTAATAGATGCTACTTTCTTAATTATGATGATAACAAGAAATCGCGTCAAGCTAGACACAGACCAACAAAGTCCCAAAACTCCCCACAAAAGCATTTAAACGAATCCCATAAACTCGTAATAGTCCTACTGAAGGTTTGGATAGGTGCTTTTGCGACCCTCACAGGCTGGAATTGAAAATTCCTAAGAAATTGTTCTCAAGGCTACTGAGTTGGCGGCAAGCCCATATCGACCAACCACCTTCAGTCTGCATTGACAGACATTCTCCTTCCAAAGGCACGTCTTGGCCCAAGAGAGATATGAGCTCAGTTCTCAGCATCCTTCTACTTTTTGGAACTATGAAGGCCATAAAATAAAATCTGGTAGTAAGACCCTAGACAGCCGGTGCAACTTTGCTTGCATTAAAAGATATTGTACTTTATGTAGGGAGAAAATAAAATTCATGGTCACAAATTGATTGCAGAATAATATTTTTAAACCTTGTATTTCGTGACCAACCTTTGTAAGAAAGTTATTAAACATGGGCTTATGAACTTTGTTCCAGAAAAATAAATTCAATTAGACATACAACACCCCAGCCATTTTATGTCGTATTTACTTTTGGAAAAAGCGGGATACCTGCCATTCATTGTTTCGGAAAATATGGAAATACGCTGTGCAAACAGGTCATATAATCTCTATTGAATTTCCTAAATTATATATTTTATATAAGTTACAGTATTTTAGGTCACTCAAACTGTCTGAGGTTTTCAATGTTAGCTTATTGCTAATCATCACACTATCTCATAGCTCAAATTTATTTTGATTGGCAATGAAACCTGACCTAAGTCAAGTTTCACTGGTTCTATGTTCAAAAGTGCACTACAATTGAAAGAATCAAGGTAATAAAAAAAAAACAAGGACTAAAATCGCGTGTTTATGAATTGCATATGGCAATTCTTGGAATGATGAGTTGTATCAAAAATTAAAAAAACAATCGAGGACTAAAACTACTTGATTCGGAACTGTATACGGAAATTCTTGGAATGGCACTATGGATTTTGTAGACATTTAGTGTTGTACTACACCTCTCACCTCTCTGGTCCTCCAACAATCTGTTTGTCAATACATTTATACATCTCAATTTTCCCTTCCTTCCAGGATTATACTCCCCCCATTAGAACTCATATTTATGTCACACCAATCAAATATTACTACCAGGTGAATCTGGTGACAAGCCACTGAATGATAAATAACGTAATTAGTAAATTCTGAAAATCTGGGTAAAAAATTCTTACTAGATGGCTGGCATCTTCCTTCTCCAGAGGTTTATAAAGTTGTTCCGGCAAGGTGACTGGCTTTGCCATAGCTTCAACATCTATTTTTTCATGGCATAAATGCTTAACAATTGACAACCCAAGATCACATAGAGCATGTGAGTTCTGCACGTTATACAATAGCCCGCAGAGGTATGGAGTGAGCATCTTAACCATAAAATAAAGAGTATTTCATGCTAAAAGGCAAGGATTTTTTTTTTAATTTCATGGTGATAAACACATGACAGTGGAAGAACTCATATGAAAGCTATAATTTATTGATTTACCTTTGACTTGTCATTGATAACAATATCCCCAGATTGCTTGATACTCTGAAAGATAGAGACCACTGCAGTAAGGCTGCCCTTGCTCTTGTCGGTAGAAATACTAGGTTTGAAACTTTCACTTCCTTGTAATAGCACAGAGAGAAATAAATGCAACCGCCTGGAGAACACAAACCATTAGCACACAAACAAGAGGCTATAACCAGTGATAGAAATGGTATCGCTAATTCAATCAACAGAATTAGAAATTTTCACTTCAATAGCATCCCAAAGTAACTTTCAGAAGACAAGGACATTAAAAGTCTACACTGGCTAGATTATTTTTCAGGTACGAGACAAGAAATATTTATGGACAAAATCCCTCATATTTTGTAAATATCATCTAGAAAGCACACCATTTGATCCATTGGTTCACATGATCTATGTAGAGTGGAAGCTAAAATGAGAGCATAAAGCATGTGGAACTAGTGCTAATGCAGAAGCTTCCTTATTGTTCTGATACTAATGTTGATCGAATCCATAACAAAAAGAGCTGACATCCATGTATATTTTCTAAGCGCTCACAGACGGAGTAGGCAGATGGGGAAAAGCCGGTAACTATATGATCTTTCTTCCCATTGTCAGATCCAGAAAAAAACAACAGAAAGAGCCCAGCAAGTTAATTAGAAGAAGCAAGCTTACCGATAAATTGGCTCAAAGAGCTGGATATGCTTGTATTTATTTATATCTGGAAATGTTGGATGATGCGCAAGCGCATGGACCAAGTACACAAGAATGTATTCCGGATAAGACGTCAATGTGTTTGCATCACTTTGCATAATAAGTTGGCGTGCTTTCACCGTGTTACATACTTGGAAAATTTCCAAGAGGTTGTGCTGACCCTGCCAAAAGAATTAACTCACTTAAGAGGGATTATGTTGCTCAAAAAGGGCTGTCCAGCACGTTCATATACACATTTTGAGATAAAAACAATAGCACAACAATTCACCTCCAGAGACCCATTGGGTTCTGAATCAACCACATTGAATAAGAAAGCACAAGTGTACTTGGGATCCAAGAGCCGCTCCTTTATATACTGGTGTACCTTGCTAAGAAATAATTTCCTACATTGAGGATACATATCCTGCATGTCAAGCAAAAATCATTATGTATATTTTCTGGAGATATTAACCCTTGAAAACAACCTCTAATAGACTGCCTATCAATGGCGTCAGTAGTGTATCACAATGTCTTTGTTCACAACTACACATTGAGGACACCCCGAAAGTATGAGTTGGTATCAGGTGCAGACTCAAACCTGGGAAGTTCCCAAGGTCAAATAAAAGATATCAAGCGGTATTTTACTTTCCCAAAGTTTTGACAATCGCAGGATGGCCTTAGCTGATGCAAGCCTCAGATGGGACTTATCTACAGCACTGTAAGACAAAATATTCTTAGAAAAATTCTGCGTCATACAAAAGCTAGGGGTGGTAACCATGCAAACAAGACAATATTAACAGGCTGTTCATTACCTTGATTTAATGGAATTTGAAATTTCCCCGAAAGAAAGTATGTTCCTAAGGATTCCCAAGAGATTTTCTATTCCCGAACGGAGAAGAGCATCTTTCGTAGGCAAGTAGCTTCTGACCAAAGTTTTGATGCCAAATATCTGCAGCATAAGAAAACAGAGCTTAAGCATCATCAGAAGATAATATGCACGCTGTTGATCCTTGTTAAGCAGCTTACCTTTAACAAACAGACTTCACTTCTTTCATTCCAATCGTCAGTATGCTTAAACTTTTTCTGTGTCTTCTGAAAGAATTATAACATGTTAGAAAATTGAAACCCCAGGAAAAGGAAACAAAGCACAGTTTTAATAAAGAGGAAAGTTCTAGATGGTATACACTGTTACATTCAAGAATGTTGTGTGTTATGAACTCAATAATTTCACCCTCTCTGGTTTCGAATATTGGCATCGCAGTTTGAGCAATACAGCCCAGAGACTGAAGAATGGCTGGTAAATGGGTCCTTTCCTCCAACATATCTACAAGTCTCTGCGAAAAAAATAAGAATTTAAGAAACGCAAATTCCATATAAGGAAACATGGCAGGAAAAGCAGAATAGCACGATGAGACTCAACGAAAGTGCTTTATGCAGTTTATCAAGGATATTGCGGAGTAACCTTGTACAGAACAGAGAGTGACTTGAGCCCATCATCTTTGGTAATCGATGCTAGGGCTTGTACGGAGTATTTGGCTTGCCCCCGGGTACCCTCCAGACATAGTCCTTCCAACAGTAAATCCACCGAGCTGAAAGAAATCGGAATAAAAGTATAATATGCGCATTATCTTCACTCATTCATTTGGTTGAAATTTTCAATGCAAGAGCCAGCTGCAAGCACCTTGATGCCTTAGCCAGTTGTTCCCGTATGGCCCCACCAGCCTTTGCTAGAATATGTGTGATGCCTTCTTTTATGATGTCATTATCCTCTTTCAAAAGATTAACGAGATCTTCTTCAAAACCATCCAAAAGCAGGGGACAGAAAGATGCCAAGATCTGAAAGTGTAGAATCGGAATTGCAAATACTTAAATTGACAGGTGGATGAGGGATCAACTTGACTATTTACAGACGGTAAAGAGGCAAATAAAATAATTCTTAAATAAATAAAAAATCACACGATATGGATGGCAAGCTGATTTCAACACTGTTATCCTATGGGGAGGAAGTAAACAATCGTCACAGGAATTATGGCATTAGCAGATGTCCTCCTAGTCCACATAAGAGACACCATCGCAAGTGGAAATTACATTTTGATGGCCTTGAATAATATTAGCCTTATGCGAAACTGAAAGAGATGAACAGATGCATAGACAAGGATACGAGTAATTTAGAGAAAATAAAGAAAAATAGACCTTCATCATATTAAAAATACGAGAATCAGAGAAAAAAAGAAAGATTGGGGACAGAAATTCCTAGAATGTTGGTGAAAGAGAAACCTCAATCAGTGGCTACATAAATAAATGAATAAGATGAACTTTCAATATGTTATATCCATGCACCTCCAGCATTTTGATAAAGTAAACAGACAAGAACCTAGCGCAACCTTAAATGTATCGCATAACTGACGAACAGTTATTTCCGGAGAGAGCTGGTTGATGGACACTATGAGGCAAGGTCGCATGGCTTTCCCTACTTTGATTTCTTGCCTTTTATATTTCCTTAATGCAACAAAGCATCACGATTTAAAAGCTCTAGGAAAATATCTTCATAACACAACTTTGGATTCATAAAATTCCTAGGTGGGTGAAGGAGATTCTTAACAATGCATGGAGGATTGTGAAAAACACAGCATGTGATCCTTGATACATTTATGCCATTATGCTGAATATCTCTCAAAAGTTTTGCCCATTGGGATAAGGCTATTACTACTTCTTGCGTAACAAAATAAACTCATCATGAACGCATAAGAGGGGATTTCAACCAAAAAAATTCAAACAATCTCTCATAGATAACCAAAATTGAAAGAAATAGCAGATCCAAGTTACCGGGAGCAGACTCATGCACGATGAAACGAATTTTGGGTCTCCACCAGATTCTGCAACAGCTTGTGCAAGTATCTCCTTGACATGTTCCTTATTGAATAGCAGATACGAGCACCTCACGGAGAATGTAACCATAAAATCGTAAAGAGGGTGTTTTTCTCCAAGAATCTTAAGAAGCTCATCCTGAAAAAGATTTCCAAGTAAAAATCCGAATCAATATCCGTGTGCTTGTGAAAAACCAAACATTTTTTCGTTACAAATCGTAATGAGATGACATCTAAGTTAATGTCATCTGCATTAAATTTCCCAAGATAAAAAAAATGAAATACCCGAGATCCCCAAGCTACATCAAAACTTGTGGAAGGATCAAGCAAGAGAGTCAAAATTTTCCATATGTTAGCATCTTTCAGTTGATTCAGGATCTGAAAACTCTCTTCAGCCTTCGGAGGATCACTAAATGAGCGAGACATTATCCTGAAACTCGCCAAAATTTTCTTGTAATCTGGGGCATCGTTGTCCTGCATTTCAATGAGGCTGGTTTCAATGGCAGTTATCAAAAAGATTTTTGCAGGCAAGAATGCAAATAAAACAAACCTGACATGTCTGCCTAAGGGAAAGGTACTTCCGCATTTCTTGATGAATCCTGTAATCAATGAAGACACCCCTAAATTATATCCAAAATCTATCAAACAATGTGATTTTAGCAAAAGAAATGAGAGCAGTAGATTTCCGAAAATATTCATCGAGAAATTTAAACAGACCTTTGTTTTTGCATAAGAATTTGCTCAAGTGCTTTCACCTCAGTTTTATCAAAACCTGAGAAAATTGTAACCCAGTGTTTCACTTTCTCCTTCGTGTTGAATTCAGGAGGAAACAATGAACCGCATAAAATTGATTCGATATCTTCAGACCTGTAAAGAGTTTTTAAAAAGCGTGATAAGTTATCATCACAGTTCTCAATTCAGATTTTTATAACTGAAGCGGCGAAAGATTTGATAAATCTGACAACAAAGTTCAAATCTCAAGTCCAAACTCTCACATCATATGCCCAGTACAAAAACTAATATATATTATAAACTCATGAGAAAATCCAAGAAAACATACTTGAACTTCATTATGAGAAACATTTAATAATATGAGCATCTTCATCTTTCAGAAATTCCAGATTTTATTGCTTTCTTCATTTTTTTCACAGTCTACTGCAAATTTACCAGGACTATCAGTAAAGTATTAGTCGCCATTCACACAGTGCTTGGCAATCAGAAAGTCATTCAGTCCACGTTCGCCACTCAAATGCGGCACCATGTATATAGAAGATCATTTATTTAATGTGGACATTCGAAACTTCACAACACGGAAGGGATATTGTCTTCATCAGTTCTTAGAATTATTATTTTCTCTCTTATACTATCTAGTTCTATTACAACACCTAAAAGACAGCAGCATCCGAATCTCCCATTTCTCTAAAAGTGGCTTGGATTATGTCGATTTTCTATTTCTCAACAAATGGACGCCAGTTATTTGTTCTCTCAATAAGCTGAAAAGACAAAAAAAATGCACCTCAAGAAAAAACCGAAGACTTACACCATCTCCCACATTACTTAAATTTGTAACAAGATAGAAATGAAATGGCATGCCAACAACTGTTCTCTCGACCAAGAATTAACCTAAGCCTTATCGAGAACCTACAGCATGTACTTAAGATGATAAATGGAACTGGATCTAAGTCTTCGACATTGACTTAATAGAATCATCATTAAATTAAAACACACTAGCACAACCAACTTTCCAGGAAAATACAAATTAGGTTTTCAAACAATACCAGCAATCAATCCACCATAAAAAATGCAGTATCTAATTAGTTTATTACAATTCCCAAACGGCAAGCCACCTTAATCTTAGTAATTTTCTCTTTTATTGCTTTTAACTTTTAGGCTGTTGAGTTTACCATCTGTCTGGGAAGAACAGATAAAGTTCACATGGGAGAAAGAGACCACTGAATACAAACTAAATAATCTAGTCTTGATGCCTAAAAGAATAAACATTTGTTGCAATCGTTATCCAATAGCATATACATCATTAGAAACTCCCTCAGCATTGCATCAAAATGCAGCCCAAATTATACATGCTTGCGGATGATAAGATCATACTTTTTTGTGCAGCAGCAACTTACCTAAAATCCCTATCATATAAACATCTCAAAATTTTCCCAGGTATCCATTCAAACTCGTCAGCGTTGACCAGAACATCAGAGCTCCTCAAGCAGTAAAGTTTGTACAATTCAGCCAGTCTCTCCATTGTGTACTTCTTAACTTTTAACTGAGATAATTGTCAAAGAAAACATTAAACAAATGCTCATAGATCTTTAAACATGAACGGAGATATTAGCTAGAAGTGATCATACAGATTTGTCTCGAAGGCGCTCTGCAACTTGCTTAGATGTCTGAGACGAAATAGATGTCAATTCATGAGAAGCAATGTCATACATTGCGGCAACAACTTTTTCCCGAACTTGTTCATCATAGTCCAACAACCGGTCACATAATGCAGCTGCAGAAACCAACACAATACGTGATATGAGTACACTGAAATTATCTTAATCCTGAAAGATCAAAACCAAAAGGAAACCCGTGGAAAAAAGATTTAGAAAATTGACTCCTTACAGATGATGTCAGGAGCTTCAGGTCTAGAAGGATTTAATATCAAAAAGTTTTTCACATGCTCAATGACCGAAACACGGACTTCCACAACTCTGTCAGTCAGTCTTTTCAAAAACTCAGAGAAAAGTGGCCGAAAAGATTCAGAGATGGGGTGTTCTGTTGACGAAAACAGTTCTCCAAGTAGCTTAACTGCCTTTAACCTAACATCTAGCTGATCAGTCTGCACAGATTAAAATCACGCACTCAGCAAAATATCAAAATTTTATTGGTTAAGACAAAACCTAAAGAAGAAAATCAAGAATATAGAAAGATACGAGACAGTGAGTGATATCATTCACTGGTATGCGTTAAAAGATATTACACATCCAAACACATGGTTACACATCAAAACCAACTAACTATGCATTATTTATTGTCAAATAAAAATCCAATGTTCATGAATGAAAAGGAAGACCCAAATCATCTGCTGGGTAAAAACGTGTTTACAATAGTCAAGTTCTCTGATCTGGATGAGACCATAAGGGATCAATTATCTCATTCAATGCGACAGACAATTCTGGATGAGGGGAATTTTGTGATTGCCTCTAGTGGAAGAATCCTGAGGAATCAAGTGAAATTATCAAGCAACCAGATGTCAGCAGCTAACAAGATATGTAGACACATGGGTAAAAGGATTTATTGACCAAAAAAATGGCAGTTAAAAAGGATAATTATTTCAGTATAGCAGAAAATATATCTTCAATCAGAAACTTAGGAATTTATTAAATTGCAGAAAGCTCTCCTTCAGGCAAATCTGATTAACACTTGAGTGGATGGAAGACTTTGGAGGTCAAGAGACAAGGGAACTGCACCGTAAGATCATTTTCCAAAGCAAACAATGCTTTGAAGCCAACAGCTGAGATACCACTCTCCCATGGCAACTTATTTTTTCTTGTGGCACTGCCCGCCTTTGAAAAATGATATTAAAAAAAAAGTAGTAACGCGGTACGTCCATAAATCAGCACATATGCATATTTTAGATTGCCAATCAAGATTAAAATTTTATGAGAAATTAGGTATTGGTATCCATTAAGTAATCTTGTTACGTCAAAGAAATGAAGAATCCTTACCAACAACTCTCCAGTAATATACGGAACCACTCCATCAAGAATCTGAGGTGCACACCTATAAATATCATAGATGACTTCATGATAGTCAACAGATATATTTGAAGAACTGTTATCACCTGACATAAATGAAATAAGAAATTGCTTCACAAATGGTTCCAGCTTTACAGCACAACGTTCTATAATATTCATGGCTAGCTTCCTTGCAGCCATAGAAACATCCTGGAGACAAAAATTCCACACAATCAATTCAGCACAAAGAGAGTTGCAGAAAACGACTGATACGAATGACCAAAAAAACTGTGGGGAAGATGTTAAAATTTCTGATACGAATGATACAGGATGATAATGATCATCAGCATTAGAGAAAGCATGAACAATAATGAAAAGAAGAGAAGCTCACCCTTTTATGGCCTAACACTGATAAAATAGCAAATAGCAAATTCTCTGGAATGTCCTCGCTCTCCTCCAGAATAAGTAGCATAATTGTTTGCATTGATGTCAGAATACTTTCTGCATGTTCATCACTGAATGTGAAAAAATGTCAGCGAGTACAGGAAAGGCATTCAAAGCACTCCCTTTCAATCTCCAATAAAGAAAATGCAGCACAAGAACTCTGCCAAATCTGTTATAAAGTGGCAGATGACTACTTTGGTGCACCTACTTTAACACGGCCAGAAGATGTAAATCAATGTTGATTGATGGGAACCCAATGCAAACCTTAATCATCAAATTCAACTTTAAATATCAGCCACTAATCTTCACAATTACAGAAATTATTCCAATAATCAACGTAATTTTATCTGTCCACAGGCGGATCAGTTTTTATATTTAGTGCGTATTAACCAAAAAACACAGAGCAACGATGTGTACAGAGGTAAATGTTACAATTGATTCAACTTCTCCATGATAGTAGAACATTAAAAAGGATAGCTAAAGGTAATACACAATATGGTATTAAAAGCCACATGTCATTGAATGCACAGAGAAAAGAGAATAAAGTTTAATATCTTGTAAACGCCTAACGAGTACAAAAAGGAAAAATATAAGCATAGGGAAAGACTACGCACTCTAATCTTTCAACACCACTCCTAAAACTTGCAAAGTACCACTAACTGAAAGTTTGCGAATGAGTTCGTCCGAGCACAAAGTCCTCTTTAGTGAAAAGTCAGGAAATTTCTTACCATGAGAAACATCATACAGGGACAAATTATTGGAAAGGTACTGTTGGTAGACTAAAGGACAATCAATCCTTATATGCGTGGTTCATTCATGGAAGACAAGACTATTGGCCATTTTAAGAACATTTTAAATGTTACAACAAAGTAGTGCAGGAGGCAAAGAACCTTAACTAGAGTTTAGAAAAAAGATGATGCAAGCAAACTTTCTTGGCAGGTCCATAAGCGCCATAGCACGGTGCTTAACCTCAGTGTTCGAACACGAGTGATCAACCAACTTCTTGCTCTTCCAAGAAATTAGAAAGAAGCCAAGAAAGATACACAAGCTTTTTGTGAAGCGAAGATCATTAGGACCACTAGCCCAATGTATATTGATATAAGCACAAAGCTCCAAAGGCACACCAGACGATTTATTGAGGAATGAAGATTGGTACATATATACCAGAGGACGGAGAAATGGACTAAAGTCAAAGTATTAACAAACTTACTCGAGACATCTACGACATGATGTCTAGATGACAGCGAGTGAAGTGCAGAAGTAGTGGTGCCAACAAACCGATGATTGCACTCAAGATTCTCTAAAGGTACACGAGCATGTCAAGCAGAATAACCTCAAGACATAGAAAATAGCATAAAGACACAAGGTTTTCGTCTGAAACTGACAATGGAGATGATGCTGGAGAGAGGCACTGGTGGTCACATTGTCACCAGTGAAGACTGCACCGTCAACCTAAAGCGGAACAGCACAACTATAAGGAAATCAGTGAATGATTAGATCTCACTCTTGGCACTCTCACAGAACCAAATATCAAAAATTGTTAACAGAACCGTGCAAACCAGTCACAGAGAATGCATCTAGTGTAACGAGACCAAGAAGAGACTGCATCTAGATATCATCAAGAAGGCCATTATGAAGAAACGCATTCTTCACGCCATGCTAATAGAGAGGTCACTAACAAATAGACGCAGGAATGATGAAAGCATGGACAATGATCATTTCGGTCATCTAAGAAGACCTCCTTGTAATCAATGACGTACTCCTAAGTGAAATTATGTGTGTTAAACTGATTCTAACAACACAAAATACAACCATACTACTAAGTTTTAATCCTACAGATCCACTTGCATCTGATCAGAGAAATGTCAAAAAAGGGTAGAGAAAGATCTCAAGTTTGAGACATTGAAGAACATGGTGCTCCTAATTCTTAGCATGTCACCACTAGAGTAACAGAGATACCTAGCAATAACTCTTAGGATCCTAATACCTAGGAATCTCTAGCAATACTGAATAAGTGCTGCAAGAGAAGGAAAGAATCATGGAGAGTAGGAGACTCCCCAGAAGGGTCAGACAGACCCGTGATGATTCCAGATACATAATGAGTTTTCTGAAGTCATATGAGAAGGCCCAAAGTTTAAAACCGAAGTACATATGAGAATAGAAATGGCAATCACAATAAAGGGTTCAGAGAAGAGCTTAGAGGATTGAAGAGTTGTTAAAGCTGAGAAATAAGCTGGGTGTGGTGTGCGGCCACTAGTGCCACATCAAGACTGGTAGTCGACAGGACATGCTGTCTGAAGGAAAAGACTGAGATTAAACGGAGGCAACATAAGGAGGTGGGCTAGAAGAATCATCAGACGACAAAAAAGCTTCAGGCAAGCATCTCAAAAATGACCTCAAAGGTAACAATAGCAACAGTAGAGCAGCCACAGAACCAACGGTATCCCCAGATGAAGTTAGAACAGATTTTCTGGCGAGAAGGTCATCCTAAGGCTACTGGAATCATCTTAAGAGCAGAAGAAGAACGAAGTTGTGCCTCCTCAACAATGATCTCAAGAAGGGTATTATCTAAAGTAGGCATAGAACAACAAACACGTTGTGTTTGGATAGCCTCAAATTTAGTAAATAAGTGCACTGAGAAACAAAAGAGCTACTGGCAATCCGAATGAGTCTGACACAAACAATCAGACGCCTAGAAAATAGCATACGTAGCATGTATACCTCAGACATTAGGCAGCAAAGCCAGGCGAAGAAGTTTTGGACAGAGAGATCACCCTAATGAAAATTATTGAGCTCATAATCCAGCTAATACTCGCAAGCAGTACTTGCATGAATGTCGTACTTGGATAGAAGAAGACTTGCATGCTTGCAATGTCGTACTTGCATGACATTATTGAGATCAACAATGTCGTACTTGCATGCAGAAAGAAGTGAGCTCCAATGAGTCTAAACGGAGTTTTCTACCCGACTTCTATTGTTCCAGCTTCATTGCCCAGCTCTTTTGCTTCAACTTGATGGTTAGCTTCTATGACTTGGGCTTCAAGTTTGGCATCTCCTACGCTTCAACACCAAACTTTACAGTTCCTGCTTCCAGTTTGGCATATTTCCATGCGCCTTCAATGTCATGCTCCATTGCTCTAGCCCCACCTCCAATGTTTCTTCCTGTGGCTTCAGCATTGGCCTCTATCTACTCTAAGATCAACCCTGATGTCCACTAATTCAGCTGCTGCTCCAACTCTACAACTCAACTTCAATTCCAGCTCTATCACCCAAATTTTACTGCTGATCGGATATTAACAACATCTGATGGTGCCAGAATTTTTTTTGGGTTTGGTTTGCTGTTTACTAGGTGGTACTCTTCTACATCTCATTTCCCAAGTTGAACCAGGTATTGATGTATCTGCTCCAGCGAGGGAGAGAGAGAGAGCATTAAAGAGTCAGAAAAAGTATAAACCCACAGTCCCATGTCACTGTGCCAGTGAAATATTTAAAATACTGTTCACATTTGATTTTATGTCGTAATTGTGTCTCCACTTCATCTCTCCATATATAGTAGGTAAGGGCAGGCCATGAAATTTAACCTAATTTTCCCTCCTTTTTGCAGTTGAATGCCTACTGTCAAATTCTTCCTTGTATATTCTTCCCCTGTTTTTTTTTTGTTAAATATATGACGTCAAATCGATAAAAGAGATTTCCAACCAACTGCAAGAATAGATATAAAAGTTTGGAATATTTGAAATGAATAAGGTTTTTTAAATAAAGAATTCAAACATAAATTTGAAAGAAGATATTACATACATATTAAGAAATTAAATATAGTCAATACGGAAGATGAATCTATACATGATTATGGTTCTTTTTAAAAAGAATTATTTTTATTGATATCAATATTTTTGAAACATATATCTTTAAAATGAGAAAAGAAATTTCGAAAATTACACGGTTACCAACACAAAATGAGCTTAACTTTCCTTGCATTTCTAAGTTCGGAAAATTTATACGGTGTTTACTCTGAAAACTTCAAAGTGGGAAGTATTGTATTGTATTCTCTTCATGAGAGACGAGTGTCATTTTCATGTAAATTATATATTAAATGAATGGCACATCTGTCTCAGCTGTCAGGTTCTCATGAATTTCAGTTACTTGCGTAGTTCTACACCTTTTGATTTGATGCAACACCTTGTTTCTTATATAAAGCATTCAACCTATCAGCATAAAACCAGAAAAAATGAGATAATTGGGCACTAACTAGAACTGAGTCACACCACCTTGGTTGAGAATTAAAAAAAAACGTAGCCTCGATGAAAGGCATGTTTGTCCTACTTAGCTATCACGTTTCTGATTTATTTCAGACACTTGAACAGACTCAACCCACCATTAACAAACTAATATCGATGATCAGGAGCAACACCTTGATTTCTGTAACAAGTACTCAACCCACCATTAACAAACTAACAGAACAGCAAGGGTACTAGACTAACTAAACCGGGATAACAAAACTTGATTACAGTAAAAAAGAGTAACCCAAGATTATTTTCAGTTGGGCATCATAAATTGAGAAGCATATCCTTGTACATGCCATAGGATGTCATAATGTGGGATATTCACTCCTCTTGAGAGAAGAATCTCAGAAAAAGGTTTCACATTGGACCCCATCAATCTTTACATTATTCACAATTTGTTTTGTTTCTGCCAAAAAAATAAGTGAGCATCCATGTGATAATAATCGAAGAGAAAAAAGTTATCCAGAGAAAGCAATCCGAGTATTAACCTCTATTTTGTGGTTAAATGTAGATTCTGGTTAATAACTATCCTAATTAAGAAATAACGCACCCACACAGCATGGCTAGAAAAATTTACCTGACGACAGCAAAAAATGTGCTGAACATTTCATTTATGAGATCATTACATTCAAGATCCAACATCACAACACATGACCTATATCTTGCAAGAGTCTCCAATATAACAACTCTTTTCCCAAATGATGGGCTATTGATATCACCCAATCCACTGAATGTGCCAACAATTAAATGAAAGATGTCCTGAAAAGACAGCAAAACCTCTGAAAGTTCAGAATCAAATGCAGATGCATCAAAAGCAAAGAGCACCAGTCTGGGAAAAAGAAAATGAGAATGAAAAAAAGGGAAAATACGCCCTTCTTGTGATTAACCAAGGAAGAAAATACCCTTAGAACATCATCACTGTATGGGGCTTCTGGAGCAGTTATACGGGTTATCTCACAGACACACGTGGCAACCAGAACTCTGACATCTTTGTCCTGATGCTTTAGCAATTCTGGCTTGGCAATGGCATTAAGACACCCCTTCATTGACTCTAACATCGATGGCAGTGGTGACTGATCCACCTCAGAAAGACAGTTTGCAGCTTGCTGCACATTCAAAGACAGTAAAATAAGAGACGACCTTCATCAAATGCCAGAGGTCGCTGGATAGTAAGCACAGATTTTTTTTAAAATAGAAAATATAAATAAACTATCGTGGGAACCCAGACACCAAATGTTTCTTCGTGAACTAGGGTTCCATGTCTCCCTCCTTAGAACAATTTTAACCAATCCTTTTTTTCCCAACAATTAGAACAGAGATCATCAAATCTGAAGCCACAGTTTGAAGGCTGAACAAGAATGAGGAACTATGTGGGTCCCATTTAGGTATTTACTCGGTAATTTTATTGAAAATCTACTATGTGGGATGTGGAATCTGAGGGCAGTGAATTGAGTTCAGCCATTCGATCTAAAACCCCGAAATGAGGGCATATCAAGAAATTCTTGTGAGCCCTAATTCGCATTCAGTCGACAAAGGGTGGTTTCAGCGTTTTTCAAAGCAATGACCACGAATATGACCGAAGTCTTCAGCAGTAGCAGGAATGTGACTTCGCTACGTAGGAATATGAGCTGCAATGACTTCGAAGACAGTTTCCAATTCGCCAAGAATGTTCGAATAGCCACTCGAATGCTTTCCTTTACACATTTCGAATGAGCGAGTTCAAGTCAAACCCTTCCCCTTCCACCCGTGAAAAAAATTACCTACCTGAGTGCCCGACACTCCGCTTGAGAAATGGTTTCCACTCTGACAAGCCTGGACCTTCCACTGAACTAAATTACGGTACAAGGAGGGAGAGAGAGAGAGAGAGCACTAACCTTAAGGAGCTTGATCAGCGCATCCTTGGAGGCCGGCAGGTTCTCCAGCTTCGATCCGACATCCTTCACCTGTTGATGGAGCTTCTGCGCCATCTCAGCCCCGACCACACCACCGGGGCTACCCTTCTGGGGAGGAAAGACGATTTCACTGAGATGGGTAGGAAAGTGGCGGGGTGTGCGAGTAGTAGGCTTCTGGGTTTCTTGTTGCCGGGTCAGGTGGCGAAAACCATCCGGCGGGGAGAGAGAGAGAGAGAGAGAGAGGAGAGGAGAGGAGAGGAGAGGGAGGGAAAGAAGGCGGGGAGGGAGGGAAGGAGGGCACAGAGTGGGGTGGGCCGAAGAGGGAGGACTTGGTTTCTCGGGTTCGGCTTAGATCGACCGATTCGAACTCATCCCAACTCGAACTGGAGCTGAGATGGGGAACGATCTCTGCCTTGACTTCCACGAGCTGATGCGGGTTGGGTCCTTGGGGCGGGGGTTTGCGTTTGCGTCCTGGCCGCTCGGACAAGAAGGGAAGATCGATCGGCTTGGGCCTGGCGGCGGCCTTCGGACAAGTCCTCGCATCTGGGCTTCAGGCACAGAAAATACCCCTTCAGTTTTATTAATCTACGATGCCCACATCTGACAAGGTCGACAACCGCGATGGAGTCAACTACATATTATTGTCACTTCCGGTGAGCATAAGCGAACGTTTCCCCCGCAGATCTGCGCTCTATCTCCGGTGAGACGGGCTTGCAAACCACGTGTCGCAACCAAAATGGCTAAAAGCGAATCTTCTGTTTTTTATGTTAACGCCGTCCCGAAAAACGGATCCCGCCGGGCCGGCACCGCTAACCGACGCTAGATCCGACACTCGGTGGGCCCCACGATTGCCAAATCACCGGACCGTTGCTACCCAGATAGATGGAATTATTCGGATTTTCTCTCTTTCTGAGGGACATAAAAGTTCCCCAGATTTTTCAGCGGCAGGCTTAAAAAGTCAACGCGTGCAACTCTCTCTATAGAGTTGGAAGACCTGATCTCGACCAAAACCATAACAAAAAGGGAACATCCAGTGGGTCCACTTAAGCTCAGGCCCGTCTCACTCTATTCAAGAGAGAGAGAGAGAGAAAGATGCAGTCAATTCGTTGGAAATAACGTGGAGATTCATTCAAGGCATTGATGTCCGTGTGTAACGTGGAGTGTTACCGCTTATTAATTACACCAGTTAATGTTATGTTTTATATTCATATAGAGAAAACAAAAGGGCCCCATTTTATTATATTCTTGAAAAAATAATTAAATACATATATTAATATCAGTGCTATGATGGGGGCAAAAATCAATCTAATTTATGATTATACGTATTATAAATAATTAGTCACCAATTAAACCCGGTGAAGAACCTGGTCTGAAAGTCTGAAGGAGAGAGGCCTAGACTTATAGAACCAAAGATAATATCTTCAAGATTATCGTATGATTATTTATTTATACCTTCAGAATCATTAATTCCATAGTCACATGAATTCGTGTTCATGAATAATGGGTGATGGGGAGGACGACGGTCAACCCGATAGAGGATGAAATGGGAAGAACATGCCTGGCCGGAGCTCAGTCAACGGGATGAGAATCTCAATCTGAAACAATGTCTTGCAGGGAGAGGGGGGGGAGGCTGTGGGAGAAAACGGGGAGGGGCTTCATTCTCGGCACAAGCAGAAGCTCCGCCTCGCCGTTGAGGATCCGAAGGACCCTTCTCATAGAGGGGCGCTCACCGGAGTTAGGGTTGACGCAGCTCAGACCCACCAGGAGCAGCCGCACCATCTCGTCTCCGTCGAACTCGCCTTTCAAGCTCGGGTCCGCCGCCTCGAGGAGCTTGTTGTTGGAATACAGGTTCCAGACCCAGTCAACCAGGTTGACCATGTCACCAGAGTCAACGGCGAGCTTCTCTATGGGCCTCCTCCCGGAGCAGATCTCCAGGAGGACGACTCCGAAGCTGAAGACATCGGTTTTCTCGGTGGCCTTCCCGTACTGGACGTACTCCGGGGCGAGGTAACCCATGGTGCCGGCGGTGAGGGTGCAGTCGGGGCTCTTATCGTGGTCCATCAGCCTCGCCAGGCCGAAGTCCCCCAACCTGGCGTTGAAGTGGGCGTCCAGCATGATGTTGCTGGTCTTGATGTCCCTGTGAATCACCTGCTGCTCGCACTCCTGGTGCAGGTAGATGAGAACGGAGACGACGCCTCTGGTTATCCTCACCCTGCGAGCCCAGTCCAGGGTCTCCGACGGCCTGCGAGTTTCGTGGAGGACCTTGTCCAGACTGCCATTGGGCATGAACTCGTAAACCAGAAGCAGCTCGTCCTTCTCGGCACACCAGCCCACGAGCTGGACGAGGTTCTTGTGCCGCAGGCGAGCGATGATGGTGAGCTCCGCCATGAACTCGCTCTTCCCCTGCCGGGAATGGCTCGACCTCTTGACGGCGTAGGCCATGCCGGAGCTCGGATCGGTGGCTCTGTACACGCAGCCGAAGGATCCGTTCCCGACGATCCTGCTCCGGTGGAATCCCCCGGTGGCGGCGCTCAGCTCCCGGTAGCTGATATTCCGGGGACCTTTCAGGAGCTCCGGTGTGAATCTCTCACGTTTTCTCAGCCGTATCAGTTTCATCAGCGAGACCCATGCCACCAGCGAGAAGACCAGGCAGAAGAAGACCACTGGTCCGGCGATCACGAGGGCAAGACTGAGCTTCCGGTGAGAGCTTCTCCTCTCCGGCGAGGAGATGGGCATCGCCGGGATGACGCCGCCGGGGGAACCATCTGAAGAACTGTTCGCGGCCGGCGAGGAGAGGTTCCCCTCGGGCAGGCCGAAGGTCCGGAAGCTCCAGTCGAGGATTGCGTGCACCTCCGTGCTCCCCTCCGTGGAAGCCGAGAAGCCCACGTACATGAACTCCTGGAAGATCACCGACAGGTCGAACGCCGCCGTCGAGAAGACCGGAGCCGCCGGTCTGTCGCCGGAGCTGCTCACCCAGACGCTGAACGTCTTCTCGCCGGAGAGGAACTCGACCCACGCAGTGATCGCCCCGCCGCTCTTCAGGTCGATCCCCAGCGCCGCCAGGTCCGCCGCCTGCACCGACCGAGCGCCGCCGATGTCCAGCCCGACGTGGTTCGAGCTAGGGTCGCCGATGCCGGCGTTCATGAAGGTGTCAAACTCCACCGCCACGATGGAGGAATCTGCAGGAGAAGGCTGAGAGGCGTTGAAGAGGCCCAGAGATTCGCCGGCGGCGCCTAGCGTCTGGTTCTCCGGCGAGAGGAAGAAGGTGAGCCCGTCGCCGGAGGTGCCGGGGTCTGTGTTGGTGATGGAGAAGGAGAATCTGGTAGAGAAGGAAGCGGAGGAGTTGGTCGCCGGATCATGGAACCGGATGGGGACGTTGCAGAGGACGGCGCCGGCGCCGGAGGAGGGGACTCCGGCTTCCCTGGTCAGCCCCACGGAGCCGTTGCGGAGGTAGGCGTCGCCGAGGAGGGTGAGGCTGCGGATGGAGAAGGACTGGAAGTCGAGGTTCACGTTCTCCGCCGCCGTGGGAAGCCACGGCCATGAGAGAAGCAGGACAAGAAGGGAGAAGAGGAGATTGCTGGTTCTTGCAAGCGATTCCATGGGAGGGGGAGGAAGTCACAGAGGATGAGGAAGAAGAGGAAGAAGATGGCGGCGGCGGGCGGCGCCGGCGAGGGTCTCCGGCGGTGGAGCTGGGCATGGCCGTAGGCCGGAGTAAAAGGAGCCTGCACGGAGTCCCTCCGGGTCAGGCTAGCCGTTGGGAATCCAGTTTGTGTTTGAAAAGGTGGGTTTTCAACGGTCGGAGGACGGTGGGCCCGGGAATTTTTGGGACGGCGCATCGTGGAAAGCCGACACGGATTCCTTGTCCAGCAGTCAACAGTCTCCGTTCGCGCAGCTGGCACGAAGATCCAGCGGGCCAGTCAACGGGCCCGTGAGCCGGGCCGGCCCGGTCCCGTGCGTTCTTTCGCGCAGAGAGAGAGAGAGAGAGAGAGAGAGATTAAAACGCCGCCACCTCCATTTACTGTGTGGACAATCTCCACGAGTTTCATGAACAGAGATACATACACACATACAGACGGGCACAAGATGCTGCGGTCTGTGTGCGGATTAGTCGGAAGATCCTGATGAGATATTAGAGCAAAATGGTGGGTTTAGCAAGGACAAATCTAATTATTTGCCGCATTTGGAAAGAGCTGCTACCCGACAATGTCCAAGGATCTTCAGGGGGGGGGGGGCGACAAGTCAGTTGCCCACAATGCAGCGGAAGTCAAAGCAGCTGCTGCCGGGTTCGGTAGGGAAGAACTGGGCAGAAAAAAATGATAATATAAAGTCAACCCATGATAACTGGAGCCCAGAAAGCAGAGAAGTTGAGGTTACCTTCGCTTAGATTGAATGACCTTTTTCGGCAAAAAATCTTTCTTGGGTCCATCTGTCTCATTGAAATGAGATGCCCATCCAGGGATTCTCTCCTGCAACAAGATATGCAGAAAGCAATGAACATCATGTGAATTGCAGGATGATTCCATAGAGTTGAATTTTTTTCTAGGGAAGTTGTCAGTTTTTTAGGAAAATAATTAGGATACTGTTGCAAGAACATGAATTTTATGGGAGTAAATTAGCTAGCTAGCTTATCTTTATGATAAATAAAACGAAAATAATGTGAATGACATCAATATCGTGTAATTTTATGGTTCCTCTTCTCCCAAAAAGAATTTCATATTAAATGCATTATATTCAAAGAAAAAAGTAGTTTGCAGAAAAATAATTCACATGAATAGTTCACTTGCTCCATCCTAAGCTATGAAGCCAGTTCATCAGTTCTTGAAGTGACGTCATCAATTCACTAAAAAAAGTCAAAATTCCTGTAGAAGAAAGGCTGCCTTACCTTGCCCATGAAGGGATGAATTTCTTTTTATGTCTTTTATCCTCCTGCAGTTCCTCATCATCAGAGTCCCGATAAGGAGAGATCTCATACGACTGTGACTGGCGATTTTCTTTCAACATGGTGTTTCTGTCTTGCAGTGTGTGCAGCAGATTGATGGAAGATCGAATGAGCTGCAGACACGCAACTCGTAAATAATCACAATAAATGGGCGAAGTCAACGAGAAACTGGAATAAAATCATGCGCCAAACAAGGAAGACTGCGGCAAGTCAACTTGGGCCAAACCAAGTTGACGACTCAGGTGGCCTAATTGAGTTAGTTCAAGTCAATTTGGCCAAAAAACATTTTGCTAAGGTTCTTCTACCAAACCAGGAAAGACTGCGGCAAGTCAGCTTGGGCCAAACCATGTTGATGACTCAGGTGGTCTAATTAAGTTAGTTCAAGTAAATTCGGCCAAAAAAAACATTTTCCTAAGGTTTCTCTACCATGAAGCGATCTTTGAATGAATGAAAAGTCAATCAAGATGTAAATTATACGCCAAATATGGGACAATTTACAGAAAAAAAGAGCTGAATCTGATAAATCTGACTGCCCCTTGGAAGTCAACGCAACGAATGCTCCCAAAGATCTTAAACCAGACCAAAACACCATCTAGTAATATCGTAACTACTGGGAGATGAAACATTAGGAATTGTTTACTACTTTGTTTGCTATGATTGCTTGTCGGTGCCCATCACATGCCACTGAACAGATTCACAAGAAGATCTTGAACTATGCAACAATCGGAAGGTCTTGTCTTGCCCAAAATATGTGCACCAAAAAAGTATACCTTGTCCGATGCCATAGAATCCGTGGGCGCTCCACAAAACTGGGAATTATTTGCCTCATATCGGGCATCTTCTATAATCTTAGTAGAATCATGGCCTGCTGCAGTAAAATCTTGCTGCCTTTCTGATTTCTTTGGTATTGTTGCTTCATCCGACAGGGCTTTCCTTCGACGTTCTTTCTCATCCTATATATGATAAAAAAGATGCCTTAACATAATAATAACAGTAGTAAGAGGATCAAATCAATGGAAAAAACATGTAGGAATATTACAGCAGCTCTGCATTGAAGCTCTTTCACCTCATGTTCTTTGCAGTTTCTCTTCCTTTGCTTTTCCTTCCTTTCTTCCTCTCTTTGCCGCTTCCTAGCAGCCATGGCCGCCTCCTTCTTCTTCCAATCTTCTTCTTTCTGCTTTTGCTTCAACTCTAGTTGTCTGGCGTTTTCCTGCTCTGATTTTATCCTTTCAAGTCGGACTGCTTCTTTCCTCATCTTACGTTCACATTCTCTTTTCTCTGCCAGGCGTTTTGCAGCTTCAGCAACCTCCAAGGCCTTCACTTTAATGTCTCTTCTTCCTAAAAGACCAACTCGAAAGATCCATGAAACCATACAAAACAACTAGAAATACCCCAGGAGTTGACGTCCGATCACTTTTATTTTTCAAGTGACACAAGATGAGAGCTGATCTTGAGTGCTTGCATAATTAAGTATTCTCAAGAATGAAGAATAAAGAACGACCATGAAGATAACTTCAAAGATGCTTTCCAACAAAAGCAATAAATTCTGAGTGTTATATATCACAGGCTGATAATTTTTTCTTCCATTTAACTTCAACAATAATAACCCTAAAACACGGATGAATCTTTCATCAAATACCAGATTGAAGGTATTATATATTAACAAATTAACGGACAGAAATACATCCTTCGTGAGAAACAAGAAGTACGATGTACCAGCAACCTGCACAATTTGGAACGGTTTCTAGTTTTATGATGCTGGGTGGTCCCAATCATACAGAGTAGCACTTTTGGATGTGGAAGGTAACATTAACAGCAAAATATCAGAAATCCACTTGTCCAATCTTAGCCCGCACTAGATATATCACCTAAAAATCACTTAACATGATATTTACTGACCTAGCAGAATATCCCGCTCTCTTGACCAGTGCAAATACCACTGTGAACCACGGTTATATTTAATCATCACGAACCATGTGTTTGGAGGAAATAATATTTCATGCAAGGGAAATGCTAATGCAAATTCTTCTATATGTTGAATATTCCGTAGGTAACATGGAGTGCCATAATATGGATTCAATGCATCGAAAACTGGCCAGGATACAGTGTTTTAATTTTCGAGTGGATATTGTCTTTCTGTATATATTTCAGAAACTTGAAACACTTAACACGTCTTTTGGAGAGACGTGCGCATGCTAATACACTCGAACTTCTCATTTGAATAAACGAGAAAAAATAAATGCTATGACGAAATGTGAACCAAAAGGAAAATAAGACCCTGGATTTACAAGCTTGAAATTAAATTTGAGTGAAACATAAATAGCAGCATGAATTGTTGTGTTGCAGTTAATCATGGCCGCCAATTAAGCATCATTCACATGCTAAATTGAATGCATATAAAAGAGACAGCATCGTTGAGTCGCTGGAAACAAAAAAGGAACAGGGAATTAACATCGGGAGCCATTGTTGGCAGTCCCCGTCCAAGCTTGTTGCTGGCCAGGGCAGACCAGGACTGGGCTATAAGAAAACATGCTCGAGCCCAGTTCCTAGTGCTCTGGACAAGGCTTGAGACCCATTGGATTCCCCTAATGTGAATGAGGGATAGGATCTTAATCCGACACAAATAATCAATTGTAGGAATTTAGGCAGCCACAATAATATGGGAGAAAACTTCAGAGTTTTCAAAAATATAAGGGGCATTATGCACAACGGCTTAGCTCACATTAGGAATTTTTAGGGGGGGATGGTACACCTAGTTATTCTACCATGACAACAGTTTGAACTAAGAAATTAACTAAACGAAAATCTTGATTGCAGAAAATACAGACGATGCAAATAACTCAAAATGAGGTAAAAATGAAAATAAATAAGTAGGATTTTTTTTTGCCAGGGGGCATATAATTTTCCAATCTTCGAATTTGTAAGTTAATAAGAAATATCGTTTCATTTTAGCAGTTGCAAAAGATGCACATATAGCAAGCCCAGCGGGTGGAAGAGTAAAACATTTGCACTTTCTACTTCAGTAGAGTGAAAGCACAACTCTCTATGTAGGGGTGATTTCTGAAGTACAGATAGGGAGTGAGTGAGAGAGAGAGATTGCTAACTTTATAAATGAACAAAGTCTCATCATAATAAAGAATATCACATCATCATAATGAATAAAATAAAGTTCAATATATGGAGAGGTAGAACAATGCAAGGAATTGAAATTATTACCTGTGATAGGTGCCGCAGCAGCTTGCTGCTTTTGGCGTACTAGTGGAATAAAAGACTGAACGTTAGAGACAATATTTATCGTTTTCTTTTCTAAAATGGCTTGGCTTCTTTTCTGTTCACTGGCTTTCAAAGGTATCTTGTTTGGAACGTCATGAAGAGCTTCCACGTCTTCCTGTTCCTTATTGCCGCTCACTGAAAGGGACACATCCTTCTTCTTATCTACTTTCAATGTAGTATAGCTACCACGAATATCATCTTGATTTTTGTCCTCATTCATCTTTGATGGAAGGTAAAGTTCCTTTTTCACAGAGCCAAGAACAGATCTGTCTATTTTTTTTTCTGATTTTGGAACAATTGTAGCAGCATTCTGATAAATTGACGTCACATCGGCAAGCGGTTCTCTACTGACAGAGAACTCTTTGTCCCTTGAGCCGAACAACTTGTTACAAGTAGTCCGAAATTTACTAGCATACACATTTTCTTTGAGTGATCCGCTATTTTCGTCTATTGGGAAACACGTGAGCCCTGTATTGGAACCCAGTCGGTCCAACCCACATCCTTTTCTCTCCACAAAGGCTTTCTGAGAAAACTTTTCAATAGGTGTACAAGGAGGTCTGGTAATAACATTTTGACAAATTTGAGAGCTTGACAAAGGAAGAGTTCGGGAACCAGACCTCCTTAAGAAAGAATCATCAGAGTTGACCACTGTGTTCTGGTAAACAGCAGCAAGATTGTCATCCTTGGGAGGAAGAATGTTGTTATCGGTACCATAAATTAGATGATGACCATCCATGCTCATGGTCCTCATATTTTCAGCAGGCAAAGACTTACAAACATATGAAACTTTGTGAGTTTCCCTAGAAAGGACCATGTCACTGTCGTCGGAATATGATGGACGCCCAGAAGAAAGCAGAGTTTGACATTCCATTTCTTCATTTAACTTCAGCTCATCTACAACACTTTCCACACAATTGGGTTCAAAGGATCCCTTTGTTAAACCTTTTTGCATATCTGGCAAATCTGACCCATCTTCATCAGTAATAATCTCCCGCTGATGAATCACGGATCTACTTGATTCATTGATTTCCCCCAGAGGAATCGCACGACTGGGGAAATCAATTTCTTCTTCTGCTCCATCATGAACATCAACAGAACTCACTTCATGATTATTCATAGATCTCTGAAGCTGCTGTAGTACAGTAGCTCTCTCTTTTGTCAGCTTTTGAAGATTTGGATCATCAAAAATAAATCCGGACATCACAATAGGATTCTCAATGCTGAACCCCTCAAACTCCGGAGCGATTTCATTGAAAATGACGATTTCACTGTCATCTGAATTTGAGGTAACCCCTAAAGGAGTCGAAATTGGGCGGTTCATGTCTTCATTTGATTCTGCAACATTTTTTATGCAAGTGGACTCAAAGCATCCATCTGCTGAAATGTTCTGAATATCTAGAATATCAACAGATTCTTCATAAGTGACAAGCTCTTTCTCAACAACAGCTGATCCATTTGTGTCATTACAGTTCATTTCTTCATTGGATTCCGCCTCGCCTGCAACACTTCTAACGCAAACAGACTCAAAGTGTCCATTTGTTGAAGTCTTATTCACATCTGGCAAATCTATAGCATCTTCATCAGTAGCAAACTCTTTCTTGCAAGCAACTGATCCAATTGTGTCCTTCATTTCCTCAAGAGGAATGGCACCCTGGAAATCTTGATCTGATTGGTTTCCAACATGAACATCAATAGAACTCTCTTCAAGCCTATTCATAGATCTGTGAAGCTGCTCAAGGATGGCAGCTCTCTCACTTGTGAGTTTCTCAAGATTTGGATGATCAAAGGTAAACCCATTTTGCATCATAGGTTTTTCAATGCTAAATCCCTCAAATTCTGGGGTAGTTTCATCAGAAATGGCCATGTCACTATCACAAGAATATGAGGCACACTCTGAAGGAAGCACAGTTGAACGGTTCATTTCTTCATTTGAATTCTCCTTGTCTGCAACTGCAACTGCAACTGCAACTGTTTCGATGAATGTCGATTCATAGCATCCATCTCGTGAAGTGTTCTGATGATCTGGCAAATCTGGGGTATCTTCATCAGTAACAAGCTCCTTCTGGCGATCAACTGATCCAACCGTATCATTGATTTCCCCCAGAGAAATTGCACAACTTGAAAAATCGCTATCTGCTTGGATTCCAACAGGAACGTCAATGGAACTATCTGCAAGTACATTTGGAAACAATGAAGCGGACATCCTGTCTTCTCCCGCTTTCTGATGGTGGTTCCTCTGTAAAAATGACAGTTAAAAACCCAAGATACATAAGAGTTTTTCATGTCCTCAAACGTCGCCAAGAAACAGTATGTTTTGAAAGACGAGCAAACCTCATAATTAACGCATATGGAAACTAAAAGTACGCTAAAGTAAAATAGTATTTAAATTCAAAGTGCAACAACGACAAAAATTAAAAATTCTAATAGCTATGCAATTTAATATTATCCATGAAATATAAATAAATGCCATTTCTTATTATAGATGGCAGAAATATATCTTTTCCTTACCTCTGTCACCTGACAGTTCTCACTTGCATGCAACTCTCCCGAAGGACCTTTTTGGCATGGACTAGACAGGTTAACTTCCTCTTCTTTTAGTCTGTGTGGCTCTTGACTGTGTTCAAATGCCTGTGAGGAGGTTCCAGCTAGTTCAGCCAATGAGTACTTACCGTCGTCCTTTGGAGGGAATGATGTAAACCTTGCGGCAGAACTATCATAGCTGCTGTTTTTTCTATCATCAACCATTTCACCGGGCAAACTCTTCAGATCCAAAGGCACTTCGGCATTATAGGTCTTCATGGAGGCCAATTTAGACCTTGTCATTCTACCAGTATATGCACTTCTCTGCTTTCTCAAATCATCATCAAGTTTTTCTCTATTACAAGGCTTAAATTTTTTCTTCCTATGCTCAAGGCAGGACTCTTGCAGCCTATCAAATGAATCCATAACAATATCTGGTTTGTCATTCTCACCAGCACAGGACTCACGGAAACTACTTTGCATGCTTCGTAATCTATGAAAATCACCCAAATCATAGTCCTTAGTGTCAAAGCTCCTGGATTGAAGGCCATTAGCATCATTTCGAAAAGGGTGGGCATAATATGCAGTGTGATTAATTGGAGTCGTAGTTTGAGGAAGGTTGTAAAGAATCCCAGAAATCATTTGATCCCTGTTCAATCCTGCACCATAACATGCAGAAAGAGGAAAATCAATCAAAAACTTTAAAAAAAGCCCAAGGTATGGGAATGCATTGAGTTTGGAACATCGAATCTGGAGTTTTCTTTTGGCATCAGGATATATGAAATTCATATGCTGAAAAAGCAGGTATGTAGGTTTTTAGTCTATGGTATTCACATACCATGAGAAAATAAGATAAATTGAAGGGAATTTATTTTCATATGCGGCTAAGTTTGGATATGTCCAAATTATCCTTGAATAGCATGTGTGATGAATAAATAACCACAGATTTCCTCTAACAGTCCCCAAATGTAGTTTCGAAACCATCCTAGGGAATGAAAGCATCATATGGAATGAAGATATAAATGGCAGGAACAAGACCTGGGAATTGGCAGTTGCAGATTAATAAAAATGGTAATGCTGGACATTAGCTAAGAAAATACTATCTACTATGCAGTATACAACCTAAAACATTTTCTTGATATCCTGAGAATACATCAGACATATAAGTGTCATACTTATAACTGTTTCATTATGCAAGCAAACAGATTCATTGGTCAGGTTTATGGCGGCCCTAGGGAAAGAAATCAAGTCAAATATCAAAGATTTTGGATATTCGTAATCAAACAAAAATCATAAGTGAAGGAAGATTCGGTGGACTACAAGGTGACTCCAAGGAAGTAACTGACGACATTAGTCATGAAATGGAAACAAAAATTCCAAGAAGATCATGTTGCCATGCAAGAAACCAAATAAATGACGTCGAGGCGTATCATACACTAAACAAGCCGACATTACTGTACAAGTAAATGATCTCAGGAGTGAGACGCACAAAAGGATCCAAGAAGCCATTAAAGCTGTGCGTAACCATAGACCTGAGAACGCTGAACAATGAAACTCAGTTCACTGACTCACCCCCGGTGTTGAACCCAGTTCGGAAATTTCGTACAACAAAAGGCAGGGCACATCGAGTAGAAAAAACCAAGATGTATAGGAACCAGCCGAATACCTTGAGTGTGGTGGTTCTTCCACCCATCCGGATCTGCAGCAGCATTCCAAAGCCAAGGGGGGAGAAGCCCGCCAGCGGCCAGCAGGTTTGAGGCGACGGATTGGGCATAGGACTCTTCCTGCTGCCTTAGCTGACTCGCAATCCAGTCCCTCCGCTCGAAGATCTGCATAAACAGGTGTTCCATCGTCGACCTCGGAATCGTAGATTGGAACCCGAGGAGAGGCGATCGCGAGGGAACGATTCAGGTCACCGGTGGACGCCAGTGTTAGGGCCACCAGTGACCCTCATTTTCTCTTGCAAAGGGAGCGAGAGGACGGAGTGAAGCGGGGCTGTGCACTAGCGCGCGCGAGAGAGAGAGAGAGAGAGACAGAGATGAGGGGGGGGGGAGGGAGAGGGAGGGAGAGGGCGGACAACGGCAGGGTGCCGTACGATTTGAAGGGAAATTTGAATAGAGTAGACGCTAACGTGCGCCGGGGGCGTTGTCTCAGTTGTCCGTAACGGCCCTCCGTTTAAGGGCTCGCTTAAAATGAGGCCCATAAAAATAAGGCCCAAAACAATTGTCTTGGCCCACATCAGCACATGCGGTACCAAAGGGAATCAGTTTCTCTCTCTCTCTCTCTCTCTCTCTCTCTCTCTCTCTCTCTCTCTCCCATCAACGGTCTGTCCAGGCTTAATATGGGTCAGCCCTTGAAATGATAGACCCGAACTCGAGCCCGTTGACTACTGGCATTTCCTTCTAAGGGTTTCCACGTGTCATTGATTGGACCATGCTCTAATGGGCCGAGTCAAGTGAGGAGACGGATGCCCCCAAGGGATGGCCTTTAATTGCAAGCAACAATGAAAATATGGCCTGTAAATATTGGAAGCTTAGCTACATTCCTACATACTCATAGCTCACAATCTGACGAGAATTTTTCCATCAGTTACACAAAATTTAGGGAATAGATACTGCAATATAAGAAGGATTGCTTGACTTGGATCGGTAATTCATGGTACTTGACCCTTGAAATGCCATTCATCTTCTTTAGATTCTTACTGTTCACGGCATTAGAGTTGACTTTTTTTACTCACCCTAGATCAATGGCCTTCTTGTCCGTTTGACTTCATAAGCTCCTTATAAACTTGATTGAGAGTGACAATCTTTCATACCCATATATGCCTGCAAATGAGTCAATTTTACTTGACAATTGGGGAGGAGTGGTTCCTCATTGCTTTCCAAAGCATAATCTCACAAAAGGGAGAGAAAGAGAGACCATAAAATATTATAAGAATAATAATTTAACCATATATCAATAAATAATCTGCCAAAGATACAAATATTAACCCTTTATTGATGACAAAAAGGAGTTCTTTGGGTACACATCAAACATAAAACTATAGAAGCACAAGATTTTGGTACTTTAATATTTCTCATCATTCTTTGGATTTTGCAATGAATTTAGTGTAATACCCATATGGCAAAAAATTGCATACCCATATCTCTTAGGAAGTTATTAAGCAATCATAACTATTTTTATCTTTGAAAGTCACAATGTTAATGATGTAATATCCTTCATTTCATAACTATTTTTTTCTCATGGTTGAAATAAACCTATCAATATTAGTGAATAAGGTATCATCCACAAATAGGATCTAAACAATGTAACTCTTCCCACTAATTCTTAATGCATATGTAGTTATTAATCACGTTTGTTATAAAATTGTGTGCAGCTTGAATTCCATTTATGCCTATTGAAAAATACTTAGCATCACTATAATGACATAGTTGACTTTTAAAAAAAAAATGTGAAAAAAGGAAAAAAAAATACCTGTTCATGTTGATTACGAAATAATTTGAAAATCTAAGTAGTTCTTGGTACTAATAACTAACTAATAAAAAATATTAGGTCCACAAAAAAAATTATGTTGCTTGACTTGCCTAACTTGATCTCATCATATTTAATAAACTAGATCACATTAACTCATAAATTGACCAATACCAAACATTAGGTCTACAAAGAAATTCCTATAAGGTATGTGATGGGCTCCTGTTGACGCAATCAAGGACCCGACTCATTGACTACGTGCGCAAGATCCAACTCTTGGTCTCGCTAGTCGAGTCCACCTCGAAGTGAGCTCAAACAGACCAAAAGAGGACAAAGGGGAGGGAAATGGGTGGTAGAGAGAGAAGGAAAGAGGAGTGAGAAGATGACGATCAACTGGATGAAGACGAATGCAATACAAGCCAAGACTGTCGGTCTTGGGGTCGGCGATACGAGATAGTGAGTCTCCAACTCTCGAAAGAGTTCCCTTACACAATTTTCTCCCCCCCCCCTTCCTAGCAGTCGTTCTTAGTGACTTATAGCCATCATGTGTCTTGATGAGCTTCCTCATCGATGGACTCGACGTGAGATAAGATCCATTGATGTTGGGTCTGATGATTAGAGTAGGTTTGCTGTCGGATTCACCCGTCACCCTCGATGTCTATATGCAGGATCTGTTACCTTGTTGTCCTCGTTGATGTTGGGGTATCATGTATTGTCATCTTGCACTTGTTTCTGTCTATCCCGCTGTAGTGCTGGATTGGGCCAACTTTGTTGAGGATATATTCTCTTCGGCCTAGTTTCTGATGTAAGGGTCTCAACAATACTTCCCCCCTGATTTTGCACCTTGTCCTTAAGGTGGAAGCTAGGAAACTATTGATGGATGTCGTGAGCTAGTTCTCACGTGTGCCCTACCAGATCATCACAAATGTTAGGCATGAATTGTCCACTAGCATGCCATGTGAGTAGCTTTTGAAAAATTCAAGCACCTTGGGAAGGAATATTACCTTCCACTTTACTCCATTATATCCATAAAGATGACTGCTTATAAGAAAAATGAAGAGCATATGAACCAGAGAGATAATAATATTGACATTGTTTTGTTGCCAAAATAGTTATGATAGTTGGGTCCTTTTTTGTTTCATACTAAACGTTATCAGAGTATATTGATAATTAATTAAATAACAGGGACAACGTTTAAAAATGTATCGTCTTACCCTCCCATGAGGGGAATACGTTGGCGGGCTGGAAGGTGAATGGAGAGGAAGGGGAGGGTGACGCAGATGCTTACAAGATCCGTCTTCCATCCCCGTCCGATCTGTCACTTCAGAAGCGTGTCCCCCTTCCCCGCCGCTGCCAAGAGGCGACATCTCCTTGGGGAGTCTCCGTTTGGGATTCGACGGATCGGGAGGGAGCTGTGCTCTGCGTCTCCTAGAGGCCACCGACGTGCCGCTGAAGGTAATTAAGGGCTAACAATTATGCTTCGAGATGGGAATTGGACTCGCTCCACCTTGTTTCATTGCCTAGTCGACGATGAATTTCATTTAGAACAATTTTATGTCGTGAGCTATATCTTTTTTCTTTTTTTTCTGTTTGCATTATGGCTGAGAAAAGTGTGTACTGGAGCTATTGGCAGAGACGGGCATCGCGTAATCCAGTCTTCTGATAATTCTCTGCTTACTTACCTGTGATACTGGTTAAACGTTAATAAATCAACCATTCAATTAATGAATCGGCAGTAAGCTGCTGATTTTCTTTTCTTACATTGCAGGCAAGTTCCACTTTTTCCTATTTTTTGAACAAGAGTTTGTGAAGCAAAATTGAACTGAAAATAATTCTGTATCCATTTGAGGAGCATTATTTTACAACGGTTTGTTTATGAAGGCTATTACCTTTCCGTATTTTCTATGTTGGACCTTTATGAGAGTTTCATATCTTTTACTTGTCCTTCTATAGTTTAGATGGACCTCACTATGAGTCAATTAACATCGAACAATAAATTTGGCGTTTGGAAATTTGACGAACGCGGATTAATTAAGGTTTTTTTTATTTTTCTGCTAAAAATAATCTCGACCCTTTTGCACTCCTTTCTCAGCATAAAATTTTCCTGGGTTATAGGCACGCATCCTCAGAATTTTGATGATTATTTGCACTTCAGTACCCAACATGCCCTCAAACTTTGCACTATTTTGATGGAGTCAAGTAAACTTGGTCCATCAGCTTTTCTTCCCCCGGAATTGTTTTTGTGTTCGTGTTTTACAAGCCTAAACATCTCATTCAGTTTGGATGAAAGCATCCCTAATGAGCCAGTAAAACTGAATGTTTGTCTACCTAAAATGCGTGTGATTATAATAATATAAATTTTCGGTCTTAGCCGATTAGATAGCGTTTATCACTTAAGGTTATAAGAAAGATTGACTTGAATGCTTACACATTAGTTGATAGTTTTTGTACGCATATTTTTAAATTGACTTAAAACAGTTGTAGAGGAAAACACTGTTCCAATTTCTGTCAGTATAATGATTAAAGCTTTTGTGAATTTGAGCTGAATATGGAGATTTTATCGATCTAGTAGAGGTTAAAGCACGGATGTAGCTGGCTACCAGCTTTCTATTCCATCTCAAAGTAAAGTGGATAATAATGATGAAGTATGATCGATGTTGTTTTCAAAATTTCTACCTTTTCTTTTGTAACTATAATGAAACTTGACGATCCTGTTTACATGGTTTATTTCATATTTCTATCTGGATACGTTGCAATGAAAACGAAGAAAAATTGTTGAGTAGAATTTTGGTTATCTGATGCTATTGTGAAGTAGAGGAAATGGCTTTTTGGCTCTTGCTTTTGAGTATATTACTATTTTTATACTTCGTGATAATTATATTCTCAAATTATTCCAACGTTACTCACAACTGCCTCCTCGAAAGCAGGTTTGAGCCATGTGAGCATCCGATTAAGGCTCTTACTAGCTCTCCCTCGCCTGAGTTTTATTGATCAGGTTTGGCTTAATGAATGCATAAAAGAATCTGAACAACTAATAAATAGATTTGTGTGCATGAATATGTGTGGGAGTTTTTCCAACCTTGCGTTCTAATTTCATTGAGAGGATCATGTGTAGTTTATTTCATCAACGTCCATTGTAGACTCTGTACTATTTTTTATGATTGGACCACGCTACTTGAAACATTCAGAAACTGTGAATTTTTCATTTTTTACTTTTGGCAGACCTGAAGATCAGATCTGTACGGCAATCAAGCACGACGTCCATGTCTGAATCTGAAGGTGCATCATCAGCCGTTTTGCCTATGCTTTCTGGGAACTTGGGAGAAGTATCACTTCTCCCCGCTGTTGAGGATGACTACGGAGGAGTTATTGTGGAAGTGACAGACCCGATGGATCCTGGGGATTTCTCTTCCTCTCTTAGAGCATCACTGTCCCTTTGGAGGCATCAGGTGAGAACCGGTTTTATTATGGGGATAGCTTATGATGTTTATATCAATCTATTATACTCCTCTGCATTTAGCATTGGGTGAATTTCATACAATGACTGTCCTAGTTGTACCAAATCTTTTGTTTCATTTCTTCTGGAACAATGCCAAGAAGTTGGTCACATTTTTTCCATCAAGTGCGCTGGATTAGTATTATTCTGGATACAGAAAAATCATTCCATTGAATCCAATAGCTACCTCCTCTATCTCAACATATCGTTCATCTCACATCTGAATTCGAGCATTCTTCTTGATGATAATTTTTCCTTTTAGTTTTTCTTACAGCGGAGCATATCTCTACAAAAATCGACCAGACTTAATTCTTTTTTATCTAAATATGAATCTCTTATGTTGACTTATAAGTTTTAAATTCGAAGTTTCATGTTCGAGCATCAATAGACCTAGAAATTTTCAAAACAAAGATCTTCAGATAAATTTATCTGGATCCTCTCTGATGAAACGTTTGCATATTCTTCCGTTCTTATGTTACTTGGTAATTCGCCCCCACTGTTTTTATTCACAGAACAAAAAGGGAGTTTGGATCAAATTGCCTATTCAATATTCAAATCTCGTCCACCCGGTTGTCCAGGTAATCTGAAAACATTTCCTGACCTTAAAATGGATAGGGACTAAAAAACCAGGATATCTTCATAAAAAAATTCATTTTTAGCTAATTGCTTCAGTTTTTTGTCGTCTTGATGTAGGAGGGATTCTGGTATCACCATGCGGAGCCAACTTATATAATGCTCGTCTATTGGATCCCCTCAACAAAGCACACACTCCCAATTAATGCTACGCACCGTGTGGGTGTTGGGGCTTTCGTAATGAATGACAACAAGGAGGTAGCTCTTCTGTTCTTTGATATTCGATCGTTCCCTGCTTCCCATTTGCGACTATTACTGTGACTAGATGAAAAGTTCTTTATTGGTTATTTTAGAAATAAATCTAGGATTATAAAGTCAACCCTTGCGAATTAATTAAGAAAAACATGATATCAGTCAGACCCATGGCCACGGATTTATTTCTACAATAACCAATCGGGGACTATTTTATATCTTTTACCTTCTCATGACTGTAAAATTGGGTCTTCAAAATCTAATGTTCAGTAGATTCTAGTGGTCCAAGAGAAAACTGGCAAGTTCCGCGGTTCAGGAGTCTGGAAGCTTCCCACTGGCGTTGTGGACCAGGTTCTTGGCTCGTGAACATTTTTTTCCTTGTCATATCCGATTCTATCTGGCATTTCTTCAGCCAGATAATAGGAATTTCCTCCACAGGGTGAAGATTTATCCGCTGGAGCCATAAGGGAAGTGAAGGAAGAGACAGGGGTACGTGTTCTAAGCCCAATGTGCGTCGTAGAATGTTCTTCCACATCCTTTCCGTTTGACTTTTAAAGATTCTGGCTCGTATCTCTGCAGATTGACGCGGAGTTCCTAGAAGTACTGGCATTCAGGTAGCCTTTGACCTGTGATGCATTATAATCTCGAACCCCCATTTATTTGCAGGTTCATGAGATGCTATCCACCTTTATTTACTTATCCATTTTTTCATTTTTCAATCTGCAGGCAAAGCCACAGAACTTTCTTCGATAAATCTGATCTGTTCTTCGTATGCCTCCTGCGCCCCATCTCGTTTGACATCAGCGTTCAGGAATCAGAGATCGAAGCCGCCCAGGTAAGTCAACCCTCAATGAACCACTCTCCGGCAATTCAACCATAACACCCAAAAAAATAAAAATAAAATCAGGTGATTACCAGGGAAAATATACTGATTGACTGGAGACTAAACAACAACAGTTTAGAGTGATTATAGCAGAAAGTCTTCTGATCGACCATACGAACATCCTTCTTCTGAGATGAACTGCTGCATCGCATCTCGTGAACCGAGGGTTGACCTCTTTCTTTGTCAGTGGATGCCGATCGATGAATACATGGCGCAGTCAGTGATGAGCAAGCAGAACCTCATGAAGTACATATCCGACGTCGGGCTGGCGAAGTTCGAGAAGGGCTACAATGGGTTCACCCCTGTGGGCGTGGGATCGGTCTTCTCCGACAGGAAGAGTTACCTGTACTTGAACAGCAAGGATCTGAACCAGGCCCCGGAAAGCTGATACCCTCCGGAACCCTAATATTTATCAGGCAATCATCTCGGCCTATTTCCTGAGATATCTTTATTCTACGTACATTGAACAGTTGCCCGGTATCTTCATCCTCTGTACTGTTTATCAGTTGATTGATTCTGGGTCTTTCTTTCTCCTTCTCCACCGGCGGTGGCGACATTCCGGCCGACGCCTGGCCTTGCGCGGTAAGAAAGTGAACCCGGGCGCCGTAAAAGAGGAAAGTGATGTGGCTCTGAAAGCCATTGAGGATAGGTCTGGTTTGTCTGTGCCTGGTAGAGAGAGAAAGATAGGAGAGAGAGAGAGAGAGAGAGCGTTGAACGGCCCGCCACCGAGCGCCAGTGGGCACATGCAGTGGCAGTGCTGCGCTGTATATGCGAATTATTTGGACCCCAAAACGGCAAGAAGGCAATGGATGGCAGGCAGCGCAGCGATGAGCTTCCGGAGGACCTCGCCGCCGTATATTCCTTCTTCTCGGATTACAGAAGGTGAGGTTGCTCTCATGGAAAACCAGGGGATTCGGACGATTCGGCCAGGAGAACACAGAAGATAACAGAAATGGAGCACTCTCAATAAAATCTCAAAATTACAAGTGATGCAGCTGAATAATCACAGCAGAAAAAGAAAAAAGGGAGGAAGAGTAGGAGGAAGAAGAAGAAGAAGAAGATGATGATGATGATGATGATGATGGGGAGAAAAATGCACAAGATTCATGGGGGACCAGCGAGGGGGATGCTCTCTTTTGCTTCCTGTCGAGTCGGGAGGGGAGGAAGACGGAAACTTTGGCGGATCTCCCCCGTACTCACCTCTCTAGAGCACCAGGATTCCGGCGGCGAGGGCGGCGCCGGCGGCAAGCCACCGCCCTCCGGCGAGCCTCTCCCCGGCACTGTCATCCGCCGCCGTCTGGTCGTCCGGTTCCCCCTCGGGCCCCGCCGGCACCGCCGTCGAGGACCGCTTCTTCTTCGACTTGGCCGGCGCCGGCGCCGGCGCCAGCTTGTCGGCGATTTTGAAGAGTTCCCACGGCCGCAGCACCTTGTCGATGGTGTAAATCGCCAGAGGCTGCTCGTCGATCACCGTCCCGGAGATCTTGGAGGTGCTGGTCTTCGTCTCGAGGGTGACCACCTCGCCCTCGTTCTGCGCCGTCATATTGTAGTTCTTGTAGCTGTCCGTGGCGAGGGTGGTCATCACCCCGTTCTGAGTCTTGAGCATCTGCAGGGACATGTAGAACGGGGAGGCATGGAACAGGAGCAGCGAGGTCTTCCCCTCCACCGTCAGGTTCTTGAACTTGGGCTCGAAGGCCTTCACCGCCTGGTCGATGGGGCAGAAGATGGTGAGTCCACCATTGACGCTCTCCTCGAACGCCGTCTCCACCGCCGGGATGGACGCCAGCAGGTTGGCGAAGACGGTGCAGCCCTTCTTCGCCATGAGCAGCGTGAGGTTATACTGGTTCGGCGCCGGCGTGGGGGCCTCGGCGATGGGGGAGCGAAGCATCTTGGTGATCTGCACCACGGCGATCTTGTAGGAAACGTCGTCGATGGTTTTCACGAAGAAGGACTCGAGGTTGGCCTCATTGCTCTCCTCGGAAGCGGCGCCAAAGCCCACCCTCCCGCCTCGCAGATTCGTGATGTTGACGAAGCCGGTGGTGCCTGGGGCGGCGCCTGTGGCCTGGAAGAGGGTGGAGACTACGGCGGAGCGGTGCGTGATCTGGTGCAGCTTCCTCGAACCGAAGTAGTCCGCGAGGACGTGCAGGTACAGGAGGTTCTTCAGGGAGAAGATGGACAAGTGCTTCGCGAGGACCTCCGCCATGCCGGAGTTGTCGACAGCGAGGACGGTGATGGTGTTCCGCCGGTTGATCTCACCGGCGAGGTGGGTGACTGTGAGATAGTGGTTGAAGGTGGAGAACTCCGGGTGGTTGGCCAGGATCCTGGTGATGTTGAACCCCTCCGTCACCGCCATGGCGCTGCACACCACGACCAACCCGAGGAGGAGGACGGCCACCCGCATTGTGCCTTCCTCTTCTTCTTCTTCTTCTTCTTCTTCTTCTTCCTCTTCTGTACCTGGTTCTCCTCTGCGCAGAGAGACTGCGATCGGAGGAGGAAGGAGCTCTCGGAGGCTACCGGGCTGGGGAGGAACGAACAGAGGGTGTCAGTAAAGTAATGGCCGGCCAGGCCCCGTCATTTCCATGAAGGCCCTTGTTGATTCATTTATTGACGGATCAAGCCACTCTCCACCGACGCTCCGCGTCAGCGTTCCCAGTTCGCCACGACAAATCTAACGGTGGGAATTGCACCCATTCTCACTATCTAGGGCTCTCCTGCTGACACCTGTCATATACGTCGTAGTCCACACCACAGAAATATCAGGAGAGAATCCCTCGAATAAGATGAAGGGTGCAACCACGTCACAATCCACGTGTTAAATCTAAACTGCTGGGGGGCATAATCGGAAATTATTGAAAAGATGGGGAGGTTTTCCTGTTAAGATTCAACAGCTGGCATGGGTGGATCTACCCCCGAGACCGGCCGCCCCACCGACACATCTCCGTCCCCACATTCCTGGACGGCTGGGATCAACCCTTCGAGTCTCATCAACGGACCTCAGCGTGCGGTCCGAAAACCTCCAATGCCCCATCGAAGCTTCTTACCGTGCGTCTCCCGTCACCCCGCCAAAGAAAAGTTACCGCCCGGGAAGATCCTCAAAACAGTTCGCTCCTGAACACGCGGTAAGTTCACCGATTTACTGTGGGGTCCACTGCTTCGAGCCCCGAACTCAAAGATACGTGAGAACTAGTTTTAGAGAGAGAGGGAAAGACCACGTGTAGCGAGTGGGCTAAGAAACCCCACCGGCTTTTGCTTTGCGACGAGTTGCACCACTTTAGTTTCCCAATTATTTCCGAGTTTAGAACAAAGTGGGGGGGGTCAACATTATCTCTAAATTCAGACAGGAGCGTCCCTTTGACTCTGGGCGTATCTTATCGATGGGTGCTGTCGGAACACAGCGCTTAATGGTGATCGTGCTTGTCATCTTCTTCTGACCTGCATGCAGAAGAGTGGAGAGAAAGAGAGAGAAAGAGAGGAGCGTGGAGCACGAATAAACTATCATATACACCGTCGAATTTCGGAGATGGAGTGAGATGCCCCAACAACAGCCACGTAGAAGAGGTTCCAAGAGAGAGAAAGAGAGAGGGAGACAGAGAGATGAGGGTGGGTCGGTGGGCAGGAGAGATCAGGAGGGTGTGGATGTTGAGAGGGGGGGGGGAGTGGGGACAGCTGTGGGTCTCCTCAAAGTCAGCCTTCCAGCTGTCGCGACTCAGCAAAGGCCAATTTTCTTCGCGACGGCTCTCCAACCACCGGCCCCATTTTCTGCGTCCACGTCGAAGAGCGAGAAAGAAGAGAGAGAGAGAGAGAGAGATCCCGCAGTTTTCCCGCACGTTGCGGGTTCTCTATCTACTCCAACCCTCTTTCACATGCCTTCTCAACCGGAAGTAAAGGCGGGGGCCAATTGGCTTTCTTTATTGGGCCCAGTGGTAACGCCGACTCTCTCTCTCTCTCTCTCTCTCTCTTTTCTCAGGCTCGTCAGCCATGGAGTTACTGGCAGCTCAGACACAATTAGTTTTCTTTATTGACCCTGAAGTAGCACCAAACTCTCTCTCTCTCTCTCTCTCTCTCTCTCTCTCTTTTCTCAGGCTCGTCAGACATGGAGTTACTGGCAGCTCAGACACAATTAGTTTTCTTTATTGACCCTGAAGTAGCACCAAACTCTCTCTCTCTCTCTCTCTCTCTCTCTCTCTCTCTCTCTCTCTCTCTCTCTCTATATGGCGATCTCAAACGGAGAGTGAAGGTGAAGGGGGTCCAATCCCCGTTCCTTATTGCGCCGAAGGAATGCTCGGAAGATAGTATCCGTGATGAAGTTCGAAGCCCAACCCGGCGCATTTCTTCTGTGGGTCCAACAATACCCAGAAGAGAGACAGCAGCCATTGCCAAGATAGTGAAGAGGTCAGCGCAGGTCATGCAGCTGGACTATTGGGTGTCCATGGACTGCCCAAACTAATGGGCCATAAATAACGGCCCAAAAATAGAAAAGGAGAAAGCGTCTCTTGTCCTCCTTTTAATGCATTGAGGAGCTGCAGGAAAAGGAGAGGAAGCCAACTGAGAAAATCAGTGAACTCTAGTAGCTTTGTGGAAGAAAGATGTGGTGGTATTGGCTTAGTAGAAAAAAGATGAAAAGGTATGATTTTCTCCCCTCTCCTGCATCAGGTGCTCTTAATAGCTTCAAGAACAGATGAATCTTGTGCTCTCTGCATTTGGAAGAAGTAAATCCGAGAGAGTTGACTCTCGTTTGTTTGTTTCTCCACTTTGACCTCTATTGTTCTTGGTGTAGATGTAGGAGGTTTTCTCCAAATCATAAAGATATTGTATCCCTTATTGCATATTTTTAGAAAGTGATTTATATCCACTTTAGTCTCCTTTCCTTTATATCCATTAAAATAATATATCCAGTTCAATCCTAGGATTGCAACATCATGTGACTCTTGAATCTTTGGAAAATAAACATTCTTATAAGGGAAACACATTCAATATTACTTTCATTGTGCATTGGCATTAGTTGGGCTTGTGGTGTGCCCTGGTTACTTTCACAATCAAATATTTGGTATATGAGATCTAATTTTTAATATTATTAGATTTTTTTTGAATGCTTGTTTTTGAGGTTATGCTAGTCTTTTTTTGTTTACTTATATGTCTTAAATATTACAATAACAAAGCTCGAGGTTACAAAACTTGACGAGAAAATTGATTTTGTGTAAAGATAAAAGAAGGTGAAGCTAATACTTATGCATCAAAGACTTCACAAAGTACTTTATAATAGAGGAAAATAAGGAAAAATAAGTGATGAAGTTTGGTATTAGTGGGATTTGTAAATACTTAGTATAATACAATTAAGTTTGACTTATAAAGTGTTGTATAACATTGAAAATGGAGAAACTACTTTGATTTGTGAAATAAATTAGAAATGTATACATTTAAAATTCCATTAAAAATATGTTATATTTGAAGAACTATATAATTTATATATGATTTAACTATTGAATATGTTATAACACATAAATATTCTCAACATGTTGATTTCATGGCTTCACAATTTGGAGATTAAGCTAGAGGAACAGATCAAATTGTTCTTCTTCTCTAAATCTTGCATCAATCCTAGCCCCATTTGGTAACTATCATTCTATATTTTAAAGATACTTTAAAGATGAGGGATGTTCAATCTACATTATTTTCAAATGGTGTTAGCCTTAAACATCTCACAAATGGTAAAAAACTAATTATAAAAGGTGTGGTTCAAGAAAGAGGGTTTTAGAGATGGTAAGAAAATTTATTTATGACCAAAGTCAAAAGGAAGTGATATGTGACGCTTATTCAAAAAGAAGGTAAGTGGAAATCAAATCATCCTAAACTGAAAAATGGAAAAGGTTAAGAAAATAGTTGTGAAAACTAGTAATATCAGGAAATATTGTATGAATCTTCTAAAGCTCAAATTATTATGAAAGCTTGATTCTTGATTCTAGTCGTTTTTATAATATGTATCTATTTTGAGATTTATTTGACAAATAAAAACCTCATGATAGAGGTAAAGTTTTAATGAAAAATCATAGAAATATAGAGCTTTTGAAAAATAATAGTAAAAATTAAGATGTTTGTTGTTGTAATTAAAATCTTGAGAGATACAAGATATGTGCCATGTTTGAGATTTTTTTTAATATTCTTAAGTACGTTTGGCGTGAATGACTTCATTTCTATTGGTAAAAATGATATTAAGAAAATCTAAAAGAATCTTTTAGTTTTTTATGAAAGAAGAGAAAATTAACTCACCATATGAACTGCTTGGGTTATGTATATTTGGTGACGCCACTATTATATCTTATTTATAAAATGATGCTACTATGTTGTGAAATATTATTCTCCACCATATGAGGGATTGATAGATGTTACAATCACACGATAAAAAATATTCAAAGATGTTACATCTTGTAAAATTAATTTCTTTGAATCTTGAATTTTTAGCTAATAAGTAAAATTAAATTTGTTAAATCAACTAAGAGAAGTTACTATATTATTGAGTATGTATATTCATATATTTATACTAGATTTTTAGTAATTTCATTTAGAGGAGATCAATATTTTGTTATTGATGATTTCTGCTAAAAAATTGGGTTTATTTTCAAAACCAAAACCAAAGGTGTTTCAAACTTTGAAAGGCTAAAGTTTAAACTTTCTATTCAAAGAATTCATACCTTGTCATCTAACTATTCTACAAATGACATAACAAAAAGGTATAACTGAAAGGATGAACATGACATTACTTGAGAGCTCTCACTATATAATATTGTTTGTAGGTTTTTCTATATAATTTTAGCTTGTGACTATTAACACAACTTGTTATTTAGTTAATTGATTGCCTTTTTATAATATTATCACTTAAGGCACTACAAATTGGTCTAAAAAACTAGTAAATTATTCTAATTAATAAATATACATATATGTATATATTGGATGTTTTACTAATGCTTTTTTGTATTTGATGAGTGGACCAAGTTGGATTGTAACTCAAAGTAATTCATTTTTATAGAATGTGAAGAAAGTTTCAAGAAGTTTGTGTTATGGAATCTTGAAACCTATAACAAGGTTGTCATATTTGATCAAGACACGTTGATAGAAATTTAGTGTATGATTTACAATGAAAATAACAATAGTAATCAATTAATGTGGAGTTGAATGAAGACACACCAATAGTTAACATAATAATAGTTTTTTTACATCACAATATGTATCTATATATCTAGATTAGAGAGATGCTTACTTATTTTCTATTGATTGTATAAGAGAAGTAAATATGATGAAGTCAATGGCCAATCAATGCCTCATCCATACAGGTCAATGAGAGTCAACCCCAAGCCAGTCAAAGGAGTCAACAAGGATCACCTCTACCTCTTTCATGCTCAACCCTTCCTCAGAGGACTGCAAAAATTAGAGTCTGCCCTCATCAAAAGATCAACTTCACTCAAGTCAATCGATGACTTCCACTTCTAATAGATTCCACATGGAATATTAGATTCATATCCAAGGGAGCCATTCAAGGCAACAAGAGGATTCATCTCCATAAGTGGGCCCATGAGAAGGAAGTGGATGATGGAGAAGGAGCCATGTCACCCATGCACCCCTCCTCCCCTAAATGAGGTGCATATCCCTCCAAGAAATGCCACATGACATCCTTTGGAAATGCATGCCTCTAACTACCTTTGGGAAGGGGTGACTCTAACCACCTTTGGGAAGGGGTGTCTCTAACCACTTTTGGGAAGGGGTGCTTCTAAACATCATTAGGAAGGGGTGCCTCTAACCACTGTTGGGAAGGGGTGCCTCTAACCACTTTTGGGAAGGGGTGCCTCTAATCGCCCCTCTAACCACCTTTGAGAAAGGGTGCCTCTAACAACCTTCTATCTCTTATTTGTAACTAACTTATCTTCAAATTTCATCATCCCTTAGGTTCTATAAAGACTCAAGCTCAAGAAGACTGGGGGGGTTATTTTTCTAAATTTTAGAATCAAGAAAGTACTTATTATTTCTCTCACCTATTGGATTAGGGGTCTTTTTTATTCTTCTTGCCCTCTTGGATTAGGGGACCTTTCTATTTCTCTCTTCTCTCTTTTTATAAGAGAATCTCATTTCTCCTCCTTCATTCTCTTCTTCCTCGTTGATGACTTACATCATTTCCTTCTTCAAGTTGGAAAATTTCTAACAAAGGCTCATGGAATCTTAACAAACAAAAATCTTCAAGACTCAAGAATCTCCATTGCAAAGGTGCATTAATTTCAATTTCTTGTGGAGTTGGTCATTAAATTCAAATCCTTGCTCTTAGAACTTGCAAAGATTATAAGATAGCCACCTTCTTGTGAGAAATTGGTGATCTGAGTCTTGGTTGAGAAGCCTCATCTGATTCATTCAACTAGATATCTTAAGCAAGTAATTAACGATCCTAATTTTCTTTAAAAGTAATTAACTATACAAAAGTATGACAATTATATTTAATTTTATTTCTTTAATGATGATTTTGTTGTTCTCCTAATGTTATATGTTGATTGCATCTAAATCTATGGTTGAGAGTATTAAATTAAAAAATTAACTTAATTAAAATTTTGAAAAATAACTTAAATAGAGGTCAATATTCCAACTCAAAGGTAGAGAATGTTGTTATTGGTAATGATAAGTTGCATTATTTATAACATTTTGAACCTTTAACTACTTTTTTATTCTCCAAATGTTATATGTTGATGATATGATGAATGCATCTAAATTTATGGATGAGATTATCAATCAACTTAATTTAGAATTTGATTGAGGTAGAAAATAATATTTAAATTTAAAGGTAGAGAATGTTGTTATTGATAATGATAAATTACATCTTTCACAACATTTTTTACCTTTAATTGTTTTGTTGTTCTCCAAATGTTATATGTTGATGACATGTTGATCACATCTAAACCTATAGATGAGATTATCATCAACTTAATCTAAAATTTGAAATAAAATATCTAGATAGAGTGCAACATTTCAAGTAGAAGGTAGAGAATGTTGTTATTGATAATGATAAATTATACTTAAATTATCATAATGAAGAGATATAACTATTTGATTGACGTTGAGCTCCACCAAATCCTTCAATCATAATGCCTCCTTTCTTGTCTCAACTATAATAATATAATCAACCTCAATAGTTAAAAGTACAACAATATCTTGAAGTATTACCTCCCAATTGATATGACCTTCACTTAGTGAAAAGTTATATTATGTGATAGTTTTTTATATCAAAGATACTCACATAATTTAAGTCAACAAAGCCAACAAGAACATTATTTTCTTTATTGAAATAAAAAATCATAATATGAAATATCCTTAAGATACTAAAATATTATTTTATTATAGTTCAATAATTATTTCCTAGATTTGTCATATATTTAATAACAAAAATAATGACATGATAAATCAAGCCTAGTGCAAATTATGACATATATTAGATAGTGAATTGCATTTGATCATCTCTTCATGTTCTTTTTCATTTATGATATTACTATAAAGGTAATCTAAAGTGTTGAACTAAAATTACACTAACACTGTTGGCCTCTATGACATTGAATTTAGCCAACACTTTCTCAATATAACCTTTTTGAGTTGGCCATAACATTTGTTATACATGTCCTTCTAAATTTCTATGTACATACATATATGAATTTCTATACTTGTGAAGATCTTTACATAAGACAATGTTGCTGATTTGATCACCAAGTCATTATCAACAGCCAAGTTTCATCAATACCTAAAATTGATAAATATTTGTTCATACTAAAGAGTAAAGACTCATATATAAAAGTATTTATAATGAGAAAAATTATTTCTTTAGTGTTTGTTATAGTTAATTTGGTCAAGTTGAAGGTAGATAATGTTGTTATTATTGATTGCCCAAATTAATAGGCCTGAAATAATGGCCCAAATGTAAAAAAGGAGAAAGTGATTTCCCCTCTTTTTAGGGCATTGAGGAGCTGCAGGAAAAAGAAATAAGACATTTGGGAAAATCAATGAATTCCAATAGCTCTGTGGAGAAAAGAGTCAACTGTTATAAGTGAAGTTTAAACCTTGGAGAAAATAAAAAGAAGCAAGCCTTTCTCCTCTCTCTCTCTCTCTCTCTCTCTCTCTCTCTCTCTCTCATCAAGTGTTCCTATTGGTTTCAAGAAGAAGGTGGTCTTGTGCTCCAAACATCTGGAAGAAGGTGAACTAAGAGAATCACTCTACTTTGTTTGTTTCTCCACCTAAGCCTCTCTTGGTCTTGGTGTGGATGTCAGAGTTTCTCTCCCAACCACAAAAACAATCTACTCCTTATGATATGTTATTATAAGTTGATTTATATTTGGACTTGCCATCAATTGTAGGTTTGGAACATTGTGTGCCTCTTGACTCTTTAGAAACTACACATTCTTATCAAGGAAACATATTCAACATTAATTTCATTTTACTTTGACATTTGTTGACTTTGTGATGTGCTTTGGTTATCTGTACAACCACATATTTGGTATCAAAAATCCAATTTATAATATTTCATAGTTTACTGAAACCCTAATTTTCAGAGCTCTACACCATAGCCGACTGGAATGCCAAGCACCTAGAGGGCAAGGGCCTTCCCCTCCAACATTGATGCTAGCACTGAAGAGGCAAAAGCACTGGGTGGTGGACATGTCGTTGTCACTGTTGAAGATGAAGCAGGGGGTTTATGCCTGCGCCAGACCAGACCAGAGAGGGTCAACAGGAGGACCAAGAAGATGACAAGCGGATGCATTGTGGTGACAGAGGAGGGAAGAAGGATGGTTTTCTTTTGAGATGCCGCCTTTGTTAGGATTAATGGCGGAGTGGGGGCACCTGAGAGAGGAAGAGCACAGAGGGAAAACATGTTCTTGAAGAGAAGCTGATGCGACTGTTGAAGCAAGGGAAACCATTGATGGTCAGTAGGCCATTGTGCTGAACTGACCGTCTCAGGAGCAGCGGCGGCATCTCAATGAGGAACCCAATCGCCGTCTAGGCCATTGTCCTCACCGCTGTGTGGTTTGTAGGAAGAAGAAAGTGGGAAGTGAGTGACCACCAAAGCCACACAGTTTGTGGCCTATAAGTTTCTTTCCAATCTTTTTGGAAGCCTACGTAATTTCAAAGAATTCCTAATTTTACACATTACTGACATTTCATTTTGTCTAAATTTTTAACTCCCCTAGTCTACACAGTTCCTTTTTTTTCTTGCATTATTTTATTTAATATATTTTTCTACATAAATAAAGTATTTTAAGAGTTCTTCATGCCTTTCTAATTTTGCATAGTTCCATAAGAAGATCTACACCAAGATCATCCTGTTGAAGTCAACGTGTTTCAAGTACTAAACTATAAGACTTGCTATTCTTGGCGCAGAAGCTTTACCATAAGCATCATGAGACTGCATTATATAGATTTTTCGAACATACCTGGATCGTGTTCTTCGATTTTTTTGCACTGACCTTATCCCAACCGGGCCGGCCTTATCTTATTGTCCTCATGGCAAACTGCAGTCTGGTCATAGATCTGTCTGCCTCGATCAAGAAAGCACCAGCTTGAAAGACCAAGGTCAGCGTAATCAAATAATGTACAGATGATGCCAAATCAAAAGTCCCACATGAGTTGACCAGCAAAGAGAAGGAAAGTCAAAGGTTTCAGACCTACCGCCCGAAGAACTATGGAATTAGCCAACTCAAAGAGATAATTAAAGAAGAATCTCCTTCAGAGTAATCTTATACTCAACATCTGATGGATGGACATCAAATCATCAGAGCACGAAAGCTTGAAGCCTCTGCCTCGCCTCAGCTGCGGCACACAGTGTCTCCTCAGTAGGGTTTTCCTTTGCGGTGGCAATGGCAGCCATGTAATCCCTTCTTGCCTCCTCCATCCCATCCTCGTCAACATCCTGTCGGAAACATACTGGTCATGGAATGACAAAATAATTTCTAATGACTATTACAATTAGCTCTTAAGGAAACTCAACCCACATTTGGAGGAATGCCATCTTAAGGTGGACGCATTGATAATTACCCCAAAAAAATGTGACCAAAACGATGGGCCTGCTCCATTCATTTCCAGTTTGTTTTGAATTTAGATGACCGAGCTACCCTGACATGGTTTCAGAGTTCTCAGTTCTTGTTCTTGGACTGCATGCACCCCATTTACGTTCACCCAACAAAACCCCAAAATATCAGAATCAGAATATCAAAAAACCCCATTTATGTGTCGCATCTAAGGGAGATTATCAGAATCCGTCAACTGGTAGATCAGTCTTCATACTATCACATTCCATTCCATCGCTCCAAAATACCTAATATGGGTCTCATGACCCCCATTCTAAATGGGTTATGATCACAACAATATGAGGTGATGCGGAACTTTTCGGTCTCATTTTTCCAATAGATTCACTGATGTAGCTCGCACATCGACTAGCAGTTCGATCTTCATTATACCAAAGGACCTAACATGGATCTAATGAGACCACATTCTAAATGGCACGTTAACACACAAACATGAGACAATGTGCGACTTCTGGGTTTAATCTTCTAATCGACTCACAGATAAAACTCATACATCAACTAGTAGATTGTTCTCCACAACGTTCGACTAGAAACATATTTAAGGCAGTTTCAGGTCGATTCATGGGCGGTAAGAAGAATGTACAATGACTGTGTTTCATGAACTCGTGCATGGATTAACAAATGCCTGCAGAAAATATTCTCAAAAAAGATAATCACCCTGAAAGATTCCATCATTGGTTTTGACCTATGACACAACACAATTTAAGAAATGTTCATCCGGAGAAGACCAAGAGAAATTGTGTTTTCCACTCAAAGTAGCCTAGTCTTTCCTACATATTGTGACTGAACTCAACAAGGTTTCTTGATGGCAATTGCCGTAGTTTTTAGTTAAAGACTCTACTAGGGTTTGTATCTGGGTTCGGTTTGATGCAATGTGGACCAAATTTCATGAAGATAGTATGCATCAAGCAAATCGTAGACAACTAAACAACACTATACCCTAGAAAATGAGGATTCAGACAGAGTCATTTCTAACAAAATTTCACAAATGCAGAGAATTTGTGAACTTAAAGAAAAACTAGGCTGAACGTAATAAATTTGAGACAGCATTTCTAATAAATTTCACAAATACGTTCAGTAGTCTCCGGCTGAATGTAAAGAAAAACTAGGTGTTGTGCCAATTTCTTTTTAAAAAATCAGTCCTCCAAAATACATGACACATTATAAGAGTACAAATAATAATATAAAAAATTACTACCTAGCCTTAACTACTGAAGTTTTTATAACGTTATGTTACAGTACCAGTGTTCTCGCATCTCCTGCTTCAATTTCGTCAACATAACATGGAATAAATTAAAACGGTACACTAGAACCATGGAATGCTTGCAGTTTTTATGATATGTTTTAGATCTGACTAAATATCAACCCAGCTGAATATCTTAGGGAGAAGGATAAGGGAGAAATGTGCATCTCGTCAAAAATACATTCAAAACTTGAAACACCCATATGAGAGGTATGATATTTGGTAGAGGTGATGGTCTGGACACAAATAGTCTTAAGTGTGACAACAGACAAGTAAATTAAACCCAGGAAGACCTTGCCCATTCTCCAAAAGTAATAAATAGTATGTCACTTCATCAAGTAAGAAATTCGAACTTACTATGTCTGGGAGAATATCAAAATTATCAAAATAGGTAATATTTTCATCTGTTGACGAATGTGAATCACTCTTTGACAGTTCTTCGAATATCTGCATGAACACACTGATTTCATATTCGACAGTGTCCAACTCCCCCTGAAGTTGCTCAACCTTTTGATTTGAGGTTTTTGCCTCCCACTCGAATTTTTCCAATGCCGCCTGCTTGTCAGCAAGTTTAATCTGTAAAGGGAAGTACACCAGCTGCAAGTTATTTGTCTAAAAATTGAATTAACTATAACCATCTCTTGAAAGAGGGTTCACATGTATGTGACTACATCAAAATAACTGTAGAATAAGTTTGGGGGAGAGGGATTCCTCAGACAACTCTCACCTACTCCCGACCCATCAACAATATGAAACATACAAAAGTTTTGAATACAATTCAGGGCCACCTTCTACCCTATCAGACACATCACAGAGCATGTTAACGTAACTCTTGGAGTCAAATGATAGAGAGTTCAGAGCCTGCAACAGTTATTTGAGCGTGGAAAGATTAAATGTTAGGCTAGCAGCAGTCATAAAGACATGTTTCAATGTGCCAGGATCTTCCTAAAGTATACTGTTGACAGCGTAGTAGGATAAATGAACATGTGATAATGATGAAGATGAAGGTAAAATAAGTATCTTGGTGAAATTATTTATTCGAGAAGATGATTCCCACCAAAGTTAAGACCAAAATGAAACGTTGGGATGAGATACATGCATTTAGGCTAACATTGCAGAACAAAGAAACTCTGACGGCAGAAGTGTTGAATTACAGATACCTTCAAACTGGAGAGCTGAGATATGGCAGATTTGATCATTGAATCCTTCTCTTCGACTTGGTGTTTCAGTTCATCAACAATCGCACGGACTGAGTTCATATGATTCAATGAATCTTCCATGGACTTTAGGGCTTCATCTTTCTCTAACAATTTATTCTGCAGATCAGCCACTTGCTCCTTCAAAGAAATTAATTCTGCTCTATCTCTTCGAATATCCTCTTGCTCAGGGGCCCCTGTTGACAGGACTGAAGAGTCATCCCCCTGACAGCCATCATCTCTACAGATGAGTTTGCTTGAACTATTATCGCTGGTCTCCCTTTGACTTTTTGTCGACACACTTTGAGCTGTCTTCCTGTTTTTCGTAGCAGAAGTCTGTGAGCATAAAGAGCTTATTTTAGTCTACCAAATGCCATTCACTCAAATAGCCTATGTATACGAAGTGAGTATAATGAGAAGAAATAGTCTTCTCTGTTTTCTGGTCTAACCAAATGGCATTCATTTGAAAGGACATCAATGCAGTTATCAGAAGACTGTTACAGAAGAGTTCAATCTGAAAGAAATCATACTCGTGGACGCTTGTTTTATCATCCACGCTGCATGAAAAACATAGCTGCAATGGGTTGTTCAAGGATGTTATCCTAGGTATTCACTTTGGTAGGAGATAGAAGGAAATTGCGTCTATTTTAGGGAATCAAAGGTTTGATGGAAGTCAACACTATTGGTTAAACAGATTTATGTGGAACTCAAGGTTATAAGAAAAAGAGAGGCAGAAATGAGAGTCAGGACTTATGAAGCATTGTTTCCAAATTTGATCTTATTCTCCATCTACAATCCTTCCATAAGATTCATTCAAGCCTTAACCATAATAATCTTTATTACACTTATAGCATTGATTTCTCACTTACCAACTCTATCTTCAGCATTACTTCCCGTATTGAAATAGACATCAGGTTAACGAGATTACTGCTTGGATACCCAGCTCCGCACGTCAATTCCAATCCCACATTTTTAAAAGGTATCGTGTGCAAGCCTTTAATTTTATAATCCATGAACTGTTGCCATGCGAAGTCATCAATAGCCCCCTGGTTTTGAAGGAGGAGTATATTTACCATCGTTGAAGCGAGAATGCCATCTCATGTAATCCTCTATCCCATCTAACGACTGTAAAATTGCAGCCCGCGGTTCTATAGGTGAAACCCACTAGTCGACGTGGTAATCGCATGACGGAACTTCACGAAACACATCAGCAACAGCTTTCATAAACAGGAACTTAAGCGTAATTCTCTCACCTTTCTCTCATTGGCGGGAGCCGGAGTGTAGATCATGGATGCTCGGCGGGTGAATGACGAATTTGATCTTTTATCCTAAAGAAGGATATTATAATATGTGAAATAGCATAAGGATGTTAGCAAAGAGGAAGAGAAACTTAAGCAGTATGGCGAGAGAAATAGGGAGCCATTTGGAAACATGAAGTTCACCATGAGAGATTCGACAAGGGGAACCATCTCGACGAGATTCCTGAACAGGACCTTGTCGAAACTGTCGCCATTCCCAGGATCCGCCCCGGAAGCAGACAGATGAGGGGGAGCACGCGGCGGGGACCCAGACGAGAACGACGAGGACGGCTGCTGCTCCCCGCCACGTTCGGGCAGCCATGGCCGCGACTCCACCGAGCCACCGCGCTCCCGCGGATCCGCAAATGCGTGGTGCTTCCGCGCCTTCTCGAACATCCCAGCAACCGCGGAACTCTACAAAGCAAATCCTCGGAGAAAGGCCGCCTTATCGGAGATACAAGCGGCCAATGGCGGGGCCCCTCCGGCGAACTGCTCCCTCCGGCAGCAAGAGTGTAGCAGAACCAACGGAATCGTCGGAGCTGCCGGCGGCCCAAAACAGGTTTCGAACCATTTAATTTTCACGACCCTTTCATAAAAAATATTAAATATGTCCTCATTTCCGGAGACACAGCTTCCGGTCACCCCCACCTGCCCTTTATTTTGTAAATTAAAATCACCATTTTACCCTCCACAATCTGTAACGGCGACCGGTGAAAAGCAGCTTAATTTAAGTGGAGAGCTCTTTACCGTGGTGAACGTTACTCCCAGATAGATCCTTCCCCAAATGAAGCGGTCTGTCCAGATCTTACTACTTATCATCTCATCCATATTTAGTAAAGACCCGCGATTTTTTTATAAATATTTTCCTTGATTATATCCCCCCAAAAAGACCATCCACTTGGCTCCAACTCCAGTCTCGGTCTAGAGATTCGTAGAGAGAGAGAGATGGGCAGTCACTTAAATGGGTCAAATATTTCGGGCCCAATTCTATCGAAGGCCCAGAATGGCGTCGTGACGGCCTGGAAGTCAACCGAATGGGATCAACCAACCAGTCAATCTCCGTGCGGTGAAAAGCTCTCACGTTTATCTTCTCAGTCGGCGTTGCCCATCCAAGCCCCAGAAAACGGGAGGAATTTTGCGACGGGAGCCGCCACCCACAACGCTCAGGTGAGAGAAAGAGAGTCTCCGACATGCGTCTCTGCGTCCCCTTGTCGCTACGCTCGCCGTTTGTCTCCTTCAAGGAGGCGCCGCCTCCACCGGGATGTCGGTGGCTTCCGTGCCTCGCCGTCGCCGCCGCCGACCCAGCTCAGCTGACGCGGAAGAGACAGAGAGAGAGAGAGAGAGAGGAGAGAGAGAGAGAGAGATGCCCCGTTGTTCCTTCTGCAGCATGAATGCAGGAGAAGAGAAGCTGAGGAATGACAAGGAGAGTGTTTCCTCGATCGATGTGTGTGTGGATCATCTCACTGAGGATTACATCCAGTAGAGCGAAATAAAGCGAAAAATAATACATTTAGTCAGGAAGACGACGATGTTATTGATTGATCTACAGGGAGGGCGGGCCGCCGCCGCCGGCGGTGGCAGCGGGGGGGCTGTCTCCCTCTTCCTTCTCCTGATTTCATCTCCATCCCACGGGGTATCGATTATGGAGGTGTTAACTGTTGCACCGGCGAGTTAGGGGAGGAAGAGAGAGGGGTCAATCTCACCCCAGTGGTTGTGATTCCAGAAGCCCCCATGGTCGTCGGCGACGGAGGCAGCGCCGACGGTGTCGAATAACCAGGGAGGGGTGTTCTCCATGACTCCCTGCCAATCCATCGCCGGCAGCGGCAGCGGCGGCGGCGGCGGCGGCGGCGGATCCATGAGCCCGCCGGAGACGGAGGCCGGAGGCACCTTGATGTCGCCGTCGGCTGTCGCAGCCCTCGGCAGCTGAAAGTTGAGACTCAGCGCTTCCGGGTTCCCCGAGGCGGCGATGAGCCCCGTGAGGCTCCCCGTCGCCGGGAAGAGCGCGGCGGCGGTGGCGGAGGCCGGTGGTGCTCCTCCGTTCATGGTCTCCAGCAGCACCGCCGCGTAGGAGCCACGGTCCAGCACGGCGGCGGTGGCGAGGCCAGAGCTGTCGCTGCTGGAGCGCGAGGTGGCGGCCGGCGGCGAAGGGCAGGGCTTTCTGAACCCCTCCGAGGAGGGCTTGGGCGACGACCTGGAGGAGGAAGAGGAAGAGCGCTTGGACTTGCGGCAGCCGCCGCCGACGGGGACGTTGCGGAGGACCCCCCCCTTTGTCCAGTACCGCCGGCAGGACTTGCAGAAGTGGCGGGGCTGCGAGATGTTGTAGTTGTTGTAGTAGCAGAACTTGGTGTTGTTGGACTCGCACCTGGGGCACTTGAGGTTCTGCTGCGGGTGCGGCCGGAGCCGACGATCCACGGTGGCAGCGCCGCCTCCGGCTACCGCTCCGCCGGCGAAGACCCCCGCCCCACCGCCGAAGATCCTCCCCGCTCCGCCGCTCGGTATCTGCCGGAGATCCTGCATTCCTGCCCACCCCACCCTCGCGCAGCCGAAGATCTCCCCCCTCAGCTCTCTACGGATAAGCGGATAGATCACATGGCCGGTGATGACGTCCTGCCGATGTCCTCTACAGGTTCCTCGGGAAGCTCAATCCCGATGTGGACGACGGGAAGAAGGAAGAATCGTCTTCTCTCTCCTCCTCCTCGGCCTCGGTCACGGATTTTATTCGCTCTGCAACAGACGCTCTTCCCTCTCTCGGCTCTACGTCCTACAGAAGCATCTCTGTATCTCTCTCTCTCTCTCTAGAGTTCTCCCTCTCTCTCTCTAGCCGAAGGGGAGGAGGAGAGGAGCCGCAGGGCTTCGGCTTCCATCGGCCATCGGCCTCGTGCAAATATCTCCAACAGGCTCCATGTCTGAGGGCCTTCAAGGATTCGCGGTCTGTCATATTTACTAAATTACCCCCCTCCACCCCCGATCGAGGCTATCTGTCTACTGGGATGGTGGCCGACACGCGTCCAACCACAAAATCAAGCAAACCCAGGGTTTTTTTGCAAAAATATGTGGCATAAATAAGGACCCCGGATACAATGAGCAATGAATTTTAATGTGGGGGCTGAAATTAAATTAAGATAAATTTAATACGGCGTCCAACTTCGTACTGACAATGAAGACGTGAGCGTGGAGCAAAATCCCCGACGGGCCGTGACAGTGGAATGTCTACGGTGGGCCCCACCACCCACCTCACCCCAGCCTTCGAGAGCCTTTAAGAAACCAACCGGACCGGTTGTACCCGCACCCGATCCGAAAATAATACGTTAATTATTATTTATTTGCATTAAACGGACGGAGGTCCACGTGGATGGTACGGCCGTCGCAGACGGGTCAATCCGAACGTCAGAGAGTAGATGGCCGGTTCGTGTAGGACAGAGAATGGGCCGCAGACGCTCCTGTCGGCCACCCAAGGCCTCGAGTGGCCTTCGGCGCGCCACGTCAGCGGGCGAGGGGGAGCTTATCCGCTGCGGGCCCCAGAATCCGCCAGCGGGAAAATCACAGCCGTCCGATGTGCGGGAGGTTGATACCGTTGCCGGCCGAGGTTTACTATTCTATTCCCCTCTTCCCCTGGCGCCCGTCCAGAGGCAGCACTAGCCGGCGGGAGAGGAGGCCCACCGGTGCCAGGGGCACGTCACGTGGGCCGGCGGCGCCACCTGGGGCCCACTAACTAGTAGGTACATGTCCACATCAACTCACACGCTCCGTGCGCGACGCCCCCTAGAGCGCCAGTAATGGTGATGACGTGTACCACACGTGGAGGACTCCTGTAGGCCTTTAACTCCAGAAGGATCGTCGCAGATCGTGCCGCGCTTCAGGAGAGCCCCATCCACTTTTGGAAACGGCCCGTCAACTGAATTAGGTCGAGGTTCGTGAACCAAGGCACCGCAGACGCACTAGGCAGTGTCAGGGAAGTCAACTTAAGACTCGAACACGCTGACTTTTCCATCGAACAAGGGTTTCTGTTCATACGTACAAAATAAGACGAGGAATATTTATTATTTATATTATTACATAATGGACACCAACTTTCATTTAATGCTTCATGGGAGTTAAGCCACAGCTGATTGGACAGCAATGGGGGGCAATCTTTGGTAAGTTGGAACACACACATCCCCCCTCCCCCCCCGGTTGACTGCCCTCCAGACGAGGTTTTCCCATAAATATGCGTAGAAATAATTAATAATAAAATATTAAGTTGGCTTAATTATTATTTCAATGACTTCCTGTACTTATCTGATAATGTCAGTATTTTTCGGATATTGCTATTAAATTGAGATTTATCTTCAAATAGTTGACCGAGAACGAGTAGCTTAGATCCTACCTGATGGTCCCCACCCCTCGCGCTTGGCGTCACTTCGTGTCTTACCTTCTACTTCGTGGGCCCCGCAAAAGCACATTAATAGTCCCATAACTTTAATTGAAAAAATACCCCCCTGGTTGTCGCTTAAATGTCCTATTTCTGCCCTCGACCGTCTCTCTCGCTCTCCCTCTCGGCATGTGGAGACATCAGGTTGGTATGAACCGGGGCATCATTAGAAACCGGCCAAAATCTCACTGGCCTGATGATACTAACCCCCTCCCCCCCCCCCCCTCACAAGTGCATATTTGTTATATTCATTGTTAACAGGATATTTATATAATTTGAGCCTCGATCAGGGGGTGCGAGGGAAAAGAGCCCGGATAGACGGGATGAGAGGGAGAAGAGAGGCATACGGCATCCTTCAGTCCGATGCGTCGCTGTCTGCACCGTCCCACCACACAACCCAATAATTGACTCAGTGGGCCTAAAGGCGGGGTCCACCGGACTGGACCGCCCGGCCTGGACCGGGCTGTGGCATTCGGAAGTGGAACGACGGGCCGGGCCCAGCCTAGCCGCCGGGGCGGGCCAGCGCAACGGATACCCGATATGGCCGCGGCCGCCCTCACGGTGGGGATGAGAGAGAGAGAGGGGAACGAGCAAACTTAGCCAGATATAGAACTGAATAAATGTGGGCATTTATGGGGGCCTAACTTTGGGCTGGAAATGACTTCCCCGGCTCGCTGGCGTAGAAATGATCAGCGTACTAAGTCTCTCTCTCTCTCTCTCTCTCTCTCTCTCTCTCTCTCTCTCTCTCGTGTACATTGATCATTAGAGAGAGAGAGAGAGAGGTGGGTCTGGAGTGCTTGGACTCGGCCCAGATAGGATGACGGCATATTTTTTATCAAGACTGGATTTTGAAGGCCCAAGACCGTGAAAGACGGAATCGATCGATCAAGAACAGATTGGCGAACGAGATAGAAGAAGGCTGCAAGTCCTACGAAAAGGATACCGACGTCCAACAGGAACAAAACCCAGATCAGCAGCCAAGGACGATGGGGAGCTCACTACACACCTTCCAAGGCCCACTTCACAGCAGCAGGTTCTTCCACCACTGAGAGCGATCTCAGAGGCCCCTGCAACACAAGAAATTCAGTGATCGATCAATGCAGGCACAATTCAGCATGGTTTGAGGGATTTTCAATCGATCCCAGACCACCCCAAGACAGTAAAGAAATATCTATTTTGGCCCACGAATCTACTTATAATAATAATCTTCATCCCCGAATCAGATGAGAAATGCCCAACACCGCTTCCCGTATACAGCTCCAGCGGCCATGGATTGTTCATCAGGTGTTTGGACAATGAACACTTGATTCCCATATTTCCTACAAACTATTGGATAAGATGCTTTTGGGTGGCAGCTAAAGTTCTAGTTGTAAAGAAAAAGATGAGCATCAAGACCACATCTAATCGTGGCCAGCCAACGAAGAGACTAACCAGTCATATGCAACCTGCTGTTCTCCTTAATGGGTTGAAGATGATTACACATCGGAAACTCTAAGGGTTGACTTGAGCTGACTCAAGTTAGCCAACACAAATCTGAACCAGCAAACCATTTTCAACTCCCGAGCGCTTCTCCATGACTCCTTGAACTTCATTAATGGAAGGAGTGGCATCCCCACATCACACTACGATCAATGTAAGATGGTCATGAATTTTCTAGGGTGACCTCAGAAATCATTCAATTCTTTTTTTAAAAATTAGGATTATAAGATGCACAGACGGAGCACCGGACCTCTCCAAAAAATGAGAAGGCATTTTAGGATTGCTTCGGGCTTTGATGAACTCATGCAAAGGGATCTAGATTTCCAGAGAGATCATCATACATGGCAATCGAGATGGATGAAACCCCCTCTCGGTTTTACTCCGCCACCAAGTGTAAAAGACTAGAAACAAGCTTCGTGTCTCCTGATATTTCTTTTTTTGACATTCACAGCATGGATTAAGCTTCCTATAATAGAAGAAAAACCTACAGAATTAACAATCTGATTCAATCAAGAAAATAAAGAGAAACCTTCCACTCTGGAGAGACAGAAACTCTTCAGCACGGAAACCAATTAAATTTCCTCACCCAGGAGGTTGTTCCATAGGATTCGACCACAATTTGGGGAACTCATTGAGGATGGGTCGATGAAAGTGATCAACGATCTCCATAGTTCATTATCCTTTAAAAAGGCGAACTTACTCGTGTGGTCCTTATTTCAGACAAAACAGTGCCCAAGAACACATCAGCCTTCTTAGTGCAAGGAAAAATATGACAAGAATCCTTGGATAGAAAGAAAGTCGCGGAGAAGTAGGTATCAAGAGTTGGTCAGCTTCTTCACCTGTGCGAGGGGGTGACACGACTGGAGGTTCATGACACAAAATCAAAACTTTTTCACGGATTTGACTCCCCATGTTTGGACAGCACACTGATCCTATAGGTGGTGACAAGATGCCAATTTCTCAGAGGTAGAGAGATGACAATGCGAAATTGGCACAATCATACGAGAAAGTTTGAATAAGCAAAAAAGGCTCTGAATGGAACGTCCCATTCGCCTATATTACAGCCTTTTTTAAAGTGTACTGAACGATTAACGTGAAGGGGAACCCATCAGGGGAGGCAAAGATGAACTCTTGTGGAAACAAGAACAAAAGGAAAAAACTCATTGGTTTTACAATACACAGCTTCAGATAAGATAGGCTCGCGTAAACCAAAGAACCAAAGGTACATCTTTTTCACACACACAATGCCGCCTTGTAGAGTGGCTATTTAGAGAGTGATTGGAGAATAGTTTATGTTTTTACTCATTTATTCAACAGAAAATCGTAAAAACTCACCTCACAAGATTAAAATCTGAAAATAAGCAAATTGCAACTGTTTGAAAGCCATTTTCGTGAAATTATGAGCATCGCAGTGAGACTTTCATAGGATTAATCGCTTTGTGTCATCGGTTACCCAGAATAACGCGATGTGTCATGATGCACGCAGGTCAGGGAACAAGCAGAAACCAGGGCGAAGAAAGCAGCAGGAAGAGGAATCAGGGGCCCACCTTAGTTTGTTGACCAGAGCTTGACGAAGCTTCTTGTGAAACTCCTGGGCGCGGATCCTGCGCTCGAGGTTCTTACGGGCGAGGACGCGCTTCTCGGAATTCTTGAGGTGCCTCTCCTGGTTGCGTGCCCGCCTCAGTAGCCGCTCCATCCCGCTCGACTGCATCTTCCGATTCATAACTGCCAGAGCCTGCTCCAGGTTCCCGTTCCGCACTCTTACTCTTATTCCCCGAACGGCCCCAAGCAATGTCTCCGCCGGAACCCAACCCCCAGGCAGCTCCCGCAGACGCCATGGCGGCGCCGGCGTCCCCGACGCCGCACCCGCAGGTTGCCGCCGGAGGAGGAAGGACGTCACCCTTCCCACGACGCGATTCATGCCCACCGGCTGCTGGAAGTGTAGAGGGAGAGATGTAGAAGCCGGTGGCGAGTACTGGCGAAGGCAGGTTTTAGGAACGAAGAAAGACGCCCAGATCTGCCCTCGTCAACCCAAAGAAATGCTCAAGACTCGAAAATTACTGCTAAGAAGGCCTAATGGGCTGAGACGAGGAAAGACCAAAAGTTGCAGACATGCTGTGGTGATATTGATTGCATTTTATTTTTTTCCTTCATCTTTTGATCGGCATAGATTAAGGGCTTCCCAAGTTCGTTTCTTGTAAAGTCAAAGCTTGATTTTTTCCTATGAAGATGCCTTGAGCACTTGATAGGGTCAACCCTATTGGGTGGACCTTAACCATGAGACAAACCCTCTTTTCACACTCAGCTTTCTTCAGTTCTAAAGAAGCCCTGATTTATATTTATAGGATATGCATCACGTTCCAATGATATTGGAACAAGGTTCAAAATCCAGGACTCAACCCAATAGGGTTGCCCTAGCAAGGTCAACCCTATTGGGTTGACCTCAACCATGAGGTAAACCCTCTTTTCACACACAGCTACCTTGAGTTCTAAAGAAGCCCCAATTTCTATGTATAGGATATGCATCACATTCTACTACAGCTTAAAAAAATAATGATAAAAATTATGACTATACAGCTATTCAAAAGTGGCATGGGAGGCAAACAAATCAGGATTAGAGGAGCTCTATCGATGGTTGCAATCTCCATCCAGACACTGACACATGTGGCCAGCCTATGGAGACAAGTTTGTGAGTACTAATTTTGGAAATATCACAAGGATTTGATTGTGAATGGATATTCCACCAGTAATACCGGAATTGCAAACAATGTGATGGATCTATTGCAAATCATCATGTACCACTTTCATTAGAAATTAAGTCTCACTTGATTTCTTGATCAAGAGGTCAACCCTTGCAAGATTTCTTATCTTAGAATTGTGTATAAAAGGAAAAATTCCTTGATTTTTTCAAAGGAGCAAGCATCAGTAACATTGATATGAAACATAATATTATCAGGTCTGCGTATTAAAATACTTGGGTCATGGCTCCTACCCTATTATTATGCCAAATGTGGGAAGTCAAAAAGTTTTGATTAGACACTATACTGCTCCTGCTTTTTATTTTCCAAGTCTTTTTTCTAAGAAATTTTGTTGGCACTAAATACAAGATCCAAAACATTAGTTTGCATATTTAACTAGATTTTCTTGGGAAGGATTCTCAACTTTGCTCTATGTGGGTTCAAAGAGAGAGAGAGAGAGAGAGAGAGAGAGAGAGAGAGAGAGAGAGAGAGAGAGAGAGAGAGAGAGAGAGAGAGAGAGAGCGAGAGAGAGAGTGACAAATTATGGGCCTTTTGAGATGTGGGAAACTTGAATTGGCCCAAATAGGAACTAGACTCAATGGATCATGCATCCTTTTTCTTCATATTTTTTATTTTGAATCTTAAATTAGAAAAAAAAAAAGGCTTTGGGGTGCATAGTTTGCTTAGAAGTCAAAGCAAGATGTGGATTATCCATTTAATAATGGGTTATCATGCACAGTTCTGTAGATCATTTCTTATAATACTAGCTTTAGATCCTCATAAAATAATATATCAACTGAATAACTCATTTTATATTTCGATGTGATACATAAAATTGTACAAAATTTTAAAATATTGATTTTTCGGTTTAAATGCAAAGGATTAATTGTATATGCTTTCATTTTTTAGATTCTTGTAAAACGAGCAACGTACTAACAGCTCCTTTCATATTTCAATTACAAACCAATTTCCCTTAGAAAAAGATGATATTTATATATATTTTTTATACGCTTTACTAGTCGTTGACTTCTATAGAAATATTGAAAAATGTTATATTGTATATTCCCCTTGTAGAAATGATTTGATGGCAATTGTATTAAAGTGACTAGTTAATTCGAGAGGAGTCAGTGGATCAAAGCAAAATGCAAAAAAATATTAATAGGCAAATGAATTATTTCACAGGGATTAAAATCTTAAAAAATATTTATGAGTTCATCGAATATTTGGGGTGTGCAGGACCGGAATCGATTTGAGATCCAAAACACGAGAGAAAATTGGCGAGGCCGGTTCCAACCATTCCGTTAACGGAGCCGCGCAATTTAACCCTTAAGACGTCGGGCGCACGTTAGCTGTCCGAACTTTACAATACGCTGCCCCCCCCGCAGATCTGTGGTAGTCTGGAACTGCTCTCACGGTTTCTCCCGTCTGGAACTGTCTCGACAGACAGAGTCTTCTCCCCTCCCCCCTCTTCTCTCTCTCTCTCTCTCTCTCCCCCTCTCTCTCGCTTGGTATGTTCGGCATGGATTTGTGGGAGAAGGCGAAGGTCTTCGCAGAGGAGGCGGCGAAGAGGTCGCAGGAGATCTCCATGGAGGCGGCGAAGAAGTCCCAGGGGCTCACGAAGGGAGCCGCCAAGTTCCAGGAGTTTGTCTCCGAGACCGCGAAGAAGTCCAAGGAACTGGCCGTCGAGGCCGGTAAGAAGGCGGACCAGATCAAGGTCGAGGCCATGAAGCGTGCGGATCAGATCAAGACCCTGGCGGGGGAGATCCCGGGGTCAATCCAACCATTGGTGAAAGGTTTGCCGTTGCCCGTGGCGGAGGCTGCTGTTCAGTCATCGGATCTGGAGAGGTACGGGATCACCGAGGAGCTCCGGGAGTTCGTAAAGGGGATCACTCTAAGCACTTTCAGGGATTTCCCGATGGAAGGTAACTCCTCGATTGCCAGATGCTCGTCTGGTGCTCATTGCTTTCGCTCGTTCATTTCTGATAGTCGTATTAACACAGTCGATCTTTTCTCCGTTTGAAAATTTGGATTCTACCGGAGAATTTTCCTCTCATTCTGAATTATGTTGTTCTCATCATGTTCCGTTGATATCACCTTGTGCATTTTGTTTAGTTTTTCCTTCCTCTATAGTCATAGGTTGTTTTTAGGCATTGGGATGCTAAATTTTTTGTGTAACTCCTAGATTTTGAGACAACTCGGTGCAACGTATGACACTGCCTTGGAATTTATTTCTACACAATGTCTTAACAGCATTTCGGAATCCATTAATCCACATGACGCATTTCTGCAAGCAGCATTTAGTTTAAACATCATACCATCCTTTTATGTCTCTGTAGACCTTATTGGATTTTCTGAATGATCTCGAGTTCTGAAGTGGGACTGCTGATGCCTCGTCATTGCAATGTGCATAGCTGACTTTCTGTCATATGTATGGGAGTCATTTTTAAATTTTGAGTTGGATTTTTGAATATCTACTCCCATTTTCAAGGAAAACAAGATAGATTAACTCCCTGAAAGGTGATCCTGGCTGTCAACCAATTGTAACCAATCATTCTTTTCCTTTTGGGCAAGTTATCTTAATTGATCACATTTTTACATTATTTGTAATATCATTAGCTAATGGTATGCCCATCATAAAAACAAAATAGATTCTCTAGCTCGTCATTTGCTTTGTTTTTTGTATGCCACTCTTTCATACAATCTTCACGGTATGTCTCGTTAACAGAATAACTCTGTAATTAGAGCGCCATGAATGTGCATCCAAGGGCATCATTCTAGTCCACTGGTCATGCGTCATTTTTTACTTAAAATTTCTGTGCACTGGAAAATGTGCATCAATCCACACATCAATGAAGATATTATTTTTCATATAACACTATACATCTTCCCTATTATAATACAATGATATTTTGTCTCTTTAATTTTTTTACTAATACTTTTTTGATTTCGTTGTCTTCAATTCTATGCAAATATCTAGAAGGTTGACGATCATTAATACCAACCAGGTCAAAATACTTCAAAATTAAATTGGTTTAGTTGATTTTGATGGTGTCCTCTTTATCAGTTTACAACGTCTGTTTCTTCCAAACACCTTTCATGTTTGCTTTCAATACACTAAAAAGTGTGCTGCTACTGCTCCTCTCTCTTTCATACATTTTTATCTGATCAATTAGCTTCTCTCAAAGTATTGGGTTCAACTTATTGTAGAAGTCCAGACCTTAGGTTTTCAATTTAAGTCTCACTGGCATTCTTATTTGTGCATTTATATAGTACCTTAGTAGTAGACTTTTACAAGCCATTCAAGTCGCAGCTTGGAGCTTGCTCTTCTTCAGAGCTCTCTAATGTCACGTATCTTCAAATTCTGATGCCTCCGTCTGGTTGTATCATTATGCTTCCGCCTTCCTGTCTAGACTGTTGCCGTGACAAAGTAGAATGCTATCTACGCATGCATTTAATAATTTTTTCCTTTTGCAATTTAGCAATTACATTTCATCGCTGAGTTGAGAACAACTTTCTGCTGGTGTTCATAGTTTAGCCGATTATTATCCTATATCAGCTTTTTCTTGGATCAGTATTTCATTATTTTCTTGATATATAGATGAACCGGAAATGTCTGAGGTTCCCACTGTCTCAAATGTTCGGCAAGATCTTAGTGAATGGCAAGCAAAGCATGCAACCCTTGTTCTCACCACGGTCAAGGTACTACTGTCCAAGGGCAGACTATGCTGGTTTTTGTTTGTTATCTGCGTGTTCCTTTTTTTTCTGCTCAGAATGGATTTTTCATGGTCTCGAAGATATGATGAAAGAGTGGTCTATTGTATATTGACGGATCAGTGGAATATTATAAATCCTGTTTGCTATTATTTCAAGTTTTGAAGAAATTTCGAAAGTGGGTTCATGATCAAGAAGTTTCTTTATGCATATTTTTTGCGACGTGATTATGAAAACTGGCAATATTAAATCAAGCAAAAGTGAGATTGATACTGAAACTTAGAACTAGGATCATTGGAGACTGATATGACATTGGACGAGTGTTATGAATCCTCCTTAGCTGGCCTTTGTAAGAAAATATTTCTTTCAAAGTCAGGGAAAAATAGCGTAATTAAATCGCAATTTATGCCACATCCTGTAAAAAGCAGACGACGATAGTTCCACAGATTTAGCAAAAATGGAAATGTTATAAGTGAACTTCAGAAATGGGACTGTATGGTTATTGATGGAAAATGTAAACATAATTTTACTTAAGCAGACTGATTATAAGAATTTAATGGTGAACCATATATCATCGGTGCAATAATGATGATGCATAAAGCAAGCTTGGGCTTTAATAATCCTCGAGCCCTTTATTGTATTTGTGATCGTGAACCTGCAACCTCATCTATTAAGTTTATTTTGCTGTGTTGGGATGGAAGCAATGCTGATTTCATTATTCAGTGCCCTATGGAACACTGTTGTCTATCACTCTCTTTCTCATTTCATGCAAAAAAATGTCCATTTTTACCGAGAGAATGGATGCATTCAGTAAACATGTAAGCATTCAATTGATTAAATATATTTTAGGAAACTATTTTTTTGTATGATTGGCTATTTTTTAGTCACTTCGTTGGATATATCTCATGTTTAATCGACCTGTGGACATTGAAATGCGATGCATGGTAATCGGGATTCTGACATGGAAATCCGACTGCAGGAGATATGATGTTCAGCATTTAATCTCATGTTTACATGATTAGGTGTCCTGGGACTTTAGCGCATGAATAATTCAGTATGGTCATGGAACATGCTAGTCTAGAAGCGCTTCGTGTGAAGAGGAATCCGAATCCTGGGTCATGAACTAAAATGAAGGCTCAGAAAACCGAGGAGATGCAGACCACAAGGGTGGATTATACTCGTTCGGAATCGATTCATGAAAACTCTCTTCCACCTTGGGAAACACGCTTCTCAGCAGGAATGATGCTTTCATGAAATAAATAGGCTTTGCCAGGATAAATAGATAATCTCAGAATATATAGATAAAAAGGAATGATGATTTTCGTCTTAATCCCAGTTGTGTATCTTCCCATCAGAAGACTTGGAGCTGTCAGAGCAATGCAGTGCATCCATCGAGGCACTTTTCTTATATATTCTTCAACCCCTTGCAGGAGATTTCCAAGTTCAGATACGAGTTATGCCCGCGGTATATGAAAGAAAGGAAATTCTGGCGGATATACTTCGTCCTCGTCAGCAGCCACGTGTCCCCGTGAGTACATTCTTCATCACTCCGCGGTGTATGAAGGACGACCTTACTTTTAGTCTGGGAAGCTACATTGACCATGCGTCGTCTGTGGGATTCATCCATTCTTTCTTCAGTTACGAGAAGCAGTTCATGGAGGAGTCCAGAGAGAAGGCGGCCCAGCAGGAACAAGAGTCAAAGCCGAAGGAATCTGGAACAGGTCAACCGGCCTACACACCGGCAGAGAAAGAGGCAAAGTCAAAGGGCAAGGCTTCGACTTCGGACCATGACTTGGACATCTTCCTCCTAGGTGACGGCAGCAGTGACGAGGCCCCTGGTAGGGAATACCCACCCATTTTCCATCCATTTATGGTGGAACCAGTCTGAAGAACACCATTACTAATAAAAATGTCAGATGATGGAGATGATGCTCTGGACGACGACGATGATTTGGACAAGATCGATGACAACCCGGTGAGCCCACCATCGCCTCTCTTCTCTCTCTTCTCTCTCTCTCTCTCTCTCTCTCTCGCTCACCAAACCTGGAGGAACTCCAAGGGCTCAGATCCTTCTCGACCCACTAATTATAGGTTAATTACTTTCGGAAAACCTTCCGAAAATGGGACCACAGCCTCGTTTTTACCGGCTTCTCTCTCTAGCATCTGTTGTCAGTACGCTGAAGGCAGTGAAGAATGAATGACCGTGATTTCCCTAAGTTTGTCCGCATATTGGAGCCTGATGAGAAATTATATGCTCTCAGGCTTAGGAGGTCCAGATGACGGCGAGATCATGAGAATCAAAGCAGCCGACCCGTGCTGACATCTCCAAGGATCTTCATCTCTGGGCGCTCCATTCCTGCCCCCACTCGTCCATATTTCATGTAAATTTCAACCCTTTTATCTCAGTTCCTTCCTTCCGAGACATTAATGGAGCCTACACCTGTCCGTCTTTCTCTCTCATCATCCCTCTACTCTTTTATCGGCTAACATATTGTTGGGTGTATATTCATGGATGAGAGAGAGAGAGAGAGAGAGAGAGAGAGAGAGAGAGAGAGAGAGAGAGAGAGAGAGGGAGTTTTATTGGGCCCGGGATTTAATGGGCCTGGGCCCACATGGGCCTGATCGAAGAAGCCTATTCGGGTTAATTAATCGTATTAAAGGTTCGGTGAAGTACGACCAAATGAAGATGACACCCCTCCCCCCACCCTTGTGAATGTCGCATTGATGGGTAATCAATAGGATCTCAGGGGGGCGAAGAAATAACTATGGGAGGCCCGGCCCGGAACTAAAGGGCCAATCTCCGGGCTTCTCTCTCTCTATCTCTCTGATTGGGCCCGGCCCGTTAAGCATTATACTATGATTAAATGCGGTAGAGTTGGGCATTGAATATAACCATTTAATCCTGCCAGTTTATGTTTGACCTCTTCTCCCCCATCTATCTTCCATCCTCGTCTCCGGGGTAAAGACCCTTTTGGTGGGTCATCTGCACCAGGGCCACCGGGCGAGAGCTGATAGGCTCATATCCAGGCCACAGCTATACCGATCGTCTTCTCCCCGTCCACAACCGCCTCCCCCCCGCCGATTCAATGACGCACATGGCTCGCCGTCGCGGCGGAGCAGATCTCCGGGCGCCGGCGGCGCTGATGCTCGGCTTGCTCTGGTGGGCCCGGCGAAGACAGGCGTTGACCATAGAGGGTGGTGCAGTTGGGATGGGTGACAGTTACGGCGGTGGCGCTGACCGTGACGGGATCGGAGGCGACGATCCCACGGGGTTGGGGACGGCGATTGACGGCGACTAGATTCCTTCCCGGTGTAGAGCAGGATGTCATGCTAGTTCGTGACCATTATTCTTTGACGGACTTTCATATTAGCTAACGGTAGGTGGGTTAGAGAGAGAAAGCGAGAGATGATGGTGTTGCATTCCTAACCGAGGAGAAGATCACGAGGGTGTGTTTTTCAAAGCGGCCCTTTTCCGAAGACGACGTTTTCCCATCTGTGGACGTGTTGGCCCAGCATTTTATGTACGTTTCCGTTGCAACTACGCGTCAGATTAGTCTTCTAGCCCCGTCATGGCCCTCCTCCGATCAGATGCCTACGAGAGAAAGAAAGAAAGAGTCAGAGAGAGAGAGAGAACCCCTACGCTAGGACTCGGTCGAGAAAACGGAAGTAATTACTGTTTAACGGAGACTTACCCGCCTCGTCTAGCCGCCGTTGCAGCGTCTTGAAGGCTATCCAGAGACGTCCATGATGACCTGGCCGGCGTTTTCTCCCCGTCAGATGCAGACTCATAGCCTGCCCTTCCTCTTCCTCTGGATCACACGCACATACAATTAAAGCCGGCGGCCGCCGGCGTTCCGGTTCCCGTCGTCGTCTCCATATTTCCTCCCACCATATGGGTAGGTCCACATATGGGTAGAGTCTCTTCCGCAGCAGAACCACTCGTTTTAGGCAATCCAGGACATAGTAAAGATTTTTGACCAGGAGGGTAGGTCCGTCGTCCCCTTCCTGAGGGCCACCGCCGCCCTGGGGCTCAGGGAAGCGTTGCCCGAGCTCGGAGTTGAGATCGTTGGTGACGTTGACCGGGTAACACACGTCGGAGAACCGTATCCGTCGCCGTCGTCGCATCTCAGCGGCGGCGATCATCCCGCCGTCAACATCATCATCAAGGGGCTTCTCGCTATTGGGCCAATTCGACCGTTCTGACACCGTCAGCTAACGGCGCGCAACCGACAAAGTCAAGGCGCTCACGTGAGGGAGACCTCACGGGGTCACCGCTAGCCCCGACATCTCCACGGACTCTTACCGGGTCCAGCGGCGGCGAGAGACCGAACCAGTGAGGGCAGACGGACGTCAGCGGGGAGTAACGGACGGGGAATAGATATGGGGCTGCCGCGGTTAAAGGTGTCGCCTTTGGGGAAGGAATTCTACGCCACCCACCGACGCGAGGGGTGGAGGATTATAGCCGGTGGGGAAGGGACGAGGAGGGTCTGGGCATTTAAAAGCGGCGGCCCCCGGCGCTGGTGGGGCGCGGCGGAACCTTCTTCCTCGGCTGCTTCTCCCCGAGACTCAGCAAATCTCTGCCGCAGGAGTAGGAGGGAGGAGGAGTGTAGGGTTTGCTCCGCTACTTGTGTGGTTGAAAACAAGGAATGTGTCTGCGGTCGGGGAAGGATTCTGGATTTGTGAGAGATCCGAGCATTCGTCCTTCTCGGGGGAATTCTCGTCTGAAACCGAGAGTTGGGCGCATGGGTGGGTGGTGCTTCCGCGATGTGTAGGCTCGGTGGGTCTCCGGGGTCTGAGGGGAGAGAAGGGAGCATGGGGTTGAAGGTTGTGCGGGAGGGGAAGGGGGAGAGGACGCAGGGCGCAGTGGCGCTGTCCAGGTCGCGGATGACGATGTGGATGATCCGCGCTACGACGACCATTCTGCTGTGGACGTGCGTCGTCCAGCTGGCGGCGCTCGGAGACATGGTGGGCCCGAGGATGCTCAAGGGCTGGCCCTCCTGCTTCACGCCGGCGGGTTCACCGGCGGGGGCGAGCTCCTTCCCCCCGGTGGCGGTCGAGAAGATGGTTCTTCCCCCCAAAAGTGAGCTCAGCTTCTTCACGCTCCTGATTGCGCGGAATGTCCGTAGGGCTCGAGTTAATCTCTTTCGATCAGGAACTCAAATGAACGGAAAGACGGGGCAGAAGAAAGAAGAAGTCTTGATGGGCAGCACTCTCTCTACATAAGAGTTCCATAGAATGCCATTTTGTCTTCTATCCTAAATCCATCTTAAGACGAAGATGCGGAATTGGCATTGGAACCCATCTGAATTTAAGCCCTTTAATTCGTTACATTTTCTGATTTCGGGATCTTTCGTAATCTTCAAACAGGAATCTACAAGAACAACGGGTATCTGATGGTTTCCTGCAACGGTGGCCTGAACCAGATGCGATCAGCGGTAGGCGTTCTACCCAGCCTGTGTCTGTCTCCTCGGTTGGCTTCTCCTCGCCCAAATCTTCTTCAACTACTCTGACGTGCCCTCCCCTCGAACCTCCTTGCAGATCTGCGACATGGTCACCATTGCCAGATATCTGAACGTAACCCTCATCGTTCCGGAGCTCGACAAAACTTCCTTCTGGGCCGACACCAGGTTGTTCTTCACCTTCAATATCCTTCCATGGCGTCAGAATTTGATTCTCCTGTCGCTTTCTTTGACAATTGAAGGAATTTCTCTTCTTGGCAGTGAATTCCAGGACCTGTTCGACGTCGACCACTTCATCACCTCCCTGAGAGACGAGGTTCGGATTCTGAAGGAGCTGCCTCCAAGGCTGAAGAGGCGGGCGGAGCTGGAGCCGGTGTTCACCATGCCGCCCATCAGCTGGTCACCCATGAAGTATTACCTCAACCAGGTCCCAATTCCGCCCCTCCTCTCTATTTCAGGCAAGTCACTGCCATGGCTGGGATGAGGGGGGTGAGTTGACTCACGGGGGTTCCCCTTTTCTTCTTCATCTAGGTGCTCCCTCTGATAAAGAAGCACAAGATCCTGCACCTGAACAGGACTGATGCCCGGCTTGCCAACAATGGCCTGGCGCTTGAGATACAGAGGCTTCGCTGCCGGGTCAACTATAGTGCCCTGAGATTCACCGCCCAGATAGAGGATCTGGCTGGAAGAGTCATCAGATTGCTGAAGAGAGGCGGGCCCTTTCTGGTCCTCCACCTCCGGTATGAGATGGATATGCTGGCCTTCTCAGGTTGCACTCAGGGTTGCACTGCCGAGGAGGCGGCGGAGCTGACCAGAATGAGGTCTCTAGCCTTTGCTTATCTTAGTTTATTGAATAATCCAAGGCCCAAGGCCCTGTGCCAAGAAAATTCCAGTTTCTAATTGGCGTCCCCAACATTTTCTCTCTCTAGATATGCATACCCCTGGTGGAAGGAGAAGATTGTGGATTCTGACCAGAAGAGGAAAGACGGGCTCTGCCCCATGACACCTGAGGAGACGGCTCTGGTGTTGAAGGCGCTGGATATCGACCCAAGTTACCAAATTTACATAGCTGCCGGGGAGATCTATGGAGGAGAGAAGAGGATGGCAGCACTCGCTTCGGCTTACCCAAAACTGGTCAGCCCATCGAAGAAAACTCCGGATCCACCTAACTGCATGCTCTTTGCTCTCTCTCGAGTTTGTGGGTGTTCTCTGACCAGAATCGACTGTGTTGAGCAGGTGAGGAAAGAGACCTTGCTGGAGCCCTCGGAGCTGCAGTTTTTTCAGAACCATTCGTCCCAGATGGCTGCGTTGGATTATCTGGTCTCCCTCGAGAGTGATATCTTTGTCCCTACGTATGATGGCAACATGGCCAAGGTCGTCGAAGGCCATCGAAGGTGAATATAATTTTCTAAATTACTGTCACAATCGGGGAATTTTTCCCGCCATATTCATTGGTTCCTCCATCAATATCACGATTCCGGTGATGGGTTTTGCCTATTGAGGCTCTTATTTTATATTTGTTCCTAATTATTATCGATGACCATCAATCGTAATTATTGCTTGCTAGATCAAATCAGCGCAATGGGTTTCTCCGATTCGAGGTTTTTCTCTTGTATGTTTCTGTATTATTTTCAAAAGCCATGGAAGGTAATAATAATATTAATAATAATAATAATAATAAGCAAGATTATTGCAACAATTCAGGACTTATCTCGGTCATATTTACCGTTTCCCCCAATGATACTGACCTTTTGAGCAATGGGTTTTGCTTATTTAGGGCTCCTCTGTTGTTGTACTTTACTGAATTACTATCAAAGGTGATAATATTAACCAAAAGTATCACAATAATTAAGGAGTTATTGCAGTCATATTTAAGAACTCCCCCATCAATATGGAGCTTCAAAGTAATGTGTTTTGGCAATTTGGTCATTTCCTCTATTATTTTTACCAAATTATCTCCCATCTCCTCCTCCTCTTCCCCTGTTTTTTTTTCTTTTTTTTTTCGGTATCCAATTTTGACGGATCTGATCTTCATATTTGCCTTCTGCTTCAGGCATCTGGGATTCAAGAAGACGATCTTGCTGAATCGGCGGCTTCTCGTTGGGCTGATCGACCGCTACGCCAGCGGCTCCCTGAGCTGGGAGGAGTTCTCCTCCTCAGTCAAGGCCGCCCACTCGAGCCGCATGGGCATGCCGACGAGGCGGCTGGTGATCTCCGACAAGCCCAAGGAGGAGGACAACTTCTACTCCAATCCCCATGAATGCCTCCAGATGCCAATCGACGTTGAGTTCCAGGCGGCATGACGGCCCCCATTGACCGACCCCCCTCGCAGGGTGGGTCTACTGCAGTGGGGGGGGCTTTGCCTTCTTCTTCAGCGCGAACCAGTGAGAACCCATCAGATCAAAGTTCACAGAAAGACGGAGATCGGCGGAGGCGGCAGCTCGCATTTGTTCAGTACAGAACAGATCAGTCCTTTGTATACTGTTGAAATAAACCCCTTCCTGTACAGAAGGCGGGGGAGGGGAGAGAGATGTCTCTGGATGAGAGAGAGAGAGAGAGTTGGTGCCCTTCTGGGATTCGGAGAGAGATGGACGGCCAAATTCCTGGTTTATTTATTATTTTCTATTTTTTTGAAGATGGCTGTGGTAGGGGAGAGGGATATTAAAAAAGAAAGCTTGTTTTTTTCTCTGTGGGTCGTCTCGAATACTTGGGAAAAAACATTCCCTCGGAATTCTTCTTTCCGCCGCCGTCTGCCGTCCAGAATTGACAGATTTGTCGGCCAGGCCCATCGGATCCTCGAAATGGTTCTTCGAATGGGGCCAACATACGGCGTTGACCAGCTGTCACTTACCTCTTCCGTACGTCCCGTTTCCCCGAGTCACCGCCGTCAGTACGTCGGTAAGGAGAAAAAAAGCGACGGGAAACGTGAGGATGGCCCACGCTCCGTCTGCCTTTTCTTTTTGGACCGTTACAAAGGGATCGTTACGGCAAGGCGGCGGCCATTCCAGATCGTCATAGAGAGAGAGAGAGAGAGAGAGAGGCACCACATGCCTAACATTAATCAAGTGATCTATATGTATATATATATATCGAGAGAGAGAGAGAGAGAGAGAGTAAAAGGAGATACCTAAGAGATATGATGGCCCTACCTCACTAGCATTCTTCCAGCAGACGAGAGAATCAGCAGAGAACCCGTGGCGCAGCACGGGGCGACGCGCGCCACTACACGGGACCGCACGCCATGCGCGCCGCGATGGACACGCCGGCGCACGATGATGCGCGAGACTGCTCGGCGTAGGCGGCGCCGACCCAGAGAAAGCTCTCTCCCTTCCTTTACACCGCAGAACTCTAGCTCTAAGCAAAGAGATTCCCACTTGGGATCGGCGTAGGAGTCTGTGGACACCGAGGCAATCGCGGGGATGATCCTGCTGATGATGTTGGAGCCTGATTTCATGACGGGTCCTCACTGTGGTGGAGCCCGGCTGGGCATTTCGTCAAACAGAGGATCTTTTCAAACCTCGAAAAGAACGAAACAGCCATCGTAACAAGAGTTTATTACAGGATGTGAAAGTTACGTGTATTTTTTTTAATATGCATGATTTTATAGGTGTTAATACACCCCCTTTGACTACTAGACCCTATTTATTTGGGCCAGCCCATAAAGACTGCCCTTTCTCGGCCCACAAGCTCCGGACTTTGGGCTAGAATGGGGGCCACCTCGGGTTCTCAATAAGGCCAGAGATATTTCTCAATTGATCGCAGAAAAATAAATAAATAAATATTAAATTTAAATGAAATTGCATATATTATGACTAGTTAGTGCATTAATATAATTCCCATCCCAGTGCAAAGAATATCAGCCTTAAATCCCTAACCTTAATGAATGGGAGAGAGAGAGAGAGAGAGAGAGAGGGCTGGGGTCTGGCCCCACCCACAGATATTGACAATGGTAGATATTTCGTTCAGCAAAAAAGAAAATAGTATATAGAAGAGATGAAAAATTGGTGGCTTTGAGCTGGGCCGGCCGGTCGGGGAATGGACCGGAAAATGATCGGTTTTGGGGAACGCCGAACCGGGACCAGATTTGGGGGGAAATCCGCGATCTCTTCTCCCAGGCCGACCACGTCTTCTCCTTGCCTGAGGCTTCGGTGGAAGAGAAGCTCGTCGGGGGGGGGCGGCGGCGGCGACGGCGATGGCGAGGTGAAACTGGTGTCGCGTCACGTTGCTTCCTTACCCTCTTCGCCTCCATAATCTCGCCGCCTTCCCATGGCGTCTCCGCTCTCTTCTCTCTCCCTCCGTCCTCTTCCTCTGTCGCCCGGAAGTTTTCCCCCCCAGATCTTCCATCGCCGCCGCGGCCATGCCGCCGCGCCCCCCCTCCGGTTGAGTCCGCCGGGCGGTGCCGCCCTGCAGGCCAAGAAGGACGGTGGCGACGCCGTCGGCCCTCCGGACCGGCTCATCGCTGCGGCCTGCTACCTCTACCCCTTCCTCGACGGGATCCAGTACGGTAAGTATGTCATCACCCAGTTCCCGGCCTTCCAGGTGCTGCTGCAGCCCCTTGTCCCCGCTATCCGCCTGTTCAGGGGTTTCCCCCTCAACGGGCTCCTCATCTTCTTCACGCTCTACTTCGCCGTGGTGAGAAACCCGGGGAGCTTCAGCCGGTTCGTCCGCTTCAACACCATGCAGGCCATCGTCCTCGATGTGCTCCTCATCTTCCCTGACCTGCTGGAGAGGAGCTTCTCCCCCCGCGAGGGGGTGGGACTGGACCTGGTGATGAGCCTGGACAGCACCGTCTTCCTCTTCCTGCTGGTCTCTCTCCTCTATGGCTCTTCGTCCTGCCTCCTTGGGCAGCTCCCCAGGCTACCCATTGTTGCAGAGGCGGCTGAGAGGCAGGTCATGTGACGCCCTCCTCTTCTCTCTCTCTCTCTCTCTCTCTCTCTCTCCCCTTCTACTGCCTGCTTACAGTGGAAGTCAAGATTCAGATCATTCTGAAATATGAGTACAATTTTTCCCCCATGTGGCCCATGATTGTAAAACCAGGTGCACCTGTGCCACTGACGGAGGAATAATGGAGGTTTGATCAGGTGTTTCAACGAGGAGAGGAAGGGGAATCTCCCGTTTAAACCAAATTGGGTTGGATAAGATCAAATCCCATTGCTGTATCATGCTTGAATCATTCTATACACTCTCTGTATCGGAAAAAAACCTACTCTTTCCTATATATGTTGATCAGCTGCTTCATGGGTTAACCTTGGAAACTCCTTCCAAGCAACCTTTCTTGTGTTCACTAAGTTCTTGCGCAGCACCTGCTCGACCTGTCTCCGAGCCGATGCAGTCGTCCATATTGTGAAGGATGGGATGCAGATCAAGGCCGCCCATTTTAGTTCTGAACACAGACAGCACGAACACAGTGCCCTTCTTCTAGTTTTTGTTGTCATTATTTATCTGTGGATGGTACCCTTCTAATCTCGGATGCAATCGTGCTGACAGAGATCACTGGAGATGACGGCCACTGGTTAAAGAATCTGCCCTTGTTTCTATAATTTCCTTCCCTAGTCGATGAACAGTTTCTATAACTTCTCTGTGCTCATCGGTCTATTTGTCTCTGTAGATTGTTGTCAAGATTAATAATTTTATATGATAATCTGATATGTCTGGCAGATGGGTAAATTGAAAGGGTTGCAAGCCCAACATTTGGGGGTTCCTATGAGAGAGTTCTTCGTAGGATCGTGGAAGAGCAGACAGTGTGTTACCTGGTGCGGGATACTTGCCTCCTGTCGTCCTACAGTCATTTCCAGAGGGGCAGATGTAGTAAGAAATCGCCCAAATGTAGTAAAAATCTTTCCTTTATGCTCGGATTTCGCAGCCCTGTCGAAGAATGTTCGGATGAGGCACTGTGTGTTTCTTTGCCCTGCCTAGGATAGTGGCGTTGACCTTTCACCCCGAGCGAGCTAAGGTCAACACCAGCGCTAGGCAGCGCCTGTCGTGGTGGTCAGCAACCTGGGATAACGCACTCGGTCGAAGATCACTACATCAGCAAAGATTCCAGCTTCACAAAAGGGGAACTGGTTTTCACAGGGAAAGTCTCCTTTATAGGGGAAATGATTCCCACCCATGAGGTGGCAGGTCATACAAAAGTCAATACTCTGGGACTCTACAGACACGGAAAAATATTCCAGGACAGTCAGCGGGTCACGTTTTGGAGTACAGGGAGGACACGAGGACGTGTGGCCGCACGACGCAGGAGCGCCGCCATCGTCGCCGGCGGCGGCGGTGGCGAAATTGTGGACACCTCTGTTTAGTGGAATGGAAGCCAGCAAGAAAATGGCCACTGTATTTATTTATAAACACCCCCACACCTCTGTTGAGCTCTCTCTCTCTCTCTCTCTCTACCCGACGAGAAGCACCATAAACAGGAGAAATAAATTCCAACAGGCCAAGGGTCCAAGTTGTAGTGTCTTCATTCCTTTCCTCCCTCTTTCTTCTTCCAGAAGGACAAGAGTTCGTAGAACTGCAAACAAATCCGGGAAATGAGAAAAGAACTGCATGTACGGGAAGGAAGAGAGAGAGAGAGAGAGAGAGAGAGAGAGAGAGAGAGAGAGAGATTACTCTTTCCTTCCTCGGCTCACCGTGCCCACGTCTGACGATGTAGATCTGCCAGAAGGATAAGTCAACGTTGGCTGCCAGCCCACGTAAGGCAGCCTCCGCCCTCTCCTCCTCCTCCTCCCCCTTGGACTCCGACCAGTGGTGCTCGATGAGCTCCGGGTCGCTGCCGCCGCCGTCAAGGCACGGCGAGGGCAGGGGGGAGGCGAGGGAGAGCCACCGCCGGAGCGGCGGCGGCGCCGGGATCGGCCGGAGGAGTGCGAACAGGAAGAGGGCCAAGGTGGCCACGCATGCGGCGGGGAGGAGGAGGAGTGAGGACAAGACGGCGAGGAAACAGAGGGAGAAGATAAGAGCTGGGAGGAAAAGGGGGGTCAGGAGGAGGACGACGACCAGGGAGGCGGCGGCGGTGTTCGCCCTGGTCAACGGCGAAGCGAAGGCGTATAGCTTCCCTCTCGGCATGGCGGTGGGCTGTCTCAGCGGATGCAGAGACACTCCGTTTGGGCAAGGTGATCTGCCCGGTTCAGGCACGATGCCTTGAAGCCGTCGAGTAGTCGACAGGTGTGGCCACGTGGAGGAACCCGCCGATCGCCGATTCGGCGGCGGCAGAAGCGGCGCCACCACCCTGCGGCAACCACTTTTATAGAATCACTAAAAAAATGGAATTATGCTCTTAAGATTAATATTTGCGAAGATACATTCTGGGTAAGAGCTAATAAATTCGTCTTATTTTTCTACTGCCGTTTCTCCCTCTCCTGGATGCAGATATTATTCTCATTTCACAGATTTGTTCGCAGTTCAAAGAACTCGTCGATCTAAAACAACACAGATATTACAACTTGGAACATGATAAGGTCCCGGCCTTACAGGAGCATCAAATGGAAGGGGAAAAAGGCCCAACATGCAAAATAGGGAGAAGAAGGGGGAAAGGAAAGACGGAGACTGATCCGCACTGGTCCAGAGGAGAGAGGATGCCGAAGATTACACCTGAGAGAGAAGAAGAGAGATCAAGTAGCTGAGAGAGGAGAGGAGAAGAGAGGTAGCGGGGATTAGGAAGAGGGCGAAAGATCACTCAATGTACCTTGGTTCCTTCATGCCCCTTAACTCATGCCTCCCCCCAGTTCTTATACGAGAGTTGGCCATAATGGGCTGGGCCACTATGTCTTCTTGGGTTGACGACAGTGAGTGAGTGGTTCTCTATTAATATTCCCCTCTTCGACAGCCAACTTGTCCTCAAGTTAGAATTCTGAAAATTATGTCTTGAATATGTTGTTGGTACTTCATCTTCGGATGTCTCATTATCCTCCTCGCCATCTTGCACAGTGTAAATGTGTCGCTCTTTCGTGCAGCGATGACCGATTGTGAACCTTTCCTTACACTGTAAACATAACTCTTGTGTCGTGAGTCCTCATGTGATCGGTGCAGCTCCCCATCCCGCTAATGCTGGATCACCGAAGACACCTCCTCACCCTTCTGTTCATGTGCGAGGCGCGTGTGTATCGTTGTTCCCCTGATCGGGAAAAGCTCTCCTACTCGTGCTTTAGGCCTTTCGCAAAAGCCTTGAAGTAAATTTGTAATGTGAAGGCAAAATCTTGAACATCTCGCAAGCATCATGGCTTGAAGTGCTTCACTTCAACTTGAATAATCGGGTTTGAGGGCCGTCGTAAATGTCTACATCATGACAGGAGGTGTTGGACGAAACCCGGCGAGTACTTGATCTCTGTGACCAATTCTTCTCGCGCGTAATAGATACTAGTAGGCGTTGTCTCGGGTGTAGCCAAAATAAAGGGCTAATTGACGCTTGAAATCCTATTAGTCTTAGAATTTAAGCTGTTGGTCATAGTAACTGAACCATGAGAGTGCCTTACTATCCAAATATGTTATGATAGTTCGGAGGCACTCGTCATTGTCCGCCGGGTTGAGTTGGAAAAAGTATTAACACTCGGAGAAGCCACCCCTTGGGGTTTCCTCTCGTAAAGATGAAGATTTTCGCCTTTTTCCCCATGTGTGACGGGGGACTTAGTGGGACCCAAGGCGCTCGTAGTTGGTCCCAAGCAAGGCCCTGGTAGCTGCACCAGTCATCAAGCTCATTCCCAAAAGGGTCCTCCTCTAACTTGTCTTCTTCATTGGGCCACGGATGGTCTTGCCGAAGATCCTCTCGGGCTCTGCCACGACCAGGAAGAGAGTCATCCCTTAGACTAGGCCTCCAGGACTCCACATCCGAGGAGGACGGACTTCTGTGATGCGGTGCAGGGGGGCACCTCCCTTGGGTCTCCTGCCAGTGGTTGTGGGTGTTGTACACTGCTGCAAGGTGAGGTTCCGGTCCATGCATCGGTTTGGTCCACTTGACCTGCATATCTTGAGGCAGGTGAGAGCATGTGCCCCCCCTGAAGTACGGTCCCATGGTGGGCCTAGCTCACCCTGTCCGGTGTTCGGGGCCTGAAAGGACATGCGGCCCACTCTGAATCGTCCGGACTAATAAGAGTGGACCCTCCCCGACCCGAAACTGGAGTAGGCCCCCCTGGCCATCACCGTGAGACGTATCATCTCCAGAAGATTAGGGTAATGTACTCTTGTGGCGGCAACTGAGGAGCACCCTACGACATTGGCAGCAGCTGTGTCAATCGGATCAGCATAGAAGGAGCATTGGCCCTCGACTCCCGGTGTGAATGGCGGCCTGCGTGTCACTCCCCGTGGGCTGGGCAAGAAGCCATCTTTGCAGAGTGGTTGCACATCTGGTACCCCAAAGGGTAAGGGTGGTCATCCCACGAGGGTCCTAGAAGAAGAATCCCCTTGCGGGCCCCCCCAACATCAACGGGAATCAACTTGGAGCGTAGGCATTGATCGAGGCGATTTGGTCTTCTAGACGCTGGAGCCTGGTAGTTGAGTCGTCAAATCCAGCCCCCAACTGCTCCATTATGGCCACGGTGAGCCCTTTGACCAGCAACCCACGAACGAAGGCTCCTGATACTTGAGTGAGAGGATGATGTGACTGGTCCATAGTGGTCCGGAGGAGAGAGGATGCCGGCGGTTGCGCACCTGAGAGAGAATAGGAAAGGTCAAGCAGCTAAGAGAGGAAAGGAGATGAGAGGTAAGGGGTGTCAAGAAGACGGTGAAAGACCACTCGATATACCTTGAGAAAATTCTTTCATACCCCTTACTCGTGACTCCCCCCAAGCTCTTATGTGAGGGTTGGCCATAGGGGGCTGGGCTACTATGTCTTCTTGAGTTGTCGACATTAAGTGAGTGAATCTCTATTAGAACCTTTTCCTTTGATAATCTATTTCTCTTGTTTCTAATACTTCTTGTAATATAATATTAAGGGTATTACATGTGTCTAATTTGTAGAGTCAATTGAGGTAATTTGAGAAGTTTGATTGGCTGAAATAGAGGCTGACTTTGGTTTAAATTTGTAACTAGGAGGATAATCAGATAGCTTATATTAATCAATTATATGATCATTTAATTTGCAATATGTGCAAAATGGATAATTCATTTTTTATCCGTACCATAAGTATTTTGTCATTTGAGATTATTTATTTTGACATCAAATGTAATAACAGAGGAATTGATAATAATAGATTATTGATTATAAATTTATCATTATTCTTGAGACAAAAGTGAGAAAATTTGATTGGCGTGTGACATCGATTCATGTAATAATATTTGAGTTCTAACTTGAGAGTATGAGAAATTCAGACCCATTAAGAAAGAAATAATATAATCTAGCAAATGATGTTCTTTGATTCATGTACAGCTACACGACAGTTTGAAATCATTTAATTACTCCTATAAGATTTTACTTTTTTGTCAAATAAGAGGTCATCAAATCTTATTCTTGTCAAAGATTCATTAATTATCATTTCAAATGAAAAATTATAGTACCATTTCTTTGTTGAAATCTTTACTTTTAAATCATCACATACTTCTTTTGCAGAATCAGTATATGTCAAATTCCTAGAGATTTTTTTAACAAAATCAATTCAATAAATTATCATACAATTATTTCGAATCCAAGATGCAAGTAACTTTGAATCTTCAATATAAGTTATAAGATAACATTTCATCAATAAAATCGAGCTTATTTCTCATACACAAACCAATAGTCATTACATGACTCTATGAATTATTATTTTTTCCTATAAGTGGTTGAGACATAATACTCAAAATAAATGCCTTAGATTGAGGAATATAATATGGACTGGCAGTATTATGAATTCGAATATTTCTTAAAATTGACACTTCAGAATTCGTTGATAGAGAAATTAAAATGAGTAATCTCAAGAGAAATTTAAAATATACTAATATGGGAAGTTCATAAAGAGCAAGAGAACACTGACTAGTTATATTTTATCATTTTATTTTATTTTTAAATTCTCAACTTACCAAAAAAGAATTTAAAGCTTTGTAGATCTGTGTCCTAGGGGTGAGGAAACCTATTTTACATGTTGAAATGATTGTAAATCATACTACTGAATCTAGAATAGAAAATAGAGTAGAAGATTCTGCCTACGTACGAAAGTGAACGAAAGGAGCGATGCAATTATTTATATATATATAGAGAGAGAGAGAGAGAGGAGCTAAACAAAGGTGTTATGTGTGCATAGATAAATGTAGTGGCCACTCTCTTGCGATCTCCAGTTGTCTCCGAAATTCCACCACGAAGGAGATGACCGCCGCCGCCGCCGCCGCTGCCGCACGTCCTCGTGTTCCCGTTCCCGGCGCAGGGACACATGATCCCCCTCCTCGACCTCGCCCACCTCATCTCCCTCCGGGGCATCTGCATCACTGTCGTGGTCACTCCCAAGAACCTTCCCCTCCTCTCTCCTCTCCTCACCCCTCTGGTTCTCCCTTTCCCTCACCACCCCTCCCTCCCCGCCGGCGTAGAGAACCTCCGCGACGTCCCCACCGGCGGCGCCGCCTCCGCCGCAATGTCCCACGCCCTCGAATCCCTCCGCTTCCCGATCCTCCGGTGGGCGAGGTCCCACCCCTCACCACCCATCGCCCTCCTCTCTGATTTCTTCCTCGACTAGACCTACAGCATTGCTGGCGAGCTGGACATCCCCCGTATCACCTTCTACTCCTCCGGCGCCCGCAGGTGGTCGATTCTCCGGCACCCGGCGGTGGGATCGTTCGTAACTCACTGCGGGTGGAACTCGGTGCTGGAGGGGCTGGCGGCGGGGGTGGTGCTTCTGGCCTGGCCGATGGAAGCTGACCAATACATCAACGCGAGGTTGCTGGAGGAGATGGGCGTGGTGATGAGGGTTTGGGACCCGACCCGGACGAGTTCGCCCGGGTTTTGGCGGACTCGGTGGCCGCCGGCGCCGAGAGGAGACTTGCAGCAGATATGAAGGCAGCCGCCGCGGCTGCGGTTGGGGAGGGCGGGACGTCGTCCATTGACTTGGGAAGGCTGGTCAATGCGTTGAAGGAACTCTGTGTCACCCACAAAAGAGGAATAAGGC